TATTAATTTTTTTTTAATTTTAATTACCATGTGATGGTCATACATATCTTTAACTTGTATTATTCTGTCATGAATGTATTATCTCAATGTGCCAAAACTATTAATTAGTGTGCATATTTTGCTTCCAGATGACATAAATGTATTGTCATGTTTATTACCTCAGCTTGGAGTATTGACAAGAAAAAGGTGCCAGTAAATTAGGTAAAAAAATTTTCAACTCATTGTTATAATCAGAATTCACAATCAATAGGAATTATAAACAGCCAACAATCAGTGAGAATTATATGCGAAATCCCTCAGAATAAATTTGTCTAAAAATCGGAGGAAGGCAAAAAATATAGTAGTTTCCATCCACACAAGCATTTCAAGAAGACTTGCTCGAGCCAAACTTAAATGAGCATCGTCAGGTGATCGTAAGGCTGCAAGTTGAATTCAGCCCTGCAACCTCCTGCATAGAAGATAATATTAATTAGTGGGCTATGAGCTAAATTCTTAAATTTAAACAAACCTATCTACGATGCATTATGTACCAGCAATGTTACCTACGATTAACTGAATATGTAATATGTCTAATAAATTCACCTACAAAAGAAAGTTCGATAGGTGCAAACTTTGTGTTATGGAATTGTATCGCAGCACAGTTTTGTATGACACCCTCTTTAAATGAAATTTTAATGATTAAGCGCAAACATTAAAATTACTAACTTTGAACTTTGTCATTATCTGCAAAATGTTCCACACAAATCTTTCCGCTATCGCGTTTGTAATCTTCTCTGATAAAAAAAACGTCTATGATGTCCAGAATTGCTCTTTACAGCTTGCCTGTTATTCCAGCTTTCCAAGTAAGCAAAACTTCTTAGATATAGAGATTATTTTGTTTCGTTACAGGCGCAAAAAGGCAGGTACTACACGTAAAAAAGACGCCGAGTAGCAAAAGCGAGCGGAAAACGGACGCGAAAGGCGACGAGAAATATGTGCATTGGAGCGTATCATGAAATACAATGTTTTGCCTGTAGTCTTATGGAGTGACGTCAGAGTTGCCTATCATGTTGTTTAATGTCATTGCGCGGACCGGCAAAAAAGCTTCTCGAACCGACACCGGTCCGCGGACCGGCGATTGGGGACCGCTGGACTAGACAGCATCTATATTGATTATATCAAATTGACTATTCGTAATATGTTTATTAATTTTTACTGTGTAATATATAGAAAACACTGTAATGATAAGAAATGTGTGCCAATACATAATTATGTGACTAAGAACGCAATCATCAATATACTTAATATAAAATTTTCGGTCTCTATTTTCATTTTAATGAAAAGATTAGTTCGCTCCAATCGACTCATTTAACAAATTTTATCATATGTTTCCCTTGTGGTGGTATTTTTCAACTGAAAAAGTGCGGCCTCCACATGTGAATGACAGGAGACAGAGTTGCTACATCCCAGGCCAGAACTATCCAAGCTAGCAATATTCCAATTGTAATGGAAAACAGAATCATTTCCACAAAAAACGGTCTCGTAGTAAGGGACCAGAATTTCATTCAATGCCATGTTGCGTTGAAGACTAAAAATTAAATCAATTCGATTAATCAAATGAGTTGATAAAGCACAATTGTAACCTTTAATCCAAAGCCCACCATTTTTTCATGTGGGACACATTTGGCCCGAGGGCCACAGGTTGCACACCCCTGATTTAAAATATGAATAATAAAAATATTTCACTCTTACTTGGCCTTCAATTTATTCATTTGTTTGTATAACAACATATGTAATTTGTTAATCATCCGAATTATTACTTATCGATTTTATTACCTATCGACTTTAATCGGTAAGTCTGTTGATAGGTATTTATTACTTATCGACTTTAATAGGTAAGTATGTTGATAGGTATTTGTCTGTATGTCTGTTTGTCTGTTACATGCACGCGATATCTCACGAAAGCGAGATTGAATCTGCTCCAGATTTTGCATGTGCATTCATTATATGTCGTACCAGAAACCTGTTGATTTAAGATGAATTTTGTCGTATAATTAGCAAGTTATTAATTAATTAGTGATGGGACACAAGGTGTCACTATGGAGTAAGATCACCCAATGAAGTATTAACGAGAATTAAATACTTTAAATAAATAGCAATAGAATTATAAATTGTGAAAATAACAAATCAACCCTTTTATGAACTAAGGTGACGAATGATGTTAGTATTGTATGACATTGATGTACACCATATAATAATATTATCAGAGTGAAGTGTTAAAAAATAAGTAAAGCTTTTCACAAAAGACTGTATAACATAGGCAAACAAATACCAATATACAAGAAGTTCAAATTGTGTTTTTTTGAGAACTAAATTCTATCGTAAAAAGGACAATCGTCACAACAATGGCTAAGAATCAAAACATTCTGCTTGTGTTGCGTGCGAACCTATATCAAGGAGGCAAGTCATCTATTTCTTACATAAATAAAAATATAAAATGTTGTTTGAATAGAAGGTCGTCTTACAATCCACACAGTATAGACCAGGAAAGCGAGAAAGCTAAATGACTGGTTTGGTTCAAAAATACACGGGCGTAAAAAGACAGAAAAATGTCATTGAGACGCTGTAAATACATATGTAATACTACTACACTTCACTTATAATTAGCCAATGTAACACCAATTCGATTTTAATATTGGAGTACACTAGTGTCAGATACAAACATGATGCAGTTGTTTTACTATTTACTCATGAAAACAATAATATATATTCAAGCAAATCTAGATTCAGGTTTAGGAACCGCCGCCATAAGCCATTGTTATCTGATTGAATAGCTTCTTCGTGTACATATGTTTTAAAGTGGGGACGACTCCACACCAACAGTTAAAGTAAGCTAACGAATTTACTTATATTTTTATTGTTTTAGTTCAATAAATGTCATAAACAAATCTTCACGTTGATCATTATGTTCATGAGCCTCTCCTAGTCAGCCATGTGTTCACGCCAAATATGTCAATCAAGATCAAATTACAGTTTCATATTTATCTTGTGGTATTTTGTGTCGTTTTCATGTTTTGTTTGTAAAATACCGCGACCAATTTGTATTGTATTATTCCAATTGGGGAGTGGCCAAACCAAAACGAAATTCGCGAAATGAAGGTGACACATCACATGTTCAATCATCATTCGAACATAAAATTAAATTATCGGCATACCCAAGTATGAAACAGCACAGATTTTGATGTTACTTGGAACATTTGTGTCTGGATGCAGTAAGACAATACATTCATGTTTCGAATCAATTGTGGAAATTATTTAAGACTGAGTATACATTGTGTCACGTGGTGTGTTTGACAATTACTTCAAAGCTGTAACGAGAACGGCGTATAATAAACATTCACACAAGGGTCATAACATAAAAACCGAAACTATTTTGTTTGATAAGACAAGGAGTATCGAATATATATTCCAAGGATTTTTTTCATGTATCTTTCTTTCGTAAATTCCTCATCTTTAACAAATTTTAAACAAATAATAGCATTTAGTTCAGGCTATTAGTTTTATCCAGCTGTACATGGAAGACAAAAGTCTAGTTTGAATTGGGAGGAAAGAAATGAGTATCAGATACAACGTTTAGACAAAATTCAGAAATATGTTAATTTCAGTTGTGAATTACATTTGAAATAAAAAGTGAATAATTTTTTTTTTTTATTGATGTAAATGTGAAAGTGGCATATTCCAGTGTCCTGCTCGAAATAGCTTATCGAAAGCGTCATGAAATCGAAAATTCTTTCGAGAGCCTGGTTTACTGAATCTTTATTGTTGTTAAGTTAGTGTCAAAACGCGTTTTCCGGGGTATGATGCAAATTTGACTTAAGTTTATGACTTAAGCACCGCTTATACAGTACTGTGTTGATTTTCCATCTCAATAGGATAGACACAGGAACAATAAAAGAATTTTAAGTGAAAATTATTTTTCGACGCCAATACGTGGATCGCGACACCATCGGTCTTGAATTCCCAGGCCAATCCTATTTGTGGTGATGTACATGGAACAATTAAAAAGCAAGTTATCCTAATACCACACACGAACGAATGTCCGCTTCAAAAGCGTTGTATCCGTAACGCCGCGATTCACATTTATTCGTTGGTTACACAATATGAATAGATAAAGAACATCAACACCTTATCACTTTTATAGATTGGTATGAGACAGTTTTGAGTTTTACACAAAAAGTACATGTATCCGGACCGTGGAACTCAGTGGTACTCTATTTCATGAAATACACGCCGGAAAACAGGATTCGCGTGAATAGGAAAAACGGAAAAGCGTTAACCAAGTTCTGTGAAATGTTTTTATCGTTCAGAAAAGGTTTATGCCCACGCCAAAGTATATGTGTGTATGTTTCTATCATTAAAATGTAGGCCCTATAAGATAATATTGGGATCTAAGCTTATGGTACTGAGAGCTGGACTATATTCTTCTGGGATAATTTCAAGACAATAAATTAATGGTAATTTGATTTATATGAATAACTATGTTCAGATTGAATTACCTATTAAACTAACAAATTGTCATAGGAAGGGTAATTGAAATCAAGTTTTGTTTGGGGCATGATTGATAGTAAGATTTCGGTAGCATATTTGAAAGTTTAATTTCCCCGTTCCACTCTTACTATTAGTTAAATTGACCTAATATTTCATACACTAAGTGAAATGTTTGTGAAAGGAATTGTTATCCTTTCTATTGTAATCTCTTATGCACCTATGAAAGAACCGAAATTTTATTGTTTTCCTTTTCAAATCCGCCATTTACTCTATACGTATTTCATAGGTACGGAACCACCCCTTTTTGTAGCTCTATTGTTATATCTCGTAGGCTTTCTAATTGATAGGAAAGCATTCAACTGATCACTAGCTGTTGTAAAGCGATGCTGTTGCAAAGTGCCTGTTGTATCAAGCCTGTCAGAATTACGATCAAGTAGTAAACGTAATTAGAATTTCATAATTTTTAGATGTTCAGAATTAATCAATTATATTATAAATCATCACTATACACCCTCTTATATAAGTTACATGTAATATTTTGATGTACGCGCATGATGAAACGGCTTCTTAGATCTTCAAAATCAGAAGAAATTCAACCTTTTCCATCTCGACTACGGAAATGCATTAAAAGAAATGCGCAAGAACTGAAAAACAAGGTGAAATGCAAACCCTTAGAAAAATTTAAAGCAAAAGAAAATGTTTTATTAAAAACCATAGACTTAAAAACAAACAATAGCAAACCTATTGAATTTCAAAATTTTCTTGAAGAGAGGGAAGTAGTTGGATCATTTTCTAAAACATGTGAACATGTTTGTATCATCGGATCCAAGGGGTCAGGTAAAACAACCGTATTAGCCAGGTTCATTGATGAAGCATACGCAGGTCGCATTCCTCAAATTGAAAATGAACATGTTTTACATGTCATAAACTGCCACCGCTTTGATGCAAACGAGGAAATCACAGTACTTGAGTTTCTTTTTGGCGACTTTGGCGAAGAAACAGTAACACTTGGTGAAAAACGAGAGGGATATGAGTGGATGAAAAACAATCCCACAAAACTTACATTCGTGGTGGACTCTCTAGAATCACTTCGTTATCCTATTAAAGAAGACAATACAGTAGGGCATTATGATCGCGCAACTCCTGGTACTATCCTACGCAATCTGATAGAGGGCAATTTATTCATTTCCTGTGCAGTACTCACCACATGCGAAGCAACAAAATTCGAAGAGCGAGTCGATGGGGACGACCAGCTGCCCGTTGAAAAGACTATTCTTGTGTCCGGATTGTCACCAGCGTCGATAAACAGAATTGCATCAAAATATCTTGGAGAAGAGCGTTTCAACAAGTCTTTTGTTTATCTTAAAAGCGTGTCACCGTATTTAATGACTTTATGTGAGAACCCTACTATATTAGTTTTAACATTGGCAAGCATCAAAAACTGTGACGATCCTGAGTTTCTGCCTAAAGGCATTTCAGCCGTAGTGATTAAAATTTTGAATCGCATTATCGAGAAATCTAAAGATGTGGATTCTGAAAACATCGTCATCACAATAGAAAAGTTGAAGTTTCTAGCTTTCCACATAAAAAGAAAAAAAACTCCTGATATAACTTCTGACCAACTCCAAGCGACAGGACTCACATCTAATGTTCTACTAAGCAGTTGGTTTGTTCTAGATGGCATTCCACTGATTAAAGTGGTTGACAGCAGTTCACCTGGAGAAAAAGACTTGCAATTTATGCACCCAGTTTTAATTGATGTACTTTTTGGATTATTCATCGCTGAGCTAGAATGGGAAAAATTCACAAAATTTGTGGAAAATTTCTTCAGTAGCAGTCGTTATTCGCCAATTGCAAGATATGTTGGAGGATGCATCATGGACGAAAAATTATTTGAAGAAAGCCTAAATTGTTATGCGATGAGTGAGTTTCTAAGTTATAACTTCTCGTTATTTATCTTCTCTTATTTTGAAGTTTATTTTGGTCATCCTATCATAAGAGGTAATTTAATATCACTTTGGAGGAGATTGCGCAATGGCGCGTTCCAATCTCTACTTTTTATGTGATTAAAACAGCCGCATTTTGTAACCATAAGCGATTGTTAAAACGATAATTTTTCCAAGTCAAGAATATGAAAGCGATATGTCCATAGGCGACAGCGCATTTGGACCCACGTAAATTTGCACCTTTATATCTAACATACGGTTCAATCTATATGCGGGTGCTAAAATCCATGGGTTAGGGTTAGTATGGGTTCAAATATCCGTAGGTTCAAATTTCCATAGGTGCAATAGTATGCAGGTGTAATTGTCGTGGGTTCAAATTACGGGTTCAAATGTAATGGAACCATGTCCATATAATATACAAGAAAAATTCACTATTCTAAATTATAACAATACCTTTACAGACACAGTTCGATTAACTCAGCTCAGGAACGATAAAGATCGCAAATGTACTCTTTTAAAAGGAAGTCTAACATCCTGGTTACTCGAACTTGAAGATACATTTGAGCTCGACAATCAGCTGAATTTATTCCACACCATATGTGAATGCGGCAGAGAAATTAAGCCTATTGTGTACTTGAATATCGACAAGGTAAAATTGTGTCGTTTTGGATCATGGATTCTCAACAGTGCAGATATGTGTGCCCTTGCTACAATCATAAGTTACCGTGTGGAGCTTGAACAGCTGACTCTCACCGATTGCCCTGTCTCACCAATTCTCCTCGACACACTTCAGAGATGTATACGTGCTATCAATAAATTCAGCAAGGTAGTGTTTATTTATTTACTTCTATTTTAATCGGAATTCGGCTCAAATACACAATCATTTGAAAACGAATATTATTTTTCATAAGACTGACACAGAAAACATAAATAATACGGCTGCAGTTTGAAATTCTTATCAAAATATACCTCATTTAAACAGCTTATTTATCAAGTACCTATTATAGTTATACAAAAGATTTCTTATTGGAATCTACTGAGCATTTTCATCTGTTTTTAATATACAAATAAAACTATACTTTACATATTATGACCATATTATTTAGGTACAAAATTTTGCTCTGAATATCGAGGAAGGTGAAAAAATTGCCACTGAGGAATATATTCATTCCATTACTGGACTTCTTATGTATACATCAAATAATATGGACCTCAGGGGATGGCGATTGAACAACAATGGAGTTTTGTTATTGCAGAAAATGCTGAACGATCTTCAAAAATATGTTAGTTCCCTTTACCACATATTGCGTTCAGATATTCGCAATAGCTTTGGGCGATCCAAGCGTTTGATTCGGCGACGCGCAAATTCTAACGTAGGCTATATCCGAATTGAAATACAGTATATATATATATTCAAGTTTGCGGCGCGCAATGACTTTCCGCATGTGAAAGTGGCCCGCGGCACTAAAAAGGTTGGACATGCACGTGTTAATAAATATATGAACAAAAAACATTTAAATCCACATAATAAAACCACATTTGATGTAATCAAGGTTTGGGTGTGTAGATAACGTATATTAACCCTGGTTTAGCCAGTATTTGAAATGCAACTCCTTGGACATAAGGTTAACTACCTATATTCAGGCAGCTACTACCTAGTACCTACGCTTTCCAACTAGTAGGGGCGTACTGAATATTATAAACGCTACACAACGCATAATTCTTATCGTTACATTGTTTCAATATTGTTACGAGAAAATAATGCCACGATTTCCAGATCTAATCGAAACTGTAGGCTATGTCACATTTGGAAATGCCTCGTTACCAATCTTGAATAACTTCGCGATCCACTGGCTGTGAAGCCCTACCTTACATGTTTTAGAAAAGAAACCTCATATCTTATAGGGAGAAGTCGTAATACTTATACAATACTAATATTTTTATCTTCTTTTTTCTTTTTCAGAGTCTTAAAATACAGACAGGCGCTGAAAAATTCATTGTTACTCAAAGTAATTGGTATGACGCCACCCGTAAGTATGTTTAACTTTTTCTAAAGTGTAATGCTGGACAAATTACGCTGCTTCAGAATCACATCTATGTTATGTAAAGTTTAATAAAATTATTGTATGTAAGACAGAAGTATGATTTCATTTATACATCAAAAAGCCCGAAAGCTTCGTCATTTTTTTCATCAAACATCGTTAAGTCAGTGTGTGAATTTTTTCTCATTTTTGTACAGAGAAAGAAATAACACCGGAAGGTGGCAGTGTTTCGTTGCACGATTTCAACTTTGATTTTCCAAAGGGTTCATTAACAGACAAAACGAAGGTGGGTTTTCAATACTTTATCAATTGTTCTGGAGATATTGTTCTGCGCCATATATGCTGTATCGGAAAGACTAATTACCAAGTACAACTGATTATTGCAGGTGCAGTTGGAAATGACCAATTCGCCCCCCGAGTATCCAGATGCCTACATAATTATTTCATCAACGGTAAACGTATCAATCAACGCTGAATTATGGAAGCCCTTGAACATTAGCGTAAATCCTTGGGTATGCAAAGACGATAACGATGATGACGTTATATTAGAAGTGCTCCACTTGGAAGAAGGAAACGATTCATGGGCGGCGGTGGAGTCTATGCCGTTTTCGGACGAAAGCGACGTGGAATTTCAATGTCAGAGTTTCAGCAAGATTTCACTTGCTATTAAAATTCTTTTCGGACACAAAGTCATTTTTCCTATAAGTGGTGTGTTTTGTGTTAACAAAAACATTTGGTGCGTGTGGTTTTATATTGACACTAAGGCCACTAGAAGCGAAGCAATGGAAAATCTCAAACAAGAGGGATATAAACATCTGTGTTCGTTTAACACAGTGTTTGCAAAATTTGGAGATGAAATTGAGGTCAAATCAGAAATCCTACCGCCTGATGAAGGTTTCACTTTTCGATTTCGACATAAACTGAGCTTCAAGCTGAATATTAAACTGTGGAAATTTAGACTTCCCCACTTGACGTATTATCTGGAACATGAAGGACCTGTCAGGAAAGCATGCACTCTGAAAATCGGATATGACATCATGCTAAATAACGCACAAGCTGATAATGGATTTGGATATTTTGAACACGATGTCGAGGCCACACTGGATAGAAGTAAGTTGGAGTAATTAATTTGATGTATACGAAACAAAGTAACATTTCAAACAAAGACTTCTTTAGTGAAATTTTTGCTATAAATTATAACACTTTTTTCAAAGTTTGCAATAATTTGTTTGTTTGTTGGACACGTAGTGGACATAAGGATTGATTTGTTTGCTATGTAGTTGTTCTTATTGTTAGAATTTTATTACCTATCGTTATGAAATAATCGCTTTTCTCTTTAACTACTGGACCAATTGCTTTGAAATTTTTAGTGGTTCAATATTGTATTCTTTGCCAGAAGGCTATCACTTTAATTTCTTTCACTAATTTCTGTGGACTCTAAGAGTTTCGATTTTTGTGTGCGATGATGTTTTGCTTGAGCGATAATCGCTTTTTATTCACGATATTTTTTCTGAAAACGGAAAAACTTAATGTTTTAATAAAGTACTATCTATTTTTATTGTATAGGTTTTTCGCAACCTAAGAAGCGCATCGAAGACATTATAAATGAAATTCCAACACGCTTCTCTGCGGGAAAATTTAAAACTTTTTCACTTTCGAAACGAGGCTTATCTTTGGATATATCGGAAGTAGACCAAATAGATAACGAAAACCAGAAAATAAACGATAAAATACGAGCTATGGTCATGGCGTGGAAAGCAAAAAATGGTATATTCTAATTTTTATCAATCTTCTTATTTTAGGTACTTTTATATGCCATAAATATATCTGTTTCTCGGACAATTTATTATGTATATTGTATTGTGTCAATTTTATAATAAGTAGTTTTTCGATAGTAGTTAGTCTCCGACCTTTAATCTGGTTAGTTTATTTTTTATTACATCTTGGAAATTAGCTTTAGAGTTTTCACAAAAAGGAGTAAAAGAATTTGACTATCTCGCTTTTGGAATTTCTTACGATATTTCCTTTTAACGGTAGGAAACAATGCAACTGGCGAAAAACTATCAAGAATCATTGAAACCTATTTTGATGAAAATCCAACCGCCGACAATACCGAACGTTTACTTTTGGAAAGAACTTACGACGAAGTGGCTTCTCATTATGGCTCGTTTCACGAGTGGATCGGATTTGCCAGCTCGGAGAATGGTTTGAATATACCATTACAAATAAGAGAAAAATTTATCGGAAATCAGGAGAACATCACCCGAAATCAAAAATTAGAGATGTTACGGTATTGGACTGAATCGGCTGGTAAGATTTTGCATTTTCATAATGCTTTTTGAAATTATTTCTATTGTGATGTAAATCTTATTGGGTAGATTGAGTTCTTATTCTGAAAAATCCCTTTTCTCCAAAGCTAATGGATTGATCGATTCAAATTCTCAGTATAATATATACTCAAAAATGGTAATTACTGTTTTTATAAGCTCTTTCGGGCTCGATATTCCACCGAAATTTCGATATATCGTTATACTTCAAAGGTGACCGTACATTTGAACCCACGTGTATACCCGCAGGTTCAATCTATATGCGGGTGCTAAAACCCATGTGGAGGGTTAGTATGGGTTCAAATATCCGTAAAATAAAAAAATTTCCATAGGTGCAAAAGCATGTAGGTGAAATTGTCGTGGGTTCTAATGTAGGTGAGTTCAAATGTAATGGAACCTAATTCAAGAGGAACTCTTTTATGACGCAAGAAACATTTTAATCGGCCCCAGTACCCTATGTAGAGCTTTACTCTCTTATTTGGTTTTATTAAGCTTTTATAATGTGACGCTATTTTTTTTTCTGATGCCTCGAAAACATTTTTGAAATATATATTTTTGTACAGTTTCAATGTGACATAATTATTTTAATTGACATAAGTAAATTTTTATATTTTACAGGTAGTTCAGTAAGCGCTAAAATGTTGGAAGAAGTTATGGAAACTTATGATCAAAAATCAGCATAGATTTTGACATTTCAGCGTGTTGAATTACGTTATCGCCAACTTAGAGAATATCGTCGATGGTTAATGAACAAACTTCGATGGAAGTTTAGTGGCTCAATTAATGTGTATTGGCAAAATATCATAAAACTATCAGACCTTCACGATTTGTTCAAAAAACACCTTTTATTTTGATGAACTTGACTCTATACACATTTGGAAATACCAACTATTTTACATTTTCCCAGCCAGCTTGGACTGGTAACTGAATCGGAGTCGTGGGCATGGTCATCTTCCCGGCATTCCTGGTCGTTGATGTGCTAAATTATGAATGAACTCTTTACTCTGAGAGAATGAATGGGGGATATTTCTATTTTATTCGTGTGATTTAGAAACGCTACTGCCTATTTTTTTTGACAATTCCAATAGTACATTGTAAAATTATTGTAAAATGTAATATCATAACGAATATGTAAAAATACCTAAGTGCGATGTAATTAATGTATGCAAAATCGTATATTGTCATGTTGAATTATCCCAAGAATACGTATTTCTTAACTTTCTATCCTCTACACTTCTACAGAATCATTACTTTTTTTCACATCTACAGTATATATATATATATATACATATATGTTTTGTATAATAATCTAATATCAATATATTATAAGCCGACTAATCAAAGATATGAACACGGAAGTCAGAAAGACTACCGCAATGTCAGCAATGATGGTGGTTCCCAAACTTTTTGTACCATCGCCCCCCTGAAGTAGTTTATACAACTTCATCGCCCCCCGGCACTGCAAAAAAAATGAAAGTCTGAAACGAATATATTACGGACCAAATAAGAAGACAAATCATAGTTCATAGTGTTTTTTAATGAGATGGATGAGCTTGGTGTTCTTCAGCGAGTTTTTCATTATATCTAAAATTACCCCGTTTACTGATGGAAAGGTGATTTAGTTGTTTTGATAGCAATAGCAGCACGGCTGAGAACCCCCCTTTCACCATATCAGAGGTCGGAAATGAAAGAATTCAGGGTTCCACTCTCTCAAAAACTGTCGTGTACTCTTGCATTCAATTCCCTAAATTCACCGCATTTCACATTGAAATAATGAAAACAAAATTAATTTTCCAAAACTTATAATGATGAGCTTTACCAAAATACATGATATATAACGGTCTCCGGTAAAATTCATCCCCTATTCCTCATCCTACCGCGTCCTCCAGTCCGATCACCAGTCCATAGATTTAATCAGCCATTTGTTTTAGATTCGTGGACTCGGATGGCCCAAGAGGCGGCAAATTTTACGTCGCTCGCGGGACAAAATTTAGGGTTGCTATTCTTTCGCGGATCGCATATATTTTTTGAAAGTTGAAAACGGAACATCGTGCAAAAACTGCGACAATACGTGAATTCAACTGAGTCGTCTTATTAAAAAATTATTACAATGACATTCAATGTGACACTGTCTTTTTGCTGCATCACGCTTGATAGGACGCCAAGAGTGGAAGATTTTCTAAATGGGCATCACTAATCCTAGTTTTTTGCTTGTTCTTGTAATGTTCATTTTTGAAAATAATTGTTCGCACAAATATGTACTTCCAAACATCCAAGTGAATATTTTCGCATGGTTTGTGAAATTTTGATGAAGATTTTCTTTAAGAAGATACATTCTTACAAAAATTAAGCAGTGTTGAATCTCTGGAAAAGAATATGAATTTTTTTTCCTCATTGCATTGCAATATATTCGAATATTTACTGCGCTATAGAACTCCTGCATAAACTTTTCTGCGTGTTTCCATTTGTCTAATTATAATTAAATTGTAGGGTCATCAAACGAGTAGCTGTTCAATATAACTTTGAGGATATAATCAAATTTAGTCTAAACGTGTCATACGATAAATTCTGTTACGTAAAAAATAGTAATTTAATCCTCGAGCGTAGATGATAAATAAAATTAATTCATCGTTAAAACCGCCGTTTGGGCGTTTCCCCTGGCATAGACTTCCTTGTTTACTTCGTGACATAGGCCAATCAGCAAGATGCAAAAATAAACGTAACAATGCCCCCTTTTGCATCCACTCAGATACATTCCTCACTCTGACAGACTTTCAGGCGTGGTCGTAAACATTACCTCACCTCATTTTTGCGACTTTGAATTATATTCGTTAGTTTTTAGTTGTTTTTCGGAAATTTAAATATGATAGGTCAATGATCACTTTGTCCCCCTAGGAGTTTCAGTCCAATTACAGTAATCAAAAATTAGTGTAGAAATAGCTGTGATGGACTAGGCTGAAATTCTTTACCGGTACTCTTAAAAAACAGATTGTCGAATGGTATGAATTAGAATGATAGTTTGAAACAAATACCTTATTTTATAGGCAACGGGAAACCACTCTTAAAAATAAGCACCGAAAATTTTAGAATGGGAAAAATTTTCCGGGGAGAAAGGTCGGGGAAAAGTCCATTCAGTGAAGTGTCCCGGCCCAGATTACTACAGATTTCCCGACTTCTGGGAACTACCGTACCTTACTGCGAAGACGAGTCCAGCAATCATTTTGCGTGCGACATCGCCGACGTGATTCAAACCTACGAAAGCACGCAGTGTACAGTAATCAATTGCACGAGGCGCCGAGCAAAAACAGGTTTCGCGAAATCGCCCCCTTCGACTTTTTCGCCTCCCTCTGTATCGTTTTCGCCCACCGGGGGGCGATATCGCCCACTTTGGGAATCACTGGTCTATTTGACCTAGCTTTTATTCAAGTCATTGCTGACCCAAGGTAGGTTTGCTTCGAGTCACACTTTACAGGCTCAAGTTGAATAAAATGTATAAAACGGTGTAGACTAACGGTAGTCGACTCAACTCGATGAAAAACTACAGAACTACTTCGTTGAAGTGTTAAGGATAATTTTAGTGGCATACCATGGTAACGGTACAGGGACTCACCTAGCTTTTCCAGGTCCTGTGACGGTGATCCATTCTTCATGATTCAATTTCAACGTGAATTACAATACCAACTGATCCAAGTCACTACTGGATTACCATAGCCTACAGGTATCGCAGTCTACCATTCCTCATAAAAAAAAACTTTCCGACTTTCGCAAAGCTCGAAATCCAGAGGCGTTCGCTGAGCACGAGACCTGTAAACATGCATTTGCATAACCGCCACACGGGGCGCAAATTTTGATGACGTGAAAGAGTGAAAATTCCAACAACAAGATCAACATAATATCAAAGCGATTCACAGGTCCACTCCTTGCCCAATAGTTGTTGGGACAAAACATTTCTTCAATTGGGGCAGTTGCACATGCGATCTGAATGCAATTAATAGCTTAAAACACTTATATATTGAATCAAATGGTATTTTAATTGTCAACAGACGATGGTATTTTATGTGTTCGGTGAAGACTCGTACAAGGCAATTAGATATTTCTCAATATGTACAAATTCTACAATATAAGACTGCAGGTCAACATTCCAAATCCTTGGGTTTATATTCAAATTTCGGCCTTAGCATATTTCAACCGAAACATTTCGCTCTGTGTAATCATTTCAAAACAAAACATGTATTTTATATTATTAAATAAGTTTATTTAAAATCACAAAGAAAAACGGAAATCCTACCATAGTGTCAGTTATAAAGTATTTGTCAGTATAAAGCTCATTCTCCTTTTCGAATATTTCCTTTTCAAGTTTATTGAGGCAAATCCTATATAAGGGTAACAATTCATGCAAACAATCAAGTTTTTCTTGAATATCCATAAGTTTCTCCTCAAGTCGGCGTAAGTTGTTAGATTTACCAGAACGACAGCAATTCGAAGTAAAGAAGTTTTTAATCTTATGACGCACATTCTTCTTTTTTGATTGTTTCTCCCTAATTTTTTTTCAACAATTTTTCTCTCTTTTGCTCTTCATCATATATTTCTAAGAAAAACGTAGCATCCAAGCAAATAAAGAATAAGAAAATATCTATAATAAATATATTTGCCGAAAATTCCGCTTTGGCGTCCACCCAACCAGCATAATACACGAACACTGCCAATTTGTATGTTCTGGTTACTGTTGTTGCTGTGTAGCGTACCAGTAGCTAACTCACTGAAGATGAATGCGTGATTTTGTTTGTTTCGTTGTTTGTTAGCGGTTAATTGGAACAATTTGTTACGTTTAAGCCCTGTACGTCAATGTGGTGCTGGTCTGCCACTTTTGCAGTAGTCGGTTAGCCGTCATCACATGAAAAATCAATACTGTTTGGCCCTGCTCTGACTTTTACGAGAATGTAACATTCAACAACGACTTTTTGAAGAAAGTGTTATCTATAGATAAGTAAGCTCTGATTGGGCGAATAACTAAATTTTGAATATTTGAAACGCCAGGCTATTTTTTTTTATATATATCTTCCTTTTGCAGTACATACAAAAATATACATTCGTTTTTTTGTATCATTAACGTCAATTATCTTCTATTTTTCGAACTGAAATCGCTATTTAGTAGAAGAATATGCGCATGCACTCTCGATGAGAATAATTATGGTCAACGAAGGCAGCTGGAATGGCTTCAAAACAGGCATGTGTGGTAAAATCTAAACTTAGAAAAATCACAGCTAATGGGTCGTGGTCTTTGGAGGCGTCCCGCTTTGTATAGTAACCTTATCATTAATTGAAATAAAACATCGAAATTTTGGACGACCTCACAGATCTCATAGAAAGCTTAGAAATTAATAAAAGTAATACCAGTGTCAACAATTTAACCACTGAAAATTTTAGAACAATTGATTCCGCAGTTGAAGAGAAAAGCGATTTTGTCACAACAAGTAGAAGAAAATACCAACAATTCCCAGCCAGCAAAACATAATTAATCTTATAGAAAGTCCGTGGCATCGTTCCCAACTATTTTTCCCGTCGTGCTGCAAGTTTTCTGCAAATGCACACTCTGGTGAAAAGTGAGCCAATAGCATATATGTTTGGTAAATGAATGTGATGTTACCGTATATTGCTAATTTGTAGATTGTCTCTGACTTGCAAGTCACCCGTTCACCCGTTCACACAGCTTCAACGCCCACGTGAATGAGGAAACTTTAGAAAACTCTGTTTGATTATATTCTCAGATTTCAACGATACACAGAATATAAATCTTATAACATTTATCCAGACTAGCTTAGAATGGTTTACCTCGTCTGCCACTATCGAAAGATATCGGAGTCGTATTTATACGTCGAGCATACATCTAATTAAATACTGTAAACGTGAGCTCGTGATTCACGTTTTAAACAGAAACTCCTATTATCTCAATAAGTGTAATTATGTACATCGTACGGATGGGAACTTGGATATAATTATTTCAATCAGTGCCAAAGGTCTTTGAGAATATAAATTTTAATTTGATAATGACTGGGTGGAACCTGTTATGTTCTTAAACCTGGTGTAATTTGATTCCTACGAAAGTCTTTGTTCGAATTTTGGGGAAAATTAACTTTGTTTTCATATTTTTAACATGAAATGGGATACATTTGGGGGTTAGTTGCTATATTATCTCCCCATCTTACTAACTGGAAGTTTAAAGATTTGGCACCTTCTAATAACTTAAAAATATATAGAAAAATATTTTCAGTTCAGTAAATTTAGAAACGTCAAACCAGATTAGGTATTTAAAATAAATTTCCCAGATTTTAAACTCCGCATGCTTGGTGACATGTCATTAGCCATTTCTTGCATGACCCGAACATAAAGTTGATTAAAATTAAATGTCAAAATGACTTTTCGGCGTTTTCATTGATTTTATGTCAATAGAAAATTCTAGTTATATAAATAGCATGGATTTTAATATGACCAGTTAGAGTTTTTTCCAAAAGCTAGTATGAGTTAGTTGTATGAAAAACACTCATTAAGTTGTAACCAGATAAGAATGTCAAGTCCTACTCCCTTCAAAGCATATCGTTTTAGCTCTTCTGTGATCCCTTCCATCCTTGGCCAAGTAATGTTTCGAATATGTAAACAATTTACTCTACCATGCATGACCGTTGAGCCAAGAGTAGAACGTAAAATCAATCGTGAATTTTGTTGTAATAATGCACACTGACTCGTTCACGAATTGTTGCGTCTATTATGATCGAAAATCTCGGTTACCGCATCTCGGTTAACGGGCACTTTAAACAGGCACAGTTAATTTACAAGCGGTAATAAGTAAGAACAAATCCAAGGCAGAGGATAAAACTCAGGCGTCATTAACCAGTAAAAAAACGCTTTATTGCCGACTATTCAATCTTTCTATCAATTTCCAAATGGGGTATCGACCTCCAACGTTCTGGATCCCTGGTATGTATAAAAAATATTCATTATTCGGTATTCGTTAAAAATATTCAAATTATTCGATTCGAAAAAATATTCAATTTTGCTTACCCTACCTAAACTAACAGCTATTCAATTTGGCTTTGATTTTATAATAAGTTCTACAAAGCGGGTCGTAATCGTGGTGGATGCAGTAGCTGCTTTAGATGATCGCAAGATATTTCGGGACTATATTCGATTACTGAAACAAATTAAAATGCTCATCATAATCATTGAGGTAATTGATTTATACAAATATTCGGAAATGCGACAAAAATTGAAAATCCACGAAAGCAAGCCAATGATTACAGCCATGTCAAAAATATCTCCAAGTGAAAAGTGTCCGCGTGGCTGCGAAAACGCTTACTGTTTGCGTCACTATTGCATCTTGTAGATTAGTCATCGGTACGCAAATAAACACAGGGGAATCCACTCGACTAACCATCAGACTTCCGCATTTTAATTTCAATTCAATGATTAGTTTTCAACGAAAAATTTTCTTTGAAAGTATTAACAAGAGCCGCAGGAAAGATTGTTGAGAGCCGCATGCGGCTCTCGAAACCTAGTTTGAGAATCACTGGGTTAGTGGGTGCGTTAGCCAACTAAATACAGTACAAGAAAAGCACCGTATTTATCCGAGTATAAGGCGCTTAATTCTATACTGATTTTCCATTAAAAATTAGGGGTGCGCGGCATACATGAAATATGAATATAAAGTAAAGCAAACTAATTTATACAAATTTTCAATCAAAAATTAATACAGCGCAATTTTCAGAGTGTGCGTTGCAATCGAATAAATACAGTATTTGTTTGTTGCATACAGTTTGTTTTGTAAGAACATCAAAATGAACAAAAGGTTACTGTCATATCGAATCTTCCATTTACTCACTCACGGCGCTATAGAGTTGTTTACAATCTGTGGTTCACTGGGCTTTGGTTGTCAAGAACCGCAAGCTTTCGCGTATCGTTTTGCTTGTCGTGAATTTATCACTTCTCTTTTTGAGATGGTTAACGTTTAGGTTGGGGTTTGCTGCAAAGTTTAGAGTGCTTACCACAAGACTAAAGTAACGTTAGGTGGTACTTATGCCTACCGGTACAACTGCAATACCACGGTACTATTTTATCCGAATTCTATATTTTTAAAGACACGTTTCAAAGCAAAATTATATTCATTTGGGGTCTCGTGTAGTTTCGTACCTAATATACTTCTAGTGGGCGTAGCATCACAGGTGGGGGTTAGGATTGACACATGCAAATATTGTTATTCTACGCCCATCAGAAGTATGTTAGGTACGAAACTACATGAGACCCTTCCTTTGTGTCAAAAATGATAAATCATTGACTCATAAAAAATGAATACCAATAGTCTAGAAATACAGAAATAAAGCAATTTCTATGCATTTTAGTGTGCTTTTAGTTCAATAAATTTATGATTTTGTTAGAAAAATGACAATTCTATATTCCTATAAACCAAATAAAATGAATGAATAAGTTTGAGTTAAAGTCTTATGTAATTACTCATTTTGAATTGTACGATAGTGTTAGTACACATTGAACTATACAGTTCAGCAGTTTGAAACAAGATATCATATTTTCCGATGTATGGTTGCTGAAAAAAATCAACGAATATCTAATGAACAAATACGAAGTACTTGGTATTGTTGGTGAAGGTACGTAAAATTTTCGGAAAATATACTAGAATTAAGTTGTTTCAATAAAGTTATCGATACCAATGTATTTTGTATTTGCGAAAGTATTTTGGACCAATTCTTTGTATCCCATAATCATAGATAATTTTCTAATGTTCATGTGAGATATGAATATTTATAAAAAAATCTTACTAAACCATACTTGCAGACCTAAGAATGAGATGTTATTAACCTATCAAGATAAGATTAAAGTTTTTATTGCTGAGACTGCAATTCTAACCTTACTTTATTCTGTTATTTCATTTTGAATTGTTGGCATCTATTTGAACATGAATATAATTTTAATCATCAAATATTTATTTCAATATCTTCAGCCATTTGGTTATGTAAACATTGACCATGACGATACCCAAAAAGTAAATAATATTGCTGATTTGAATGAATATCAACGGTGATTTTTACTAGGGACTAATGCTATATTATGGAAGGGATAATTTAGTTTTGTGTTGCAGGATTGATCGCTCTGGCTAGATCGAAAATGGCTGTTAAATAAGCTAGGCAACTAGTTCTTCTGTAATTCAAAATTGTGATTTAAAAGTTTCAATGCCTTCCAAATGGCAACATTAGTGTTCTAAAATGTTTGAATCCATGTTGATTGTTGTTTAAATACTCTGGAAACGGTGAAGCTATACCTGCAAGATAGATTAGGAATTCAAATTGTAATCTGAGTTTAAAATTGTCAAATTTTTATTTCAGGAGCTTATGGCGTAGTACTGAAATGTCGACACAAGGTATGTGTATTCAAATTACATTTTTACCTTTTGAGCAATATCAATCTATTCTATTCACCTATGGCAGAGTCCCAACTGAATTCTTGGGACTGATATTTGGGTACTCCTGAAGTATGTGAACCGAGATGGCGGACACCGGAACGTAGTATCAGTATGTGTATCAGGTTAGGGTTAGGCCATGATTTTATTCCAATTTTCCTTATTTTAGTTTTATTACAAGTTTGGGGACTAGTCAAGTGACTCCCGTAGTATTCGTACCTGAAATTATGGCCTAGCCCTAACCTGGTACTCATACTACATTCCGGTGTCCGCCATCTTGGTTTACATGCTTCAGGAGTACCGATATTTGTTGTTGTTAGAATATTAAATTCATTTTTTCTAATTTTAAAAGTTGAGCAAAATGAAATACTAGAAAAGTTTCTATCCTGGTACCAGTTCAATAAATGTCGTATAATCTTTCATTTCATTATTATTTTACTCATAAATTTGAAAAATCAATTCATTTATGAATGTCCTCAATTGTTCAATTGTTAATGAACAATGAAAACATTGTATCTTTACCCCCTATTGTTTTGTACTGTTTTATTGCCCATGTTTTAAGTTTTGTGAAACAATAGTTGAGACATACTATTACAATTGTGATCACACGGCTGGTTTCATTGTTAAAGGATCTTTAAATTCCAGGATTAGGATTTATGCCACTGAAGATTTTAAAAATCCTATTTTAAATTCATTTATTCTTGTTAAAGCTTTTCTCTAAATGCTATATTTTGACTTTTCTCAAAATATTTCTGCTATTTTTTGAACGTATCATAAACGCCTGGTATTAGGTTATTGTCATCTTTGATCATGCTTTTAACCTTATATATATCATCCATGTATTGCCTCCATGCTGATTATATAGTCTAAATCAGGGGTGTGTAATATTTTTTTCCGTTGGCCAGCTGGGGCCATATATCCAACTTCAAAAATCTAGCCGCGCTAAATTGAGTTTCTCCATACGGGAAAGGCAAATGAAACGAATGTGGCTATGGCTTAGCCTTGCAGTATTGGAGACACCTGGCAGTGACGAGAGAAACAAACATTATGTATTTTTGTCCATGTGAGCGACTTCTGATGGAGAAAATCTGAATGTTGACAAGGGACAAACTAAATAGCTTGGCGGGCCGAGTTGGTGCCCGCGGGTCGACTGTCACACACCCTTGGTCTAAATAAACTTACTTGCCTTGGTAGTGTAAGTAATTAATTGATCTTTGTGATGCATCCATTGCAACCACCTATTGTTACATTTATTTTCAATTGTCTGAATTTAAATTCAAATGATATTCAAACACATATACTGGTGAATTTTTTATTAGGTACCGGAAACAGTGTCTGCTCAGTTTCTGTTCCCATTTATTTTCATAGGCTATTATGAGAGTTGGTGGTCAAACCTAATTCTCGAACCCTTGACTAAAAAGTAGTAAAAGAATACCAAGAGAGTTGTTTTTGATGCACTAAGTGATTTACATAATTCTATTTTTCCTGTGACAGAGATGTTGTTGTTAATATATAGTGGTTTATATGAGTCGGGCAATACTATTCAGAAATTTGTATTATTATTACAAAATTCAATTCCGGTCTCAAATATCACTAATTTTGTTGATGAAATAGAATCTACCAGTATCTTAAATCCCACTCATATCTTTATTTTAACCTGCTTTAAATGTTTGTTGATGCGGTGATGATTTATATTTAGTCTTTCAAAATACAATAAAATGGAAGTTTATTCTATTGTATTGACGAATGGTTGGCACTTTGCTTTTTTAAGTGTTTGTTCAGGCTTACAATATACGCCTTCCTCCACACAGAAGTAAATAACATACTCTGCCCTTTTAACTTAAAGTTTATTTAATAATGCTTCTATGAGTATTATTTATTTGCTGTGAACACTATTCTTTTGATGAACTTCAATCAAACATGGCTCTTTAATAAATGTACTATTTTAGCTTTAGTAATCCAAGCTTAATCCTACATGAATTATTTTAATTAGTGTTCACCTTAATAAAAGGAATATTGATGATGTAAATTGGCCACCCGTTGTGATGTTTCTAAGTACTTTGGCTGGTACTTGAAAGCAATTTTCATCCACTTAATTTTTTAAATGGCCTACCTCATCTTAACATTCCGTAATACCTCAAGGTGATGTTCGATTTGTTGATAACCGCTGAAAAAAATATAAAAATATCACAAATAATACTTGCTTGAACTTGAAATATAATATAGACTGGTAAACATGCTATCCTCTGTGATTTTGGGTTTCTTATATTCTACCGTTTAACCCTATTGTGTACTAAATTTGGTAGGTGAATACATTGGAGCGTCCTATAAAACAATAAAAAATGTTTTGAATAATTGATTTCTCTAAGCAACACTATAACAAACGACTGTAACACCATCCCAATTTTACTGGTACAGTAGGAACCTCATAAAAATGATAAAATTCCTATAACCAAATTACAATTTTGAAAACTTGAAATTTCTTACTATTATATAATTTATATGGCATTGTATTATTATTTTGCTATGTCTTGTCTTTGAATTATGTTTTGTTGGTGTTATACTTGCCTGTCTTGATAGCTTTATATTCATTATTATATTTTTTTTCACAGGATACACAAGAAGTGGTAGCCATTAAAAAATTCAAAGATAGTGAAAGTAAGTAATGTCTCAATTTTGATATCTCACGCCAATCAATGTTCTTAATTTATGAATGAGTTTCATGTGACGTGGATTTGAGCAAATAGTCTCAAAAACAATTTCACTCTGAAAATTATTTAGATTTTCAAGTTTCAATTGTTTGGTATAATTTAGATTAAAATTTCTTGGTTTAAATATCAAATTGTATTTCTTTCCTGTAAACTTTTTAATATTTTGATTATCAGGCGAAAATGAAGATGTCAAGCGGACAACAATGCGAGAGCTGCGGATGCTCAAAGCTCTCAAGCAAGAAAATATTGTTGAACTAAAGGAAGCTTTCAGAAGAAGAGGGAAATTGTATCTGGTGTTTGAATATGTCGAAAAGGTTTCTAATAAATGATACAATATTAATCTAGCACACTTGTGGGTAAAAGATTTGACTATATTTTGGGTTTAGCATACAAATTGTGATTTATGTACAACACAGTACTCATGTATAGGACAATAGAATAATATCTAGGAGGTATCTTGAAAAATAAATATGATAGGCGTAAATAAATATTTCTTTGAAAATACATAATAACTGGAAATTTTTGATAAATAGTTATCGATATAATGCTGTATTTGGAGATTCTGTTGAAACCCATACCTATAGGATCTTTAGTTTATCTAAAGAGATAAAAAAAACTAACATTCACAAATGTATTTCAGAATATGCTTGAAGTACTTGAGGAACATCCTGATGGTGTGGAACCAGAGAAAGTCAGGTAATAGTTTTGTTATTGGACACGTAGTGGACATAACGATCGTTTCAATATTATGTTGTTGTTGTTCTTGTTCTTTGACACGTTTTTAAAAAGTCGCTTTTCTCTTCGAATACTGGACCAATTGCTTTGAAATTTTCAGTGGTTAAAGATAAAAATTTTCTCCAGAAGGCTATTACTTTTTTTTTCGCTATGACGTCATCAAAATTATGTGACTCTACGTGTCCATATATTTGAGCATAGCTCTCTTGTTTATTACTAGTAACAGACTGAAGAAAACTTTCAAAGCATTTTCATATTTTAGCGATGCCCATATCCTAATAGCCCAGTGGTCTGCAATTTTAAATAATTCTAATATTTAATTTGAATATGCTAATCTATCTCAATAGGTTCCAAAATAATGATATGTGGAAAATTTTGGGATGATTTTGATTTTGATAAAAATTTTGATTTCATCATAGAGAAGAAATATCAATCAATACTTTTTACCTGGTATGGTATTTTCCAAATTTAGCAAAAAAAAATTTATATTCAAGACTATACAGGAAGGATTATAATTTTGTCATTTGAAAAGCCTTAGGATACACAAAAATATGGAAAATGGAACAAATTATTTATATATGGACAGTTTGTGAAATGCCGGTTGTCAAGAACAGAAATTGTCAGACAATGTAGTGAAGCATTTTGTATTGCTGACATTGATTGAGTTTTCTTTAAAATCTCTGTATCATATCGATAAGAAACTTCAGAACAAACTAATAATGAATGTTCTATTGAGTTTTATTAAATGACTTAAATAAGCATCCGAAGTCAAAACACATTCTTATTCATATGAGAAGAATCTTGTGTAAGCCTGTAGCCTAATTTATAGAGTTTTGCTAAATTTGTCATTTTTTGCGAGCTAGACTGCAACGATAGGCAGTTTCACTTCAGTATTTGATTTTCACTCACGTGAAGTTTAAATACCTCCCGAAAACTTTACACAAACATTTGTGGTTCCAAGAACCAAGGACACCTCGATCAAATAGCTTTATTTCTTGTTTTAAATGTTTTGAAGTCATTTATCAAACTTTCATAAAATGGATATTCCAGTTTCTATCACCTTTGTGCCTTGCCAAACATAGACCATAGAAAATAAAAAAGGAGTCTTCAATTTACCATACTTGGTCATTTGTTATAATATATTGGTGTCTAAGTAAATACGCCTACCAGTCACCACAGTGATGCATTCCGAGAATATTTTATTTTTTTGAGTGATCTAAGGTCGTAAACCTATTTGCGATGGCTAAATACTAGATCCTGAGTTTATTAAGCTGTGTTTGTTCAGTAGTAAAATTTATATTCAGGTCACCAAAACAAATAATAATACTATCAGTTGAGATGATATGTTAACTCATAATGCTATACCATCCCAAACATATTTTTAATTGAAACATTGACTTTTTGGGATTACAAGCACTATACATCCTAATTTCATTGTAAGGTAAAATGCCTTTTGCTCCAAACAATACCTTTTACTAGCAGCCACTGATATCTAACATATTTAAGATGCTATTATTTTTGATTGGACTGGAATCTTAACGGTTTGCAATATATTACACCCTGGTTTAACCTGGTTTAACTTAGGTAACAATTCTATGGCTTTACCCGCTTGTTTGTGTAAGATAATTCTATGAGAAACTTGAGTAAAGAATCATTTTGACATTTGAAACTTTGTCTCACTTGACTTTGGTTTTATCTTCTGACATGTTGTTAGTAAATGGAAAAAGGGAGTTGTTTCTGACTTTCAAGTTGCTTTGATAATTGATGAACATCCTTGAGGATATCTTGAATATTGAATTGTGGCAATATGAACACTATAATCTAGTCAGTAAACACATTTGACCGGCTAAGTCATATTCAAATAACCCTTTTACAATACACTTCATATATGGCTCAATTTACTTGCTTCACCTTACATCCTTTAGCAGCATTCATAAATACAAGTTCCTGAATAATTTATCGATGTAAGGTACATCTCTTATATAATATTGCATAATCATTGTCTAGGCGTGTTTAATATCATTTTACAATTCTTAATTTTTTGTTTTAATTTGTAGGAGCTATATTTACCAACTTGTAAAAGCAGTACATTGGTGCCACATCAATGATGTTATTCACAGGTATGTTATGTACATCTTGGTTTGATAAAATTCTAGTTGTAATAATGTAGTAAGTGATGTTAGAATGGAATTTGCTTTCAATTCACATTCCAAAATATTCCTGGAATATATCTTGAAATTTCAATTGATTGTAATTGAAATTTTAAAGTATTATATGGTTATCAATGTATAATATATGATCATTAGGCCTATTCAGCGATTCCATTGGTACTTTTTGATAATCTGAATGAAATTCAGCATAGCAACTCAGAAATATCAAGTATTTTCATTTCATAATAAATAGAAATAGAAAATAATGCTTCTTCTTGATTCATAAAAACTGAGAGACTTACTTAAGAAAACACTGTTATTTACCATTGTTGTACCATTTCCTTCACTCTATCAGTCATCAGTTACTGTCACTTTTGAAGAAACTTTCAAATTTTATTTAAAGTTTTAGCATTCACAGTTAGACATTGTCCATATCAAGCAGTTGGTGGGTGGGTTGCTATTGCCTAGGGGTTGAAAGTTTTGGACTCAACTCTTTCCCACCACTTTATCTAGGATATAATAGGTTGGGTAGGCGGTGCTAAACCTGAAAGATTCTGGCACTTCCGAAATAAATTTCCACTTAGCTAACAATGACTGCATTTTCGAAGTGAAATGTCCTCATTTAAATATTTCTATATTTCTAGTTTGTATAGATATGATATATCAAATGCCATTTTCATGTTTCGTGTTGCTAAGTTATATCAACACTAAACAGAACTTGATGTTATTCTTTTCAAGTGTCTTATTGGCACGAGTAACAAACTCATAGTTTTTCAAGTACCATCTAGGTGTTCAATCAACTTGCGGTGAACAATAATGTATTGGGTTGAAAGAGTTTTTGAACTTTGTTATATCTTGTTAGTCCCTACCGGGCATATGTCCCAAAATCATAATTCTAAATATGTCGTAAATTTAGAAACATTCAAATGAAACTGTTATATGGTGGTATGGCTTTGTGGAGGGTACATTTGCCATTATAAGTGATGTTTTTTCGAATACATCCAAAATTATCAACATTCCATTGTTAATTTTTTTTATGCTCATTACAAAATACTCGCACCATGATATCTTTTTTTTTCATCAATTTCCTTTTTTACGAGTGCAAATTTATGTTTTATTTTTAATATTGTTCTTCAGGGATATAAAGCCTGAAAATCTGTTGATTGGAGCAAACGATGTTTTAAAATTATGTGACTTCGGTTTTGCAAGACCTGTGGCAGTACCAGGAAAAGGTGGCACCAATTATACAGAATATGTTGCCACAAGATGGTACAGGTCACCTGAATTATTACTTGGGTGAGTATAGATGTTACATAGAAAATCTTATTTGAGGTGTTAGTCTGAAAGTGTGATGCAATAACGTCAATTGTTTTCATTCCTCACATACCGGTAACTAGTTATTCATCGGCATTAGATTTATTAATTAAACAAACACAGCAATGAAATGATTTTTTATGAAAAAAACTAACCGTTTATTCTCGCATTTCATTTGGCCCTAAAAATTATAACACGCTGTACACACCTATCACAGCAAACGGTTGCTCGAGTGCGATCGAAGGTAATGCGTGTAAAACTTGAATTTTAGTGCGATCAGAGTTATGTGCTTATGAGTCGACCCCTTAGTTTGGCAATTTTTTTTGAGTTTTAAACTCGGCTTATATGCAGGGATATTTGGTAGCCTACCCATATAATTCATAATATTATTAAATTTTCATTTTTTTCAGATAATAAGAAATTTAATTTTATTTAGCCTGCTTTTTCATCAAATATCCTTAAACAAGAACGTTTTTCTAAAATTTTCTTTACCATCGTGAATTCCAAGTGTAATTTAAAAGACAAAATTGTTGTTTTTCGAAGTACTTATATACGACACAAAAATAACAATTTCAAGTTTATCACACTGTGATCACAATTGGCACTCCACAGACAAATTTATTATTTAACGTATGCCAACAAAGAAGGATTATTTTTCTTTGTCTCGACAGATCCTCATTCTTCAATTTTAACGGATTACTGAACACAATATCCTATCTTTTAAAACTTTTGATAATGTCGAGTATGTTTTATCTTCTTTGGGAATTACTTGACTGCTATACCTTATTAAATCAGTGCTCCTTGCTTTCTTAGGATTGATTTTTGAGTATATATTTCAGAAAAAAGCGCATCTAGTTAAATAATTACTATTAAAAAATCATTCAAAATAGCATTTTTAATCATATTTTTTAAATAAAATTGGTTGAACAATAGAACATGCCATTATAATATGAAGTGTATTAGTAGTCGTTCCAATACGACACTATAAATACGCAAAAAATACGTCAAAATATCAATTTTTATGCAATTCTATACTAACTGAAAATGCTAAAATAAATTTTATCTTGATGACAAAATAAAGGTATAAAAAATTGACTAGATGTTTTTTTTAATTTTGGCATAACTTACCAAAATAGATTACATAAAATACCTTAAATCAGATCGGATATCGCTAACATGGCAGACAAATATTGTTAGGTCATATGTGTTAAATGATAAAACAATTTGTAGCATTTTTCAGAGAAAAGTTTTCGATGTTCATGATGTAGGCCTACTTAATGCACGTCTTTTGAATTGAACAAACCCATGTTCGAAATAACTGTAATTGGTAGCTTTTGATTCATTCTTGCTATTGTGAATAAAACTTTTATATATTTGTTTTTCATTTGGAGTGAATACTTTTTTAAATACAAAAGACGTAATAAAATGCAATGAATCATATGCCACAAGCCATGTCTCAATTTTCTGTGCTATAATAAAATTTCCAGGAAATTGGTTTGGAAAGACATTCATTTCTTTTTTATAGGTTGTACAAATAGATATAAAAATCATTTATTGACTCAGAAGTCAGGATAGAATCTGTTATTGAAAGGAATTTCCTATGAGACAAGGAAACAGTTATTGCAAAGTTATTAAATACTTCATGCCTTAAAAATGGGTCATGTATTGTGAAATGGGGATTATTCTCCCTCATATTCAAACGCAACCAAAAATTTCGAAATGACCCAACACACATATATATTTTGTTCATTCTAGTGCAAAGTATGATAAAGCTGTTGATGTTTGGTCGATTGGATGCATACTTGGAGAATTGAGCGACAGTCAGCCATTATTTCCTGGTGAAAGTGAAATTGACCAACTTTTCACAATACAAAAAGTACTTGGACCACTGCCTGCAGAACAAATGAAAATGCTATTAACTAACCAGAGATTTGTTGGCTTAAAGGTGAGTATTTACTTCGTAAAATTTTTGGCGCTCCAGAAGTGTATGTACCAATATGGAGGTAACTAATTTTGTTCTCCTATTTTAAATCAAGTTATATAAAGGGACTGAAACTTATGGACAGGGTGTATATTCACTTGGTTAACACAAACAGTCCACGACACGCAATAGAACTAACATAAGGAAAATGGAAATAAAATTATGGCCTAACCCTAACCTGGTACTACGGGACACGAGAGTACCAAATTTTTCGCTTATGTTTTTGTTAATCAGATTATAGACAGTTTTAAATGGCTATACGTGTCAGTAATTTCAACACTCTGATAATTCAATCTTGGTTTCTCTAGCTTGAATCTAGCACTTCTCGCTTTTTCGGGGTGGTTCACGCTGATTGGCTTCTTTATCATCCACTATCTTAAGTTTGGATTTGCATAAATTTGGAATGACAAACTGGATAGTTTAGTTATATATATGCATTGCACAATCTGGGTGTTAACAGAAGGAAATGCCTGAGTCCGTCACGTGATTGTCTTTCTGGCATTATTCTTCGGTGGACTAAGTTAAAGTTCCCAACTTAAATTTTTGAAATTTAAAACCTTGAGTTTGGTGTCGCTGCTCGAATATCAGCATCAGTTTCTGCGGCTTTTTTTTTCTAGTTAAACTGTTTGATTATATTTTGTATATTTCTGGTTGGAAAAAATATTTCATATTTTATATATTTGAAAATCTAGCAATTCTCTACTTTGTAATTTTGCTTTGGATGAATGAAAATAAAAAAAGACTTCCTACCAAATTAAGCTATAGTGGTATTTTTCGAAAACAAAATTGAAATAAGACCCTTCCCTTTTTTCTGGGAAGCACAGTATATATGAAGTTACATTTAAATTGAATTTTATTATTAAAAATGCGTTTTCAGTTTCCCACCCTTGGTCAGCCTGTGACATTGGAAAGGAAGTATTATGGTATAATCAACAGTGTTATGCTTGATTTCATGGATAATACATTGAAAATGGATCCATCTGTTCGATATACAACTGCTGATTGTCTTGATCATTCTGCTTTTCAGGTATTTTGATTTGCATTTTTAATAATTATGAATGTATGCTCTTTCGAACTTGATTCTTCGATAAAATTAATAAACCTGTTCAACTCAATGAAATCATTTTGATATTATATCATCAAATCAATGTGAGCATGTTCAGGCGAACAATGCTTATGCATATCATAGTTATAATGAGTATACAGGGTGTCGATAAAGTACCTGAAGTCAGATTCCAATGTATCTTAACAAGGTTTTTGTTTTTTAATCAGCAATTGTTAAAGTATTTTCACTTCATTTAATACATCTGTGAGGGCCAAAACAATATAATATATGGTATTGACTATTGAGCTATCTATAAATTCCCTTTGCAATTTCAAGACCTTATGGACACCCTATGCAATCTATTTTTATTTAATATTTTTGTTACAAATTTTTTTCATTTTTCTGCTTCACAGATTGAAAGATTAAAAGATAAAAATCTTCATCGAATTTTAACCATAAGTCGACCGTATAGCAGTAAAAGTCGACAAACTCGAAGTATGTTTTTGATTTATTTGACAAAAGACATGACAACTTTCATTTATACTAGTTTACTACATTGTGTTTTCAATAAACTCAAATTTCAATTACCGTATTTGCTCGTTTTGTAGCCCGGGCCCATATTTTTTTAACCAAACTCACTAACCGGGCCCTTATTCAAGCACGGGCGCTTGTTATTTTTAAAGTAAAATTATACACAAAAATATATAAAAAAATTTATATTATATAGATAAGATCAATCGTTACAATAATTAATATATTGTCATTTCCAGTTCTTAAGTATGATTTAAACGGCACCCCAGGTACAAATCCGCGAAAGAAGAAAAGTTTTGCAACGCCCTATCAATATTGAAACGACGCACTTGGGTGTCGCTACGCCCAGTTTGAGAACCACGGTGTTACGTAATCAATGCTATCTGTTATGTCATTGGACCCCTAAGGCGTGAGGGATATCAACCAGCGCTTAAAATTCAACAGCGTTGTGACAAAAGCGCTTCTTATATCCTATTGTTCTCTACCACTGAAAAATCAGCTTTTACATCGGGCGGGTATTCAAGCCCCGGCCCTTATGTATTTTTATGTTCTGTTCACCCAGGCAGCTTGATCAAGATCGGGCGTTAAAACGTATACATATTTTTTAGATCATATGGTAAAGTTGTCAAAATTAGAAAAAGATTTCACTCTGTAAAATTTGTTGTAACTTTTCTAAAGCATAGAAAAACCAGTTTTTCATAATTGCATTGACATAAACTGCTTTAATTCTCTCGACAGTCAGTATTTACTAACATACATTTCTACACTATTATGATTATTAGGTTTAGTAGCTTTTGAACTTTTGTGATCGCCCTTTTGGCACTTTAGTTGTCGTCTGTAACTTTGCTTGGATATATCACCTAGATATTTTTGAGATAGTGCGGGTTACTTTGCCTCTAGAAAATTTTGGGATAGAAAAATTTGGCAATGCATATTCCTAAAGCCCTTCCTGCAAACCACCATGTATGTACCTTGAACTGTACTCTAGTAGTGTGTGTACCAGGTTAGGGTTAGGCCATAACTTTATTCCCATTTTCCTTATTTTAGTTCTATTACAAGTTCGGAGACCAAGTGAATGAATATACCCCCTGCGCCCTGCCCATAGGTTTCAGTCCCTTTACACAACTTGATGTAAAATAAGCGAACAAAATTAGTTACCTCCATATTGGTACACACACTCCTGTAGTGCCCCTTGAACACTATTAGGATACCTACTACTTTTCCTCTTTTCCTTTTTGTAATATCATATTGTTGTCTTCTTGTTAGACAGCAACGGTGATGCACAAAGACCAATCACACCTGGAAAACATCGAGGAAGAATTGAACGCGAACATTATGATGCTAATTCTGAACAACAACAAAGGACAAACGGACAGAATGCTAATAATCACAGTTCTAAAAAAGGAAATAAATTTCTTAAAATGTTACGATCACAAAAAGAGAACCAAAATCAAGTTGACTTCTCACCCACGAAGCAACAGTTTCCTGTAGAAGAAAAATCATCTTTTGATAACAGTAATGATGGGTCCTCTTACCCCGATTACCCGAAACATGTAAAACAATCAAGTGATATAACAGGGAACGTATTACCTCCTATGACGTCAAATCAAAACCGCCGCAAGAAAAATCGTTCAGAAGATATGAATGATAGAAATGGGGTCAAATTTCACAATGAAAGTCCACCCAATTCTATGTATCCTGATGGGGTTAAATCAAGGTCAAAGTTCAACACTTCTTCTCCGCCTGGTCCTGATTATTCAGAAAATTCTCCACCTCCAGACTACATGAGATTTATTAAAACTCCAAAGCAGGGATTAAAAAATAATAATTATGATATTTTCACAACACAAGGAAGACAACAGCAACAACATGATGGTGTACCGGCAGTAAAATCATTTTATGAAATGCGGGAAGAGGTAAATGATTCTATTGACAATGTTTCAACTGTTGTGAAGAAAATGTCGGTATAATTCATTTGCAATTGACGTTTAGGCTACTTGTTTGTTACGGCAATCTCACCGTTGGGTACTTGCTTTCTTGAGCCGTCATCCTTAAAATGTATTGAATCTCTAAGAATGAAGATTATCTATTTTTGTGGATATTTTAGAATATCCTAATTCAAATATTTTTTTTATTAAAAAAACTGTACTCGTTTTATAGTAAAAGAAACTCATTCATGAACTAAGCTACTTTCTACTATCGAAATGCCAAGAGGTATATCTACCATATGATTATTTCCGAGTTATGAGGTTACTGATATACAATTGTATGTATGTATGTATGTAGCTATACTATCATATTATTACGTCAGTTTTATAGATTGTTCTATAATGATTTTTGATGCTTGTTTTTGAAATATTATTTTGAGCAGGCTCGAAGAATAAAGATGTGGTTAGCATATCGTTCTGAGATTTAGGAACACAGTTGGCATGATACCTGGCACCTCTGACATAACTATAGTAGGATACATTATCCAACCCTTTTCATAATTTCAATTAATCATTATGATTTTATTCTATGAATTAGTTCGAAAAAAAATCATCCAGATTGACTTGAACTTGAAATTAAATGACTTGATGTTAGATCTAATTTTTTCCAAAACTTCTTCAAATTAGATACAAAAAGAAGATGCGAAAAATTTGAGAAACGAAGAACTTACATTTGCCAGTCAACAGCATCAACCTCAACAAGCAATACACAAGCAAAAAAGTACAATTCAAGAAAAAATATCATCTTTAGTGAGAGGTAAATATTTTGTTTTCTTTTAAATGTGGGCCGTGAAACTATCGATGGTCTTTATGTAACATGCATTCTTAAGATAAGGTAACTCTTTCCTGGTACAAAAAAAATACAATACACGAGACAAACACTCATCCTAATATTATTGCGTATTCTGCCTGACAGATAATGGTAAAATTGAAAATAGACCTTTCAAAATTATACAGAATATAAACTATAAACTTATCAACATTTGAAAAATCTTAATAATTGAAATGATTCAAATTGGTATCGCCATTTGAACGGCATCTTTTCAATTTGTTGTTCCAAATTCTTGGTTCATATCATATCAAATGATGAAAAACTGAATTATAGTAAATATATAGATTTACAGCATAGCATTATTAAGTTACTTCCAAATTAACAATACTATAATATCAAGGCTATTGAATGTAGATTATTTCTGCTTGAATTTTTTTTGATTGTAGTTTGGGCTTTTCTTTTTCTCATTGCAATTTCAACATGCTATTTTGATTTGAAGCATTCAAATATAACAGACTTCGGTGAAAGCCACACAGGCTACCTCTCGCTGCTGTTAGTCATTGGACCTTTATGCCCATATATTTGAGCATTGCCATTTTGTTTTATTATTAATTGTCATGATTTCAATCTGCAAAATTTTATATAAAACTTAATTCATTTTGATCAAGAATGTAAAACAAGGATGTAACATCGTTGTTCTATTCATCAAAAAGATATCTGTGTTCTGATATTTGTAAAATTTTATACATTACTTTTTAACAGGTGTTAGTAGGAAGCAAGCACGAAGTGAAGTTGATCTTACATCTCAAACAATACCTGTAAGTAATACTCAATTATATATCTATACGGATTACGGGTACAGATTATTCGAAATATACGGTAATCTGAAATAATATTTTTTAATGTGTAATATTGAATATATATGGGGCATTCGTAAAGTCTTCGTAACAGGAATTTATCTATACCACGAGTGGGCAAGGTTTTTAAACCAGGGGCCAAAAATTTTGCCCATCTAGACTGACGGGCCATGTAAGTGTGACGTAAATGTTACATTTTATGAACAATATTTACAGTGGTACAAAAGCAAAAGTGGAAAACAATAAGCCTTGTGCCAAAACTAAATTTAATCGCACTTGCAACAAATTTCTTGAGCTATTTTTTAGCGAAAACATGAAAATTTGATTTAGTTTGGTTGTGGCAGCATCAGACGAGCCAGATTGAATCCTCAACCGGATTTGGCCCACGGGCAGTAGTTTGCCCTTGTTAGATTTTATACCTAATAGGTTGCGCCCACAGACTATTAAATGAGATAAAAAAACTTGAGTAAACACTGATCAAAATAAACAGACCTGGTCAAGATATATTCAGATTTATTTATTTAAATTTTTTGAGAAACGCTGGCACATGACAAAGCATTCGTTTTGTGTTTCAGGAGTCAAAATCACATCTCAATTTGCATCAGACGAGGCACGATAGCGATAGAATAATTTCAGTTTCTCCGCAGTCAAATGCTGGTGATAATCAATTGTCATCGCAACATAGTAAAAGTGTCATCAGCAGTGTAAAGAGTTTCATGACATCGATACCTTCTGATGATCTGAGGGATGAAAAAGTGAGATTTATGTCAAAGATTTTAGAGTGTGTGTTTCATAATACATCTTTTATGGTGTTTCAATTTCTAATTTATAGTGATCAAAATAGGCAACTTGAACACAATACTGCTAATCAAGAATTCATAAAATTACAGTAATATTCTCAGTCATTCATTTGTTGAAGGAGCTTTCTCAAACTGGGGTCTGCGAACCCCTGGGGGTCCATGATGAATGCAAAAGGGGTCTGCGACGATATGAAAATAGATTGATCTTTGATCATTGATTTAAATCAAAAAGCCATTATGGTACATCTTTTTGTTTGATCGATGCGGAATATATTCATTGCTGTTAAAAAGCCAATCAAAAGTTCATCGCCTTTTGGAACGACCTACATGTGTGAGGGAGCATTTTCAGCTCTTACCAATATAATTACAAAATATAGGTCGAGACTTGACGTAGAGTCGGACCTATAAGTTTGCTTGTCACAAATAGCTCCCAGAATTGATAATTGTACTGTGAACGACAAAATTATCCATCACGTTGATGTTGATTGTGTTGTAACATTATCCTTCCTTGTTGGTTAGGCACAAACTTTGATACGACATACGTATTCACAAACAGGAGATCTTTATACCATGTACAGAATTATGCAATGTGGGTGTTCTCATACAAGAAATTTGACACATTTAAAGTTGGACCATCAGTAAAAAAAAATATTTTAATTTGTTCAACTGAGAAAAATATTTACGTTCATGTTATTATTGAAGTTATGTTGTACCCATCCATGCTTTTCTATATGTCCAATTTTATATCTGTGAGATCTGATTTAAGCTTTAATAAATTGTTCTGAAATTACAAGAGATTTTATCGATACCATATATTGTTTTGGCCCTCATAGATGTATTAAATGAAGTAAAAATACTTAAAACAATTACTGATTAAAAAACAACAAAACTGGTTATGGTTAATATATATATTGAGAACTCAACTTCACAACAAATTGAAATTGTACAAAGAACTGTATATTCTCATAGAGAATGGATAAATTGTTGTATCTATGGAATACACTTTATAAAATTTCATTATACACAATACAAAATAGTAACTCCTCAAGTGTTGAAATATTTACGACATGATCAACACAAGTTCTCATTCATTCAAATCGAATGTCAATATTTCCATTATTAACAGTATATTATGTATACTACCCCACGCATACTGGAAAAACTTATTGACAGAGGAATATATTTTCTGATACTGTATTTGATAAACTTTATTTTGTGTTAATGTCTTCAAGGCGAGATTCTTTTGTATCAAGTTTTTAAAAATTCAAAAAATGCTTTTATTATGTTCGGGTGAAACTTGACCCTAGTTATTCGAAATATATTCAAAATCTAACAACTTTAGAGTGAGAAAATAACGGTTTTAAAAATGAAAAAAGTTTTTTCTTCCAAAGACTGATTTAGCCTTATGTATTGAATACATTTTTATGGAACATATTTATATGCCTTTTACCCTGTAAAAGTCTCTGCATATGCAGCTCCTTCTATTCAAGGATCTACTATAGCTTAGAAGGACAGAAATCGCCACGGTTCACACTGCGTACCCATTTTATTACACTCTGGGTGAGGTGGTGGGTACGAGATTTGAACCCGAAATTTGAATCCATGATGTCATCATATATATGTCTAACGCTTTAATCACTACGCCACCTACTACACAAATTTTATGAAGTATTGTTCTTATTGAGAAATAATGGAATACCTCTAAAATAAAACAACATTTTATTAGTCTGGATTCTTGTTAATATCTCCACCTTCACAAGTTTAAATTATAAATTTGTGAGTTTTAGACATTCTGGATATAAATCCTTCAGTTTCAGATGCTCTTTAGTTCATCAATCAAAAATAAAGTTAATAAGGGCTCTGGCAAACATAGTAAATACATTGCTTCGTAAAATCAAACAAAAACTCATTCACATACTTTGACATTCTCACGCCTTATATTACAAATATTTACGATTGCGTTGATAAGATGTCTACGTTGTATTTACTTTATTTCTAGTTTTCATACAATGATTCTCAAATGAAGTTTTAGTCACGAGAGCAATTAATTTTTATTACCTCTTCTTTCGCCTCTTAACTTAAGTTTTGATATACCAAGGTCTTTTTTATATGGAGACTCAATTCTTGGTAACTTATACAAAGTAAATCAGACACAGTGTATTGTGACAGAACTGGTATTAACTCTTCTTTATTGTTTTACTAGTTTATATTATTTTATGATCATGTGCGGAGTAAGAGCCATGGTTTCACCTGATATACTTTTAAATGAGGCAGCAGTTTTGACTGTTCTTGATTGACTCCGAGCACCTCTGCTCACGTTATCTTGTTTTAGTATGTCATTTTGTTTGGCTGCCATCTAGGTCGGACCTATTATAACATATCAGAATATGGCATAGTGAAAAATGTTACGAATTCAAAACACTTTAGGTTGAGTCGAATTATTTCTCATTTTTTCGAGCTCTAAACTTGGCAATGACTCGTTTTCAAGGTTCACAAGCTTACTTTTCTACCTTTTTCAATTTAGTAATATTTCAAATGAATATTTTCTACCAAAGTATGTATCGGTAATATCATGATATTTTTGTATCTTCGATAATATGTATCAGATATCATTTTGATATTTGGGGCTTGTTGAGACTATTAATTTTGATAATCTGTATGTATTTTAAGTAAGTACTCAAAAGTTTTTTTTATTTTGATTTCATATTCTATTTTAACCAATTTTAAATTATATTTTGATACTGCAGTAACTTTTGTTCAATATTGCTCAAATTTTCACAGACACAGTATGCTGATAATGATGATTATAAGAAAGAACTTCGAAGAATAAAGTCAAGCATTTTTGGAAAACGGGCAAACAGGGAAAAATCAGCACCATTGAATAAGATAAGTGAGTGACGTAAAATCCACCGAACCAGACAATGGAATGTGCATTGTACAATGCATATGATATTCCAATATAAAGATTTGATTTTGATAAGATTCTCTCTTATGATAGCAAAAGTTTAAACTGATTTGAGCACAGGTCACATCATATTCTCTTATACTACTGATAAGACATGGATTGGTAAGCAGTTAGAGACCATGATTCATTAAGCCAGCATATCCACTTGCCTCTCTCCCAAAATAAATATGAAAATCCTATCATATCTGTATTAATATGTCAAAGTGAAAAAGTATATTTTGGAAAAATTTCTAACAATATTGAACATGATTCCTCACACAGAGAATTTTCAATAGAAAGATACTCTGGAAAAATAAAAAATCATAATTCAACTTGAAAGGAGACTAAGATAAAATTTCCTTTTTGCAAGTTTATTTTTTCATTTGCATGGGATTGTAGATTGCTACATTAGAAAACCATTATCTGCACGGCTGGATCACAGAAAACTGAGAGTAATACCTATTTTGTATATTCCATTCAAAACTGATATGGTAATTTAACTGTGTAATATCCATATAAATTTACTTCATATCTAGAAGCTGCCAATCTTCAACGACATGAGTCATTGGAATTGAAACAGTCGCAAGCTAACAATACAAGCAACAACACACAATATTACACAACGCCTAGAGATTCGAACAACAATAGACAACAACAGCAATTTGCATTTCACCATACACAAACTGCAAATGGTGAGAAAATAAATTATTTGTATTATATGATTGGACCTATGATATGTATATTAGAAGCTTAGAATAGGGATTTAGGGTGCAACACTTGACAGAACACCTGCTTATTCACCTGTTCTAGTCAAGTTTAATCAATTGGTTATGCCAAGGTTTGGGATCTTGTGTAGCGCTTGCTTTGTCCCATAGAGGTAATTCTTGTTGGTATTTGTGCCCTTAGAAATATTTTCTCAACCTTTTAAGAGAATTAAAATAGAAAAATATAGACGACCTGGGAGGCTAGAATAAGAGCAATATTCAATTTTTTTTTGGAATCTTATAGTTTATACTGGGTGGGTCAAATGTTTAGTTACAGCTAACATAGACAAATAATGGAGTAACTGTAACTAGGGCTGGGCGTTTCGAAACACTGATATGTCGAAACGACGCTGTTTCGACTTCCGAAACGGACATTATGACGTCATAGCAAAAACAATCTGAAATCAGTCAAAATATCATTCAGCGATGTTCAAGTCGAATTTCATATCTGAATTTATTCGAATATCGCGACTCTCAAATAGCATTTTTAGTGTTTATAAGAATATTGTGCACATGTCCTGGCGCCATCGTCCACGTTCATTTTACAATTATTTCATTTTATGTTTTATTGTAATTGAAGACACTCTTTGCGACCCGCAATGAATTACTGCCTACATGAAAGGATTTGGGCCAGCACTGACATACAGTATTTATAACATGTCGTGGAAGTTTTTGATTGAAAATATTTTACAATTATCGTATATATCAACATAGTCGAGATAGTCTGGGTTACTGCGGCAATAAATCTAAAATCAAATTTTGCGGTAATTAATCTTTTTCATCCTTAGTTTCTATAGTGACCGAGCATTTCCTGCATTTGCCTCGTATGAACTAGCTCTTAAATATCATTTAGTATCTATCGCAGATTTTATTGTTACACTGGCGTCGTTAATAATAATATAGTTCAGTGCAAGTTTGCGGTATTAATTTATAAGCAATAATAAAAGCATAACAGTCAACGTGAAATATTCAAATCAGAACTGACTTGAAGAAAAATGAAACATGACTTTCAGTCTTAACTCTCCGTCATTTGCGGATGGAAATTTGTGAATTGGGTCGACTCGTTTGATTACGACGATAATCGCGTTGTAAGCAAAATAAACAGTCAAAATTTGTGGGGGGAGGGATAATTGTGGCGGAATTTATCTTAACAATGTCGATGTCACGCTGACGATGAACAGTCTCTGGGCGCCTAGTTGTAGCTAATTTCAATGTATTGTATATTCAAATGTATTAGTCAAGTATTCGGTTGTGGCTCTCCTTGGTATTATTACCCCACTGGATCACAAGGCTCTGTGAAATCGGATAACATAGAAAATGATCCCAATTATTACATGAGATGAGGTCAGGGTAGCATTGATACGTGCTACCATGCTATCTATGCTGCTTGTGAGCCCTATCTCTAACAGTGACGTAATTCGCAATGATTATTCTGATTCAATTTGGTCACTGCTTTGTCATTAGCAGAAACCTTCATTGAATTATCATTATCGTTTCATGCTCTCGGATTAGCCTCCAGTGCTTTTGTCGTTTTAATTCTTGAAAGTATGTGCAATTATACATTAAATTCGATGGGTAATAATAGTTTTATTGTTTTTGACAAACGTGTGTTTCGTTTCTAAGGCAAAATTTCGTTTCAATTTCGAAACGGAATGCCCAGCCCTACTGTAACCCAACTTTTAGCCCGCCTTGCATAAGCCCTTAGGGGTAGCCTCTGTATGTAGAAACATTACAGATTGGGAACTAGCTTTAATCTAGTAATAAACATCTTACTGATGACAAAATCGAGAAGGCATAAATTGTTATGAACCACTTTATTTCAAACTTCAGATGCAGTCGGCAATCTGTCCTATATTGCGGGTATGCAGGCAGCTGCAATAGCTGGTACAACAGCATTTAATAGAAATCCTAAACCAAGAGAGAAAAGAGCAAAAAGTCATTATTATGGTAAGTATTTTACTACGCAGATTTGATGTACTACTACAAGTTGTGAACCAATATTTATTTGATATAGCTTATTAACGTCATATTTTTTCGATGATGGCAGTATTAACTGTTTTAATTTTTCAGCAAAATTTTTTAATGAAGTAATATATAGTGTAAACATGGCACCTCAGCAAACATTTTCATGAATCTTTATCATCAGACAACGAAATAATTTATAGACAGTTTTGCCATATTTTTATAGTTTGGATAAAAATTTCTCTCGTCAACTATCGTCAAAGTGGTGCACCATTCTGAGCATTAGGAATATGACCCCTGGGTTAAATAAGTAAATCCTAAATTTTTTTTTGTAAAATTTGTGTCACAACATGACGAGCTCACACTGAACAAATTGCTCTCCTCACGAAGTCATTGATTTATATTAATTTCAAAAAATAATGCTTTCTGAGCAAAACTGAAAAGTGTCATCAATCACAGATTCCAAACTGGATTCACAAGATCATCGCAGTCCTTCTCCTCCACTCAATTCTTTCATTACAAGATCATATTCCAGAGCTCAAGAAGAACATTCACCTAATGAACATAATTGGTAAGCTTCATTTAAACAAACTGTTTAACACAGACGTGTGGACAGTACCACACGTTTTAGCAATATCGTTTGGTGTATTATGCGTGACCTTCAACTGACACTGAGAAGTATAGCAAAATTTGATGATAACCAGACTTGGTTTATTCCGTTTATTATTTTTCATAAGTTTATATTGTTTACATGTGTACTCATCTGCTTGATAATTTTATTTGTTTTTAGAATCTTTATCTAATATTATTCAATTCATTAACAGGACTACAAATGAACAATCACGAAAAGATGTTGAAAATTTACAAAATAAACAAACAATGGCAGTTCATAGTATTTTGAGTAAGAAGAAAAAGAAAATGAACAAAAAGAACAAAGTAAAAGATATTTGAATATTTAATAATTGAAACTATAAGTTTGAATTATGTTGGTTTTGCACCTTGCACCCTGCATGGGTTCGCGGATTCTACGCTCATGGGACATGATTAAGTGCGAGAGGATTGCTGGACTTCTTGCTGTTGTAGGGTGGTTCACATACCGCTGATCAGTTACGGATTACGAAGTCCGTATAATAATTCGTTGGCTATTCCCATACGTACAGGGTTTAGAATGAACGAAGGCTATGATTTGCTATATGATCAAGTCGTCATTGATGTTTGATCATTGATGTTTTAAAAATTGTTCACCAAGTAAAAAGTTAATGAAGTTATTCTCATCTCATATAAATTAGCCTTGCAAAAAGATTGACATTTTTTTGTCTAATGGAGATGCTTTTGAAATATAAATGTAGAAATGAGAAGTTGATTCAAAATTCGGTAATTATGTTGTGTATTATTGTATCCAAATGTTTCATTATTCTAGGACACTTTGCACAAACATTATGTACTTTTTAGAATAGGTTCCAAACAACCTGGTTTCTGTTTTTGAATCTCCTGTGTTTCCTCAATACAGGGGTTTATTATTAATAGTTAGTGTAGATCATTGGTTCTCAACCCTTTTCAGAATTTGTCGTCAAGTCTCGCGCCCCACCTCAAAAATACCTAGCTAACAATAAGCTACAAATAACAGATAATGAGGCGAAAGTATGTTTCATTCAAAAAAACACGTTGAAAATGTGTGGATGGAATGTAAATATCCAAAATAAGGCAGACAAGATCAAATCTAACAAATATTTTTTAGTTTTAATTAGCTTCGCGCCCCCTCTTGTCTACACCACTCTTGTATGGTGTACCCCACTGTTTGAAAACCACTGGTATAGAATATTGGTTAAGTTAAGACAAATATTTGTGCAGCCTAGTCAATATAAATCATGATTAATCTTATCTTAAAATTTTTGTTAACTGCAGGTAAACAATTTGCCAGATAATGAACGTTATTTGAATACACCTGGATTGGTGAAACAACATATTGCCTTCTGGGATAATAGGTGAGTAATATTTATGATATATGCTAATTGCCTGATTATTATTCTTTTCATTGTCAGCCTGTGACCATTTGAAACGATGCCTTGTAGTTTCAATTTTTGGTTGTAAATTAAAAAATGTCTTTTAGTACTAATGACAGACATATACCAAAATTATGCAGAAAATTTAAAAAGAATCAATATAAGACCATGATATCAAAATTTTCTACAACACTTTAATATGTCGATGACTGTCTGATCCAGTGGTAGCCAATCTTTTCCGATGTATTCTTTCATCTGTCTTTTTGAAAGCCTATGTTTCAAATTCAGTATATTTTGTTGTCCCAATATTTAATGCATCCCTAGCTAGTGATGTGTGCAACTAGCACTATAGCTTTTTTAAGACATGAATAGTTGATAATGTGTGCAATAATATCACTTGGAAATCTCGGCGCTCTGGAAGTGTGTGTACCAATATGGAGGTAACTAATTTTGTTCGCCTGTATTACATCAAGTTGTGTGAAGGGACTGAAGACTATGGGCAGGGGTATATTCACTTGGCTAACAGAGACAATCCCCCAACTAATGGTAGATCTAAATTAAGGAAAATCAGAAAAAAATTATGGCCCAACCCTGACCTGGTACACACACTACGGGATTTTCTCTAATACAAAAAAATCCAGAGTAAGAGGGAATTTCTACCATGTTGGGAACAACTGGTTCAAACTTAGGCAGTATAGTGAATGGTTATATCTGAGTTGACTCCATAATGCATGAGCTTAGAAAAGCATAGAACATTTTTTCATATTAATGGATGTTGGTAATTGTATGAACAGTATTTAGATTACTATTACAATACAAATAATAAAATTTCAGTGCGATAACCTAGTGGTTCCCAAACTGGGGGTAATTACTAATTACCTACAAAAAGGGGGGTTCAATTTAGGGGTAACGATTAAAAAGCATCAGACTTTTGGCATCGTAGATTACCCCACTTATGGTGTAATAAATTGGGTAGGCAATGTGTGTGAAAAAGGGTCATAAAAAATCTATGATGGCAAGGAATTGCAAGGTATATAGGTAGTTTTCAATCTTGTTCTATTTCTTCGCATATCTAAGACTTTACATTAATTCCTATATTCTCAAACTATTTCCTGAAATATTTACAGAGCTTCAGAGACACACACAAGTTCAAATATCATGGGTACAAGTCCCAATCAGCAGAGTGGTAGAGCATCATCTCTTACACCTGCTCCATCTAATATGTCTCCGCCCACCCAGTCAAAAAATTATCGTCGCCAACCATCCTCTCTTCTTGCCGACCAAAGTAGCCATCTTAGTCTTGGATCTGGCATGCCAGGACACTCGCATCAACCTGTCGGATCAGGATCTCAATTGTATTCGGGACAACAACAGCATTATACAATGTATAATGAACCGAATAATAGAATGTTACCTTCTTTTATGAGATCAGGGCCAGGTATGATATGGGAAGAAATCTTTGAAAATGAAATTTTCGATTTTGTGAATTTTGCCTGATTCTTCGAATGACTCAGCGGTGTGGCACATCCTGCTAAGCGCTAGGAATACTCTGCGAATACACTGCGTGGGTTCGCAGGTTTAAATCTTATGCGAGGGTTGCTGAACTCCTCCCCACTGTAGGGTGGTTCACGTAGCCGCTGGTCAGTTACGGATTTCTTCACCATCAAGCCGATGCTTCCGAACACAAATAACTGGCTAACTAATCCTGTACCTGACATTGACTGGTAACTGGACGAGAGGCAGTGGTTCGCTATATGATTCAGCTGCTTATTGGCTTCCCTCTCCTCCAGGATAAATATGTAAACCCTATATAATATTATATTCCCAGGTCCATCATCAGGAACCCACTCAAGCTATTTATCCTCTCATCACAACAACTCATATTTACATCATTCTTCTTCTAATAATATGCAAAATCGTCATGAAAGAAGTGGAAAAGTTCAAGCAGGTAATCAGACGGTGATGTTTTTGAAAATATAGCATCATGAATCTATATTTTCTAGAAAACTTAAGGTTCTTCTAATTCCATTTTTATGAGAGTAATTGCAGGTTTGTTCATCAGCTAGTATACCATTAACATTAGTATTATCAATCAAAATGACATTTTTTACTCCTTTCTAGTTCAACTTAACAATTGTGGTTGGATTTGAGGTCAGTTAATGTTCAGTGTTGCTCCATGTCCATGCTGCTTGCTTGTTCAACTTATTGTTGTAACGTTGTATTTAAAATGCATCTAAGAACCGATTTTGTCTCAAAATTTTACTGTCCTTTGTTCACAATGAATATGCTTTTTCACAAGCAATTTTTTTGGTGCTCCAGAAGTGTGTGTGCCAATATAGAGGCCTACTTTAACATCAAGTTGTGTAAAGGGACTGAAACCTATGATCAGGGGGTATATTCACTTGGCTAAAGCAGACGGTCCCCGAACTCATGATAGAACTAAAATAAGGAAAATCGGCATAAAAGTATGTCCTAACCATAACATGGTACACACTACGAGAGTACCAATTTTTATCTACTTCAATAGAACCCATCTTGCTTATGTGTAACACTTTGAATGTCATTTGTCCATTTTTTATTTACTTTCATATCATTCCAAATTTTTTAATCTTTAAAAACATTGTTGTTTATGTCATAATTATTGTATGAAATTCTGAGAGTCAGATCAATCTAACAAAAGTTTCCTATGCCAGGGATGTGCAATCTCTAATACAGGAAGGCCAGATACAAATAATTGGGTGGAACCGCGGGCCGCACCTTTATTCAACATAGTTGCAAGCACAAAAATTTTGGTTGTTTGTTGCTTATGACATGTGTTGTTTGCTTCGCACAAGCTAGCTGTATCATTGCAATGTCATTGGCATAGTATTAAATTGGACTCAGGTATGGGCTTTGCAACGCAAGATTGGAATTACTCGCACATACCAGATTAAACTAAAATAAAAATTTGTTTCGCGGGCCACACATCATTGAAAATTGGCACTTTTTCGCGGTTCGCACAATATTCCCTTGTGGGCCACATCTGGCCCGCGGGCTGCACACCATTGACTTATGCTATCATATGTATCCAATAATAGAATCATAATATGCCGTATGATAATCTTACACTATTTTTGTGTACTCATGTAAATTTCTACCTGGGGTCAACATGCTGTCAAATAATAAGAGAAAATGATCGTATATCAATTTTTTTCAATTATAATAGATATGCTGAGATAGATGTAACTCATACTTTATATTCAATGTTATTTAGATAATCTTGAGGACAGATTGAGTAGTGATTTGCATATCGGAGCTTCCGGTTTAACAAATGGATTTGATCCAACTTCTACAGCGAGGCCAACCAGCCGTCAACAGTTAGGACCTCTTAAAAGTGCAAAAAGACGAAAGGGACATCCTGATCATTCCATCAAAGAAACACCTATTTAATTTATCATATAACGTATTTTGGTAAAAAAGACGACAGTATCGCAGTGTTAAATAGATATATTTAGAGGTTTTGTGCCTTGTCAGTGTCATGCAAAACTTGTTGAACTGTTTTAGGCGGTTGCCAGTCATTTGCTTTTAAACGAAAACTGGTATAGCACATATGAAAATAAAAATATTTTATAGTCACTCATTCATCACAAAGTAATGCATTATTAGATTACAGGGATTTCTACATTGGGTGATCAACCGCTAATATTCTGAAGTGCTTAAATCATTCTAGTTTTCTATTTCACACACTTTAGGCCTTGGTGAAGCCATCCTGAAATGCCAATATGATTGGGCCCAAATTGTCTTGGTATCATTTCACTTGTAAAATTCATTTTCATATTGTAAAGGATTAATTCTTTCTATTGCCTTTTGCCCTGTAAAATGTATTAACAGGGTGGGAGCGCTTTGACCACTCGAGTGCAAAAGAGCATTGTTCAGCCTTCTCACTCACCTCTCTACTCTTGTCATTCAATTAAACGTAGTTGATTTTATCCCATATCTTCGCCACAAATTTCTGAACAAGCCATGATATCATTAGTATCAAATAGTATTATTGTCTATGAATGTTCTATATCTTTTAGGGACAGCCTGTTTTTTTTTCAATGATTAACACCCGTTCAAACATAAATCTGCTCATAGCATACCTCAACCCTACACCAAATGTATTATTTCATTGTTTAACGAAAGGTGACATAATTTTTTCTAAATTTTTAACAAACTTTCTTTGGTAAAAGCTTAGGTATGCGATATTATTTAACATATTGAAAGTTGAACGAAGAGATTTTCTTGTTTGTAACGATTAATTTTGTACGTTTCTTGTTGTGTTATAACAATTATCCATATAGCCCATTATATTTAATTTGTCCTTTTACTACATATGGTGTTTACCATTTTACTATCCTCTTCAAACATCCCCTCTAATATATGAAAGGACAAAGTTATATTTGAGATAAATCAATCAACTTTCAGAACGACAATGAATACAATCGCACAAGTGGTTGTGCCTTTTTGTAAGCCTTATGGCTCAGTTATTCGGAAGTAATGTTTGAAATTATCTGTAGACTTATTTCAAGTGCACAAAAACAAAATTGCCGATACTCATTCTGCCCCGAACAAAATTGCCAATACTCATTCTACTCCAAACAAAATTGCCGATCTTTCAGATCAGAATTAAACCATATCCAGTATATTCAAATGCATATTGTTAGAGGTTGTGCGCCATTTTTTAGTTGGAACTTCCCCGTTAATTTTCAGTGAAGTTTCTGCATTAAACTGTAACAAATTTAGTTTTTGGATTACAAAAAATCTTTTGTATTAAGTCACACGTTTATTTTATAACTCACTTTATTGAAAATAAATATATATTTTAATATAAAAGATTTTTCTTGTATTAACGAGTTTAGTATTGATTTAGAGTGCATCAGCAACACATTAAGCACCACCTTGCTGATGATGACATACCGGTAAGTTTGTACTCTGTAACGAAATCGTTGTGCAAAATGAGATGTTATTTTTAAGTCCCTAAATCAGTGGTTACCAAACCGATTTATTATGGCCTGCCGAACTCAAGTGAAATAGTTTAACATTCGTTCTTTTTTCTATACGCAGTCTAGATATCGCCAATCGTTTAGTCATTATCACAGTTTAAGCATGTGTGTATTTGTAACAATTCAAATATATTGGTATCCTAATTGTACAAACCGTTATCGGCCCCTAGCGAGCGCTCCTCTTTCCTGCCCCGTAAATATCCTTCCGCTTCTAATGCCCCCCTTTTTACTTTCAAAAACGCAGATACATCATTCATCCCCATGGCGTAAGATTCATTAAACTCCGAAGATTCTCCCAGTTAAAATGGCTAAATTTCTGAACACTGCCAAAAAGCTGATCTCAGCAGAAGCTGTCATACCTTACATTGGACCTGGTTTGTCACCATTCCTTCATAACCATTGAATTTCATACCATAAAGAAATCTTGAACAATAAAATCCAAGACTTCATGAAAAGTTTTTAGTATTCATTCAAATAAACAAGCTGATAAATAAATGTGCAAAACTGGTCTCCGAGACAATCTAGATTGTTCAATTTGTCATTCACAAGATTTCATATCATTCATGGTAATTGTATATTCAATTCTGCACGATTCTGAATAGAAAATTCAGTCAATGCTCTATGATCCCAAACAGGAACTTAGCCTTAGGTATCGAAACTGCCAGTTTCATCATGTATATTTCAGTATAAAATAAATATTCTTTACAGTTTACAGAAAAATTAGCTTTCATTTTTTTTTTTTACAACTTCTCTAGGAGGTGAAAAATAGATACCGCCAATAAGGCCAAATAAAATATATAAACCAGTCTTCTTAGAAGCAACAAATTTTTCCCATAAATTTTCCGTATATTTAGGACTTTCAATCTTTCCCATTGCTGCCTGATCATTCTGTAAAAAAAACGTTTTTATTTTGTGAAATGTGGGAATATAGAATTTGGTAGAAAAGATTTGCAGCAAAACAACAATATTACTTGTGCTACTGAGTGCTGAATCTAAGCTACCGTAATTGCCTATTTTAAAGATGCTATTCCTTGAAATCTCCTCATTCAAGCAATTTTAAGCCACTAAAAAAGATCCTATTTCAAATAACACATTCTCAACACTTATTCCAAACACCCGTAGGGCTCTAAAAAGCATTCAATTCATAGATATTTTGTGCCTTGGGTACACCATATTCACTGTTGTAACCCATACATTAATGACAACATGTTATTCTAAATTAAAACTCTGAATACCACTGTGTTACCATCAGATTAGATTCTGCTAGTGTGGTGCAAATATTATCACTATTCAGATAAAGAAAATATCCCTAAATATCTTCATCATCTCAGCTTAGGTCCCACATATGAAATAAATTGGGTTAATCCCGATTCTTCCTATGTTGCCCACTAGACAAAGGCGGCTGCTTATATAGGGCCTTGGTCGAAGGGAATAGCCTGAATAAGTGCCATGGAAATACTACAACTCTAATTAGTATTAGCATTATAATCATAATTCCAAACATGGTTTATAATAATAGCCTGTAAATAATTATGTGTCATACTTACAATCATCTTTATCATTTGCAAAACTGGAACAAAATATGCAAAACTGGCAACAGCTACTGCATTAAATGACCACATCCATGAACTCATTGTGGCAAGAAAGAAACCAGAAAGATAGAGATCAATTTTCTTCTTTTGTCCTTCCATCTTTTCTATCCTGCATGAAATGAAAGTTCGAACTTCTTAAATTTCAGGTAGATTAGTTCAAAGTACGTCGGCTATTAAAAGTTTAGTACTACTTACTCTTGAGTATAAAGCCCGGAGAACTAATGAAATAAAATTTATAGCAGTGTTTGTTAAACCCCTTCAAATATTTGACAAAGACTATGAATCTTCTTATGCAAAATGTATTGCAATATCTGGTATTATTAATATATATTACTAAATTAATATATCCATCAAATACAGGGGTGCGCAACGTTAAATACAGGAGGGCCAGATACAAATAACTGGGTGAAACCGCGGACCACACCTTTATTTAACATGGGCTTTCTAGTAGTTGCAGACACAAAAATTTTGGTTAAATATCTTATGACATGCGTTGTTCGCTTCGCACAAGCTAGCATTTAGTGCATTGTAACATCACTGATAATAAATTAGACTCAGGTATAGGTTTGCAACGCAAAGGAATTGGAATTACTCGCATGTTACAGAATAATTAAATTATTGAAAATTGGCATTTCTCCGCGGATCGCACAATTTCTCTATGTGGGCCGCATGTTGCCCATCCCAGGTCAAATACAATTACCTATTTAGTTATAACCTTATATTTTTGCTCAGAAGTTAGTGAGTCATGCTGAACCTTTAGAATGTGTGTCATCAAACACCGATTACCCTGCATATGTTCGCAGGTTTGGCCTCCACAAGCACCTAAATGATTAATTAACTGAATAGATATTATTGAACTGCTAATTTACTAAATGGCCAAGGGTGGTTTACAAACGACCTTTTATCACCTTAACGCTCCAGAAACAAACATAAAAAATATACACTTGAATATTATTTAAACAACAATTTTGTAAAGAGAAATTCATTACTACCTACCTATCTGAAAGTGGCAATTTTTTCATTTTTTCTGAATCGACATCGGTAAATACCATTGCTATTGATTTAATTCCGATGAGGACATCATCTTCAACATCCTAAAAATAAACACTCGGTAAATTCTATGCTGATATTGAATATATGAAATAAGCATAGAGAATCCATCTCGAATGAAAATGTAAGAAAATAGATTTAATATTTTCAAAGAATAGTATTGAATTCCTGGAGAGCAAGTCACTTGAATATAGCATAGGGATTTCTATCGACATCAATTGTGTTATTTTTGTAACATTGTAAACTAAATAACCATTTTGCTGCACTATTATGACACGGGGTCAATTTGAAGCCTAAATAATACCTATTTAGTTGGACTATTATGACGACAGGTAATAAATTTGAAGGCAGCTTGCCAACCTACATTTTTGCAATGTGAAGCGTCAACATAGTTCATGCCTAACTTTACAAGACTAAAATTGTCAATTTTAATATACCTCATCTATTTAGCAAAAAACAAATTGACGAATTTAATCTTTAATTAAAATAGGTCTCGGAGATAAGAATAGAATCTTATCTCGACTGATAAAGCTCACTTGCAATGCATAGATGGTATCATAATACATCGTCCAAAAAAAGCAGCCAAGATACAGTGGTCCCACAATTGACCAATTGATCGATCCTGCAACAGCTGCATAACCCATAATGGCACCCATGTTAAATGTGAGCCCGAGAACTGCTTGAGGATAATACGTATATCTTTTAGCGAGAGGATATAGTATAACAGGAATCATGGATGCAACTCCAATCATAATGCTGAAAAGGTTTAAAACATAATCAATAAAGTGATACTTTGACGAAAATGTTACCAATAATTCAGAATAGAGAACGGAAATTGATGAAAAACAAAACGGAAAGAAACGCTTATAGATTTTTCTGAAATGAGCCAGGTACTTTTGTAAACCAAATGGGCCAATTATATCAGACAATTACAACATACACAAATGTGACAATGACACAAGGAATGTGTCTTCTTATTCTTTTTTAATATGATATTCTCGAAAAAACAATTGTTCCGTACTGCCAAACTTGGAATGGTCCAAAGAAATTTTTAATTCAGGACGTTTATTAAATGGGAAATACACCTAAGATGCAATTATAGATTGTGCATGAATTGAAATCTCATATAGCGGAAACAATTAACAGTACTCCCGTAGCCATAATTTTATCCAATTTTCCTTATTTTAGTTCTATTATGAGTTCGAGGACTTTCTGTGTTAACCAAGTGAATAACACCACCTGCCCATAGGTTTCAGTTTCTTTACACAACTTGATGTAAAGTATGCGAACAAAATCATGTACCTCCATATTGGTAAACACAATTCTAGAGCACCCAATTAACATTATAAATTGTTCATAAAATAACATAGATTTTGTTTTATATGACGATAAATCATGTCATTCACTCTAAGCAAGACAAGTATGGTGGCCCATCGTTGTCACGCGTAAAATTGAAAATAAAAATAAAAAATAAAATAAAAAACCGATAATAAAAAAAAATTTGTGAAAAAACATAAAAATAATTAAAAAAAAAATGAAAAAAAAAATTAAAATTAAAAAAAAATAAATAAATGAAAACGAAAAAAAAAAAAAAAAATTAAAAAAAAAAAATTAAAAAAAAAATTGAATAAAAAGAAAATAAAAAGGTTGACAACGATGGTCCGCCTCGTGGCCCATCGTTGTCACGCGTTTTTATTTTTAGAAAATTTGCTTCTGCTTGGGACCAACGTTGTCAGGCATAATCCTACGCGCACAAATGTGTTCCCTGGGTTTCAAACTCACTACTGATTTTCTTGAGCAATATTCAATATGAAAATGTTCTATAGATTCTCCATGCTACAAGTTCAACAAGAAGTAATATATTTATAATAATGATAAGAGAATATAGAATTGAATACGAAAATTCGGAAAATTTGTTTTTACGTGTATAAGGTAATTTGGAGAATGCTGCTTGACTACTCAGTTGTCTGGACACTCGCGATGCCGGTAGCGTACCATCTTACCAAATACCGGTAGTCGGTTATAGTCGCTTTGCGTCTGACCGTACCGGTAGCCATACAATCACTCATCATCTCCCATTCTTTCACGAGTGATTGCATGGGTACCGGTACGGTCAGACGATACCGTACCGGCATCGCACGAGTGTCTGAGCAGTTAAGCAGCATTTTCCAATTAAATTACCTTCTACACGTAAAAACAAATTTTCGTATCCAATTCTATATTCTCTTATCCTTATTATGAATATATTGCTTGTGGTTGAACTTGTAGCATGGAGAATTTGTAGAACATTTTCATGTTGAATTTATTGGATATTGGTCATGAAAATCAGTAGTGAGTTAGAAACCCAGGAAACACATTTGTGCGTGTAGGATTAAGTCTGACAACGTTGGTCCCAAGCAGCATCAAATTTTCTAAAAATAAAAACGCGTGACAACGATGGGCCACGAGGCGGACCATCGTTGTCAACCTTTTTATTTTCTTTTTATCCAATTTTTTTTTTTCAAATTTTTTTTTTTTTTTTAATTTTTTTTTTAATTTCAATTTTTTTTTAAATTTTTTTGTTTGTTTTATTTTTCAATTTTTTTTTTTAAATCAAATTTTTTTTTATTTCTTTTTTTTCAATTATTTTTATGTTTTTTCACAACTATTTTTTTATTTTCGCTTTTTCATTTTATTTTTTCATTTTTTTTTTAAATTTTACACGTGACAACGATGGGCCACCATAGACAAGCAACCACTGATAGGAAAAGAGCTACAATTTATTGAAACAACCCGAAATTTCCTTGTATGGCATAGTCCACCCCATCTATCACACCCTGGGTGAGGTGGTGGGTTTGAGACTTGAACCCGATATGTGTAACCTGCGATAAAGTTTAATACTTCAGTCACTAGGTCATCGCCCCATATAAAAAATAACTTACCAAGTTGTATTTAGAGTTAAAAGAATTCCGAGAGAGAGTGAAAGTTGAGCAGCCAGTAAAGCAATTGCATTTCTGGGCTTCAATTTTCCTGATGCAAGAGGTCTTTCTTTCGTTCTTTCAACATATTTATCAAAATCTTTATCCCACAAATCATTGATCACGCATCCAGCACCTCGCATCAAAAAAGCACCAACTCCAAAAAGACCTTCCAAAAAGATATCAGAGTTTTTGCTTGCCCATGGCATTAATCAGAGAAAAGGTATAACACTTAATATAAAATCATTTGAGAGCCTACAATTACCTCAGAAGAAAGTAACCATTTGATAAATGATAGCAAAATTACGTTTCAAATAATCTCAGTTGAGACACAAAACTTGTTTTTAAACTACAACGTTCAAATCAAGTTGCTACATAATTGATAATATTCTCATGAAATTTAGAATAACATTGTAACTGGTGAAATTAATGCAGTAACATTATCAATATTGTATTAGAGATTGGTATAGTCTTATTCGAAATACACCAATTAGCCAAAATTGAATGTACTTTTGTATAAGTAGTCCACAACATTAATCACCCAAATAAGGATATAGTCAAAGTAAAATCCATAATATCTCTAGACCTATTATTTTATGTCTTATATCGACTGAGAACTACTGACATCTGTGGCAAGAATAAAGTTATAACTAGCTAAATTATCATCATTTTAGTCATTGCTTGAACTCTCCTATCAGTGGTCTTTTCACATTTGGTTGTACAATCGCATGTTTAGTTTGAGCCAATTTATCATGAAAACGTTTTCTCGGGTGCAATATTATAAGAGGTATTTACCAAGATAATATAAATCCGGAATGGATCCCAATGGTGTCGCAAGGGTGATGCTCAACGCACAAGGTAAATAAAGAAGCCAGCTTCCAATTGGCTTATCAACCCGAGCCAATTGTAAATACGGTTTCCAGCTTTTAGGTGCTGCATCAACAAAATGTGCTGCAGTATATTTTTGTAAAAGAGAGTCTCTTCCAGTTTTTACATTGTTTCTCTGATCATAAATTTTCTGAATAATATCCTTAAAGCTTGCATTGTCTTTTGCAGAAGTGGAAAATTTATGAGAAGAAACGCACGTTGCAGAAAAAACAGGAATAGTTCTGCTAAAGGAAATTTTTTTAGTGTTTTCATTTGTTCCAGTACATGATCGACATAAACCAAGTAGTGACGAATTGCCCAGTCCACCCAAATCGAAGAAAGAATTTCTATCTCTGGCATGAGAATGCAATACAGAAAATGTTCTACATTTTTGAGAGTTGGGCTTCAATACCATCTGTGTCAGATGTCTTCCAAACATCATGTTTATTTCAGAGATTGGAGTCAGCAGATTTTCCACCTACTTACAGACTTATGTACATTTTTAAATAGTCAATGGTGAATAATCCATCTGCTGAAAAATAACTTACAAGTAATGAACAAAATAGAAGAGATGTTAATACACATCACAATACCAGATATAGTCTACAGACAATATAAAATTGATTCATAAAATTATATGACTGCATCTCTGTATCTGTATGATTTGTTTCCGGAAGGATGATATATCATTTGATATGATACATGTTTTCCCGGTTTTCCCAGACTTCAGTGTTTTCTTTATGTTTTTTCAGAGAAATCAAAGTAAGCTTATACTTATATTAATTTTGACGACTTACCCTACGACCGCGAGGAGTCCAGCAATCCTCTCGCGCACGATCATCCCCGCATGGGATTCGAACCTGCAACCCCACAAAGGGTAATCAGAGATGCAGTGGCAAGCGTATTCCTTATTCTTAGCACGATGCGCCGCACCACATCACCGAGCCAAGTTTATTTCGACTCCACAATCAGCATGAAAGGCGATAAAATGATTGATAAAAACAAATAAATAAAAACTGATTATGAAATCAGGAGAGCTAAGAAAACCTTGGAGACAACAGACAAGGTTTAAAACGTACAGAATATAAGATGGAAGGTATTGCCAAAAAGAAGTGGTACCGGTACGTTCTCACTCACCTAATACAGTAATACGGTATGCATATGTAATTTCTTTGCTGACGCTCATGCCATACAGCTATGCAGATAGATAAATGTGCTTATGTAGTATAGCCTATGCATACAGACATATGTACCATCTATATGTAGTTTAATACAAATGCGGGCACATGAAAACTGCCATATCTGGATATTCCATTTTTCTTTATCTCATTTATCTTTAACTTATAGACTACTTATACTTATACTCTCTGCGTCTGTTTGTGCAAGAGGGAGAATGGCATGAATCAACTTTTTGAATGTGAGCAAACGCGTGTATATTCCAAAGGTATTGGTCAAATCTATGTACAATTCAAGCTTAATTGGGTATTTCTTGATTTGATTACATTCTTAATAATATTGAAACCTAATCTATCTATTCATTATCGCCATTATAATATTTTTTTTTTTTTTTTTTTTTTTTTTTTTTTTAAATGGATCCACAATGTGGATTATTCAATATGTAAATAATAAATAAATGCAATATAAATAAAGATATATTGTGTACCGTAAGTGAACAAACATATATACCAGTAATATCAAGATAATTCCATCAGATATAATATTCCATATAATCCAGGGAGTTCCAATAATTCATTTGTTGATTTCGTAATACAAATTACATAGTTTATTTTTAATTATTTAGCATGAAAAAACATAATTTTATAATTATTCACAAGTTATTACAAATCATGGCAAGTTCTTTTATATAACAAAATTCCTTTCTCACTTTTTCTATATTTCTTCTCATTAGAAGTGAGTTCCTAATTTTCATAATAACATTATTTATGCTTGGGTTATGATTTTGAAATATTACAGCATTACGCTCCAACCAAATTTTATATCTTGCTGTACAAAATAACAATATAATAGCATTACGTTGTATAATGGATAAATTTATATAACAGTGGTCATTTAAGTCCAATAAAATGCAAGTTTTATAATTATTTTTTATCACACAGTTACTCATTTTTAATGCCACAGAAAAGATATAATCATAGACATTCTGAGTAAAAACACAATTCCAAAACAAATGAGACACAAATTCAGAATCTTGTTTACATAACACACAAATATCATCCCCAGAAAAATGTTTTATTCTTGGCTTAACCTTGATTGATAAAATGTCCCACATTAATTTATAATTGAAAGTCCTTACATTATTGGCCAAAATTTTAGAATGTATATTTGAACAAGCCCCTATTAAATTACCATCTCTCAAAAAAACAATTCTATCCCCACCCTTCGAATTATTTACAATTTTATTATATAAATGTCTATGCTTTCCTTGAATTAAATCAGTTTCAGTGATGTTGTACTGTCTCAGAAAGCTGATTATAGTTCCATAGTATTTCTGAGGGAAAAAAACATGGGATACACTATTATTAGTAGGCAATTTGAAAAATAAACTGAGCTGTTGACCTATGTTGTATTCAACAAAATTGAAAACAGATTGTCTGCATTGATCAATAGCAATATTAGTTCTTTTACAATAATACTCAAATGCTGTCATGACATACATGCTCATAGTAAAAATAGGTATGTTAATCATATCATATCCAGCCAATGATTTGCATTTGCACAAAGTTTCTATTTTTAAAACACTTCTTCCATTGAATATGAAAAACTCCACAACTTTATTGATTTGTTTACCGATATGCAGGGGAATAGGAAACACTTTCGCACAATATAAAAACAAGGGTAATATTTTCAGTTTAATTAGAAGACATTTTCCATCCAAAGATAGAGGAATATCCATCAATTCGTCTATTACAGTTCTGGCATTATTTAAACAAAAATGCCAATTTTCATCCGATGTGTCAGAATTGGAAAAAATTATTCCAAGTATATTTAAAGTCTGAACGATAGACAACTTAGAAAATAAACTGGGATTATTCCATGTTCCTACTTTCAAAAGTTTCGTCTTTTCCATATTTAACCTCATTCCCGTTGCTAGTTGAAATTTGTTTATCAAATCCAGTGCTGAATATATTGATGTCTTGTTTCGAATTGTCAAGGTAATATCATCCGCATAGCTGATATGTTTTATTTCTTTATTTTGTGGTATCAATATTCCATTGATAGAATTACAGGTATTTATTCTAATTAAGAGTGGTTCAATAGCTAATGTGAACATATAAAGACTTAACGGATCTCCTTGTCGAATTCCTCTTTCGAGTTTCACTGCTTCACTAAGATAACCATTTAGTAACACTCGAGTTTCTGAATTTATATATAATGTCCGGATTACACTCATGAATTTATTTTTGAATCCGATTTTACGAAGAACGTTAAAGAGGTAATCCAAATCTACACTATCGAAGGCTTTGTTAAAATCCAATGATATTATGGAAGATTCTCCGGTTTTGTTTTGTTCCTGTATACATATGTCTCTTAACAATATGAGTGCATCAGAAATACGCCTCCCTGGTATAGCTGTTTGGTGGGTATCTAGCATATTAGGTAAAATACATTTCAATCTATTTGTTAATATTTTGGTCAAAATTTTATAATCTGTGTTTAGTAAAGCTATTGGTCTGTAATTTTTAACCTGATCCAGTTCTCCTTTTTTATGGATTAAAGTTGTATATCCAATTTTGAAGTCTTTTGCGATGAGTCCTTCTTCATAAATTTCCTCCAATACTTCAAAAAAATCATTTTTTATGATAGTCCAGCATTTCTTATAAAACTCTATACTTATACCATCAGGTCCTGGAGTTTTACCTTCTTTGAAAGATGTAATGGTTTCCTGAACCTCGTTTATGACAATTTGTCTCTGCATTGTTTCTGCGTCTTCTTCTTGTATTTTTCTCGAAGCTGGAATAGCTTCAATAAAGTATTTTTGAATCTCCATATCATTGTTTTGTTTTTTATACAGATTTTGATAATATTGTTTTACCAGGTACATTTTTTCTGTCAAATTTTCTTGTATGAAACCTTCTTTGTCCTTCAATTTGTGGATATAACATTCTTTTTGCTTTTTTTTCAGATTCTTAAAGAATGACTTATTACATTTTTCATATGTATCATAGTGGTGGGCCAAGTTTAGAATTCTAATTTTACCATTTCTTTGTCTTTGTTTTTTAATTATCTCTTTCTTTAGTTTGTTAAACTGGGTTAAAACTTTTTCTCCTCTGTCCAATTTCACTTTTAAATCATCTAGTTGTTTCATTTCTTTATCATATTCATCTCTTGCTTGTCTGGCAAGTTTGACAGAGTGTTTGATAATCAGATCTTTTATCTTATTTTTTATTTCGCACCACCAATGCTGTTTTGTTTCGAATAATATCTTTAACGAACACCAATTTTTCCACTTATTTTGAAGGTCTTCAATGAATGGTTTGCTGTTATAAACAGAGACATTATTTTTCCAGAAGCCATTTCCTTTTTCTTCTGTACTATTGGTTACTTGAGCATCAATCGAATACATGTCATGATCAGAATGACATGTGGGATAGCAATGAAAATTGGTTATGTTACCGGTACATAAATTGTGAGAACAGTAAATTCGATCCAGTCTAGCCTGTACAGTGCTATTTCTCCATGTATAGAAAACAGTATTATTGGGAAAATATTCCACAGAGTCAGTCAAGTTGAATGTATCAATAACTTCATTTAGTGCATCAGAAATATATTCTTTTTTGGCTCTTTTGTTGTTTTCTGATCTATCTTGATCTACATTATGGACACAGTTCATATCTCCTCCTAAAATTACAGGATGCTTAGAATGCAAGAACCTGTATATATTATTGTAGAAATTTTCCTGAGTTTTAATATTTGTTCGGCATGGAGCATATATATTGACAAGATGTATTTTTTCCCCATAAATACTTATATCGGCTGTAATGATTCTTCCATTACTATCAAATGAAATATTATTAAATGAAAGTCCTGCTACTTTCGATTTAGTCAATATAGCAACCCCTTTAGAGTTTGAACTACCGTTATTCCACAGACTGGTACCCCACTTCCATTCCCGGGACCATTGTATTTCTACTTCTGGTGTACAATGCGTCTCCTGAAGAAAAATTATATCAGCTTTTCTTAATGACAACTCAAAGAAAACATCTCTGCGTTTTAAATTGTCACGAAGTCCATTTACATTTAGTGTTAGGATTGTTAAATATATTACCATGATGTGAGCTATTTTATTTTTATTTTTAAATTGAATGTAAATTTGGGAAGATAAACGACAAATTTTATTCACTCATGCTTTGTAAGTATTCATTTGCTTCTTTTAAAGACATTGTTTTTTTTTTTCTTGCTTTTTTTTTCCTTGGTGGTGATTTTTCGTTTGTAGATTTATCGCTTGAATTCTGTTGTGCCGAGATAATCTCTTTTGCTTGGGTTCCTGGGTCTAGTACATATAAAATCGTTTTTTCCGATAGGGAAGATTGAGTTGTCAGTTTCTTAGGGTATATCGTTTCATCGTTATTTAGTTCTGTTTTTCCATTGTTTTCGTCACTTATATCGGAAATGTTACCAAACATTTCTGGAAGTAAACTTGACCTTGTATGAGTTTCCTCTTCATTTGATTCATTGGCTGGTGTACTTTGGGTTGGTTTATTTGTATCATTAGCATTTTCGTTTTTTTCTGTTTGTTGAATAATTTTGGGATAGTTATTTTCAGTAGCAATTATTTCGTCATTTTCGGTCAATCCTGAGTATGTAGGTTTTTGGCCTGTATCTTTATATTTGCTGAATTTTGGTATGAAGTATTCACAGTCATTTTTCAAATGACCAGCTTCACCGCATATTCGACATGTTGGAACTTGTCCCCAATATTTAACAAAAATTGAACGTCCTTTTATTGTAACATAACTCTTAATAGGTTTCTGCATCAATTCATCCTTTTTTATAAAAAATCTTCTAATACCATTTTTGATGTTAAATCTATCTCTCAATACAAGTATTTCGCTCACAGCTCCATGATTATCTTCAAAGTGTTTCTTTATGTCTGTATCTTTCATTGGAATGGGTACATGGTGAAGAAATACTGCAACACTCTCAGGAACATACAGTCTGTGAAAAGGTAAGGTCTCAGCACCTACTCTTTTCATTTCCCATAATCTTTTATCAACATCTATTGCCGTTGATCTGGTTTTGAATGTAATATCAGCTGTATACTTGGATGTCGTTAAAAAACCGTCTACTGAATCGAATACAATATTAACTTTTCTGAAAAATTCCCATATATCTTCTCTTCTTATGATTTTTTCGTCACCAAATTTCAAGTACATACATTTAGTCCTATCCAGTGTGTCTCTTTCTTCCTCATCTCTTTTACGATTACTTCTCAATTTATCAGAGTACAATGACATCTTCAGACATTACTGTACTTCAGTCAGTCAGTTGTTATTAATTTAGGATAATTTTAATTTTATAATATTGATCTTAATCAAAACAGCAATAATCGCCATTATAATATTAATAATAATTAAAACCACGGGTAAAATCTTGGAGATTTGGGCGGATCGTGTCAAAAGTCAAATCTACACATGTGTCTTGAGTTGACTTGCGCCCGCGAAAACATGTCCACGCCTCCTATGCCACGCCTCCTTTACCTATTGCAGGTTTCAACCAAATGATTGCTAATTCTGTAATTCGCTGCGCTAGTCCAGTACCGTAGTCTGCTGGTAAAGTGGCCGCTATGGTGAGTTTTTGTTAATAGTTTTCTGATTAAAACGAGTAGAGTTAATTGGCTCATTATAATTATTATTTTATTCATTTATTAAGGATATCCGAAACTTTTTTGGTCCGATAAAACAAGGGAAAAAGAAGGCGTCTTTCAGCGGCGACGATGATGGTTTTGCAGAAAAGCCCACTAAGACTGACAGGAAGAAGAAAAAGAAGGGAATAATATTCGATTCTGGTTAGACATTTTTTTAGAGCAGGCAGAGCTATTCCTGTATTCATTCAGTCATTGCTGCATTGGTTTGATCTGATTTCTTGATTTCCGCATCTGCAGGTTTTGGGTCAATTTATTAAAACAGGTTCTTTTATCTTTAGGTGGGGTAAACACGAGGGTCTAGTATAGTTTAGTACCACAAGTTCTTCCAGTTAGCCAGTGGGCGTAGCATAACAAAGTTTGGGGTCTCATGGAGTTTCGTACCTAACGTACTTCTAGTAGGCGTAGCATAACAATCATGTGTCAATCCTAACCCCCACCCGACCACATCATCCAAAAATTACGTCACTACGACGTCACAGTGACGTAATAGAGCCCATCAAATTATGCGAACTGTCATCCAAGACGCGCAGACAAGAACCCGAAATCGAACAGCCATTTCTCTCGTTTTCTCGTCGCAACGATCCCGATAGGAGAGAGATCGCTGGCGTTAGTCAGTTCTTTATCGTCGGCGCTGATTCCATTTCGGGCGATTGTACGAGTATTTGGCAAGCTCTATGACGTGATTGTGACGTCGTAGTGACGTCATTTTTGGATGGCGTAGTCAGGTGAGGGTTAGGATTGGCATGTCAAAAAATTGTTATGCTACGCCCACTAGAAGTACGTTAGGTACGAAACTACACGAGACCCGAAGTTTGCACATGTTATTCCTCATCCCCACCTGGCTATGCCACCCGGAACTATGTCACTGCGACGTCACAATCACATCATAGAGCCTGCCAAAGTGGGCTACGATCGCCCGAAATGGCATCTGCACCGATGATGGTGAATTTACTAACGCCAGCGATATCTCTCATATCAAGATCGCTATGACGAGAAAATGAGAGAAATAGCTTGCTCGATTTTGAGTGATCGTCTGCACATTTTCAGACGTCCATCCGTATACTTTATAAGGCTTTATAACGCCACTGTGACTAGGTATATGTAACTTAGTTAGGTTAGGGTTTTGTAGGATTAGGAATGACACATGACTAGAAGTGCATGTACTAACTATACCAGACCCAAAAGTGATACCAGTAAGTTAATATTGCTCTTCAAAATTTTCTACCTGTCACAAGCCTCAATGTACAGATGTAAATGTACTTGGAAGTGTTTTAAATTTTATTTTCAATCTAGCATTTATATATAGGCTTTAACATATGACCTGTGTCATTGCAATCAAATTTTTTATTTTGAATAAATTATTTTCATAGATTCGTCAGACGAGGCTCCTTTGCCAAGAAAAACCAAGAAAAAACTTCAATCTTCGTCATCTGATATTATTGGAGCTTCTGGTAATGATATTATAATACAAAATATTATCATGCAAAAACTGGGTTTGAGTTTGATCTCTGCCAAATTGTTTGAGCATAGTTATGTTGGACATGATTTCCAACGGCCACTGGGCCTCTGATTCGATATAAGTTGGAAAATTTCTACCTATGTTTTCTAAAAATATCAGTTAAGCTCTCTTCCATAATTAAAGTAGGCTGAATATCATATCTTTATATATACAGATGATGAAAAAAGTGTCAAATCAAAAAAGAAAATGAAGAAATCAAATGTCAATTCATCAAAAAGGCAACAGAAAAAGTCCGAACCGAAAAAAATGAAAGAAATCACACCAGATAATTTTTTTGGAGCGAGCAGTAAGACTGTTCGGAAAGAACAAAGGCTAAACAAGAGGAAGGCATCTGATGATACACCAGAGCGGAAGCCAGAAGTATAAATTTTTTTTTCCTAATGTTATTAGTATTGAAGTAAATTGGTCTTCATTTAATTCCTTTTTTTAATTTTTTGAATGGTTCTATTTTACTAGAACAAATTCATAATTGATTATTTCGCAACAAAATGGCGTATTATTCATTGAAAAATCAAAACTTCAAATACCTATTGTGTAATTTTTTTCGGAATAGCATTCATTCGTATTTTGTTTAAACCTGATCATTTGAACCTACCAAAAATGGTCTGAAGAATTTAGCTTGAAGACAATTCTAGGTTATTTGAAAGTTTCTGAAACTCATAAATTATGTGGGTATGGTATATGGGGCTGTCCAAGCGAACCGAATATTCGGAATCGCATCGCAAATTATTCGAAGCGTTTTTCGGCCAATTTACGAATCGCTAAAATTTTGTACATAATGCGCCTCATAATTTTGTACATAACGACCGCCTTTTTCACCGGGCAAGCAGAAAACTTGAAAAGTTATTGGTAAGATGACGTTTTTTAAGAGAACACAAGGAGAAAAAAAGCAAATTTTGTGTCAGCAAAAAACGCCAGTTCTATAAATATAATCGATTTGTAGCTGCTGAGTCAGTAATCATAGGAACATGGTACAGGACTGAAACACGTTTTGAAGGTCCAATACCTTTTTCCAATAGAATTTGTAATTTCTTCTAATGGCAATACTTTGTTTCATCCATTTCTTACTATGACAAATAATTGCGCTCTTGTGAGTTGATGGCTGTTGTATAGCAACAATATGATCATCAAATAATAATGTCATCAAACTAGCTCTGTATTTGTGAGTTCCTGAAATGCAATTTTAAATTTTTTCGGCAACAGTCATATTTATTTTAATAGTTGTTTATCATTTTAATGAAAATTACACAAAATATATCGAGTTAATAATACTAATGGATAATGATAAAAGATAATTGGATTAAAATAACAACTACGGGCATTAAAAGATTCTGTGCAATTTCCAACTCTTAAAACTCAATAGTTTTCAAAACTCTAATTTTTTGACCAGTTCAAGGAGGCTTGTGATCTCCTTTTATAACTCTGGAAACATAGTTATGCAAAATATTTGCAATAATTTAAATATAACTGCACATACGGTATCACAATATTGAAGGGAAGTTTTATTGTACATTAGAGACAAATTTAAGATTGCGCAATAATATTCGATTATTGGGTTCGATTCGAGAAAAATATTCGGTTCGATTCGAATCAAAAAAAGATTAGATTTTGGACAGCCCTAATGTTATAGTACAACATTACATATCTGACGACTTCAGCAAGATCTAATCATTTCTGTCTACACAGGTCATTACAATTGATGATGACATAGATTTTGATGGTTCATTGAGCATGACACCCAAAAAGAAAGTCAAACGAGAGGTCAAAGTTGAAAAATCTGAAAGTAAGTTTTACCATGTCCTAAACTTAAATTTAAAGTTGCCAAAAAATGATCAGGCTCATGGTGAAGTGTTAAACTCTCTCTTCATCTCTATCATGAACCATGATGCATCGCAAACATGCTCAGATATATTCATTAGCCACATTCTCTTGGAGCAAAGGGGCATGTTTTGTGCAACATAAAAAATAACAAGACAAATAGTCCTAATGCCATGTCCCACATTTTTCCATTTGGCATTTTCATTTGAAAATGTTTAAAATAAGCATTTATTAAATTCCTGTCATAGATAACAATCATACATAATTTTAATTACAATTAGTTTTCCTACTGATAGCAAGTAATAAATATTTGTAAATTATAATTTCAGAGACTATTTCAAGCAAGTTGTCTGATATGACAAAACAGCAAGAATTGAAATCATCAAAACGACAAACCAGAAGAGAAACTTCTACTTCGAAAACTCCCGAAAAAAGTCGCTCCAAAAACTCTAACATACCTACAGTCAAAGATGAGCCCGTGTCTCGTCCGAGCCAAAAACCCACAGAAAACAATATTAAATCTAAAACTGTGAATACTCCAAAAAAAGTTGAGCCTTTGAAAGAAAAGAAGACTAATAAACAAACAACACCTGAGAAACCGAAACAGGTAGAAGAAACGAAAATTGAAGAGAATCAAGGTAGCTCTAAAAAGGAAAGATATGTGAAATATATGCAATGGCAAAACAGAGGTGGAGCCAAAGCTCCAGGATCGAAGGAAATCCCACAGGTTACATTAGAAGTGATACTTCAGAACTTAATTCTATTTAATACTTGAGTCATATTACAATGACTTAACTTTAGATTTTTGTAAGCTGTTCATTTCGGATTTTAATTTTATTAAGCATTAGAAACATGCTTGCCATCGCAATTCTGATTAGGATTTACAGGGAGAGGGGAGAGGAAAGCCGATGGGATGACTTAATCATATGGCGAATCACAGCCTCTCGTCAGGTTAACAGTCCGATGGGGAAACGATGGCATGTGATTCATAATAATTAAGTTATGAACAAATTATGTTTTTTTGTTTTTGAATTTTCACTCGTATAATATCCAGGGAGCAGACAATTGTTTAGAAGGCTTAACATTCGTTATTACTGGCATTCTTGAATCACTTGAAAGAGATGACGCTAAATCATTAATAGAACGATATGGTGGAAAAGTAACTGGAAATGTGAGTGGAAGAACTTCATATGTAATTGTTGGGGATGATCCAGGAGAAGCCAAAATCAAAAAAGTAAGTATCTGTATCCTTAAGTATATCTGTATCATTAACTGTATCATTAGTTCATTTCAGTTAGAAAATGGCTATAAATAAATCAGACAATCAGGATATGTATCGTGGTCTGTCCATCTGTGTTGTGAATTAATACGAGCTAAAATCTTACTTCAGGTGCAACATCAAGACTTTTGGGTTACCCGTTTTGATTCTTGGTATAATACCTACAGTAGCTACAAAAATGATTTCACAAAAACTAGCTTAAAAAGGTATAAATAATAGTGCATTTGAAATTTTCGTTGCAAAGTGATGAAAAAAAACTACAGCCACCTTCTGTCATCAGTTACCACTGTTGCTGTTTTAGTTTTGATTTTTTCTTATGAAGGTTGGAAATTATTGCTTTATAATGCGATAAACAAGTTCACTAATAGAATTCATACCAGGGTTGTCCAAAGCGAATCAAAGTATTCGAATAATATTTTGGCTAATTTTCGAATAATTCCGGATAATAGCCATTTTTTGTCGTCAGCACGGTGTTTCGTTTTCGAGGGGAATCTCAAACAAATTTTTCATATACTAAGATAAGCTTATTTTACTTGATTTTATTTTCGAATGTATTCGATATTTCATAATCGAAAATAGTAATTTCGAATGTATTGATAAGTTGCATAAAAAGATTTGAAAAAAGGTTCTGATACTCCATAATAGCCAGCATAATAGGGTTGTTGTAACAAATTTATAATATAACGTTAACCTTTTATTCATTATCTTTTTTATTCAGGCAGAACAACATAAAACAAAACAGCTTGATGAAGATGGTCTTCTGGAATTAATCAAAAATAAACCAGGAAAGAAAAGCAAGTATGAAATTGCAGCGGAGAAAGAAGCTGATGAAGAAGCACAAAAAAAGGCAGAAGATGCAAAAATTAAAAAGTAAGAATGGCCAACGTATAGGACAGGAGGGAGCAATTACCTTTTTATATGGGCCAGTTACAGATAATGATCGTTACTGTGGCGGAGGCACAAAACTCAATATGAAAAACTATAAATGAAAGTTTATTTACAACAGCTACTAGGCTATTATTTCTATAATAAGAAGAATCACAATGTAACATTCTGGGTCATTATGATGTCACTTTCATCGATATTTTCAATGGAAATTTATATTTGAACAAACAATAGTTGTAATTTCAGCAGACACAAGTTGGCCGGATGAAACACTTTGGTGGGCCGGATCTGGCTCGCGGGCCGTAATTAGCTCCCTCCTGATATTGGATATTTTGAGAAGGGGTTCGTAGCATACTATGGTTGGAGTCTCAGATTGAATAAACTGGGTTGACAAGGTCAAACTGAAAAGATCTAGGTTCCTCCAAACTATAGTACCCTTGCTCAACAGTGGCTGCTTGTGCAGAGACTTGTTTGGAGTGAAAGGCATAAATACTCTGTATAAAAATTCTAATATGATCTAATAATTAAAAATGTAGAAGCAGTTTTTAGGACCAAATAAATTTGCAAACTCTTATAGTTATATCAGGGTAATTTGAAATGTACATTTCCTTGGATGGACTGATGTTTATATCATAATATGTATTCTTACAGAGAAAAGAAAGCCACGCCAAAAAAGACGGAAGCAGAAAATAAGTCGACGGTATCCCCTATTGTCGAAGACACCAAAACGAGAACCAAATCTAAAAGTTCAATGTCACCTTTGACTCCAGGAAGTGACTCACAAGGTTCTATATCATCACTTCCTGATTCCCAAAAACTCGTAGCATCGTCAGATTCCAATGCTGAATATTTGTTATGGGTGGATAAATACAAGCCCAAAGGTTTGAAACAGATAATTGGACAGCAAGGCGCAAAAAGTAATGTTGAAAAACTTAGAGCATGGCTCCAGGATTGGCAAAAAAATAATCGGCCACAAGATGGGTCAAAACCAAAGCCGAAACCTAAAGTTAATATGTGGGGTGGGGGAGGAGACCCAACAGGAGCGGGATTTAGAGCAGCTTTACTATCTGGCCCTCCGGGAGTTGGGAAAACAACTGCTGCTACGTTGGTGTGTCAGGTATGATAAATGCATTCACTATTCTTTTCGTAGAATTGTTTTGTACCACGTTTCTCAATGACCACTGCATTAAGATTGCAGCTTACTTTTATTTGGTTAATGAGAATTGTGTGTGTAAGCATTATTCTTGCTACCTTCTAAACCTCATTTCCAGGTTTTCACCATTTTTTTATTTCTTTTTTTTTCGCTTTTGTCATAAATACCATATTAAACTATAGCCATATCCAATACAATAATAATATTCGTTTATTAACTTGTTATTAGAATAATATCTGAGGGTCTGAAGTCAAAAATTACAATAAGGACTAGCCTCTAATGACACTAGGAAAGTAAGCTGTTTGCCCTAAGCAATTGTGTCAATTTATCTTGTATCAATTTATCAATTGAGGCGAACCATGTCTTGATAGTTTAAGTCAGAGAATGTTTAAAATAAATATTGTTTTCAATAAAATTCATGAAAACCTAAGAAATTGAAATTAAACATTATTTTTTGGATATTGTCAAATTTAAGTAATTTTTCTGGTTTTTCTGTAGGAATTAGGATTCGAGTTTATTGAGATGAACGCTAGCGATACGAGAAGTAAACGAACACTGAAAGAAGAAGTCTCACAAATGTTGGATAACACAAGCATTTCAAACATGTTTGGAAGTGAGGTTAGAATTGCTTTTTTCGTATGCCCAGTTCAGAACTGAAAGAGAGTGACATATAAAAATACACATCATTTTACTGGTTTTGTTGAAAAGTTATTCACAAAAAATTACAAGACTAAATTTTTCCTTATTTAGGAGAAAAAGAAAACAGCGGCAAGTGGAACAAGGAATGCTTTAATCATGGATGAAATTGATGGAATGGCCGGTAATGAGGATAGAGGTGGAATGGCAGAAGTTATACAATTAATAAAAACTACGAAGATGCCGATTATTTGTATGTGCAATGATAGGTCAGTTGGTTTTATCTGTTCATTCTAATAAGCAATATATGATTACAATTGTAAACCTTAGACAGTGGTTTTCAACCATGGTTCCAAGGCAGCCTAAGGTTCTGCCAGTGCAGTCCAGGGGATTATAGGCATATTGTACCTTTTATGCTCGCTACTATTATTAAACTTGCGATCATTTCATTTTCCACAATTAGGTTTGCATAGATACGAGTGTTTTAATCTTAAAATGATGTTTTTTTTTTGCCGAAGACAATTAAATAATTCCCTTAGAATGTTTCATGAGGTTTCGTTCTATCAAATTATTAAAATAACCCTTAGTAGCTTCCTAACTATCAGTGGAGCTTGCTCACAGTCTTGTTTTGATCTTAAAATATGAGGTCATATCTAAAAAACCATAAAATATTCTGATAGATATTTTTATCAATCCAAATTTTTTTTAAGATCTTCCCCTAAAATGAGGTCGCTCACAAACCATTGTTTTGATTTGCGATTCCAACGACCTCGTGTTGAACAAATAACAGGAGCTATGATGAGTATTTGCTTCAAAGAAGGATTAAAAATTCCGGCTCCTGCTCTACAGGCATTAATTAAAGGCTGCAATCAGGATATTCGACAGGTAAATTCAATTAATACATTCAAGTCGAATGTTTGGGTAATTAATGTGTTTTTTGAATTTTTTTTATCTGTATGAAATTTTTTTAAAATAATCTTCTCAATACAAGACTAAATTGGGAATAAAGGGCAAAGTTACGGATGATTAATGCAACAAGCTGTTGAAATCACACGAAAGTATAGTGGTGCATTATGTGCTGTTGAATACTGAATTGCACATGATTGAAGACCATATGATCAAAATAAGAACTGGGCTATCGAAGCCATATAGAATTAGGATGATGCCTTAACTCGTCAGTAAACACTATTGGTGTAAGATTTTGGAGTGATTCAATTCCATGTGATCATAAAAAAAATTTTCCTAAAATTTATAAATCATGACCTAACATTTACTACATTTCTCAGGTTCTTTATAATTTGAGTATGTTGAAGGCAAGTAATAAGTCAGTTTCTTATGATGAAGCTAAAAAACATGCTGATGACGCTCATAAAGATGTATCAATTGGTATTTTTGACATCGCCAGAAAGGTAGGCTAAATGAATAAATAATGCCATAGAAATTTTAGATGTGAATGAATTAGTTTTAATCTTCAAGCATTCCGGTATATACCATAGTCTACAATTCATAAAGATTAATTTAATTGTCATTTTACATTGTTTCAGTGGTCTATTAGTTAGCATTTTGTTTTTGAATGGTGGCTATCTTGAGCTCTATCCAATGCTGATATGATGAAATTAAATCATTCTACAGAGAAAAATTAAATTCAGTGCGTTAAACAGATTTACTCTGTTTGTTTTTTACTTTACTCTTTTGCTCGAACACATTAAAAACATACCAAATGAAACATTTTGTCATTTATTTTCAGCTTCTGACTTCAGAATCAACTTCTTTATCAATAAATGATAAAATGTCATTATTTTTCATGGATTATTCTATGATTCCTTTATTCATTCAAGACAATTATCCGAATATTCGTCCTGGGAATACTGGAGGTAAGAATATTCAATAAGTCATAATAGATTTGAAAGTAGATAATTGATAAATATTGGCAGACCATCATGGTGAATTGATGATCGGCTCGAACGGTCTTTTTCATAACTCATAATTATGGTGATTTTAGCTTTGCTGGTCGTATTCATTGCAGTTTGGTTTGTACAAGAAAATTTAGTCTTTTACACCTAGAATTGTGACTATTCCAGACTGTTTATAAAATTGTAAATTGTTTCGAATTGAATTTTGATTTGTAAATTAGGCTCATACCATTGCAAAAGTGTTATGTTCAGGTTCTAGTTGTTGTGAAATAAACTTTTTTATTCTCAACTTTTGGACCTACCGGTATTTGTTTTATAATTGTCATATTGTGCCGCCATGTGAACTCCCATGTCAGGCTAGTCTTCTATCTTTTCGATAACGGTGGTGCTCACCTGAGGCCTTACCTGCTTCACGGATATAAAGCATTTGAATGATTAATAACAGATTTCTGTTTACGTTCCACTGATCTTACTGTAGTTGTCTTATGTTCTTTTGTGTCCATATATTTGAGCATTGTTTGTTTACAATCAATATGTAAATTTCAAATTTTTTCCCATATTGACATTTTTATACTAAATCACACTGGTCTTACAAAGAAATTCTGAACCCTGTTGTAAAATGGACTTATGATCTATTAAAAAAAAAAAAAACTCATCTTTTTTCTATCTTATTGTGTAGGAAATATACACAAACATCTTTCAGCGTTGAGCAAAACAGCGGACAGTATAGCACTCGCTGATCGAGTGGATAGACTTATAAGAAGCGATCAAGCTTGGGGAGCATTACCAACCCTCGGACTTTTGTCCACGGTGGTTCCATGTGAAATCATGAGAGGAGGAATGTCAGGGATGATCAATTTTCCAAGCTTCTTTGGGAAACTTTCCTCTACTGGTAAGTCTTGCCGGGTCTTTCAGTTTGGGAGTATTTTTCTGACATGCTAATGAGCCCATTGTACTTTGTTACAGGTTTCACAAGTGTGAATATTAATAAGATCTAGTCATCTGTATATCATACATACCGGTATGTATCAAGATATTATTTTTCTTTTGCAGGCAAGAATCATCGGTTATTACAAGAACTTAAATTTCATTCAAGTCTTGAAACTGGTGGAGCTAATGAAACAACTTTTAATTTAGATTATCTTCCGTAAGTACATACTTTAAACTTATTAGATATAATCAACTGTTTTGCCAGCAAGCAATTACAAAAATATGATATATTTGATAGAGATTGTAGTATATCATAATCTTATGTTGCCTTCATTTCAGAATGGTATATTTTTTACATACGATTTTCAAATAGTTTATATGTCTCGTAATGTACTGCTTCAAATATCTAACTTTTGTGACAGTTACATGAGATGCCATCTCACCCAGCCGCTTATTAACCAAAGTCAAACAGGAGATACTGAATTGCATAAAACATCTCAATTGTTAGATGCTTATGATTTATTACGGGAAGATTTTGATAGTATTGTTGAAATTGGACAATTTCCAGGGAAACCACAACCTATGTCAAAGGTAAGGTAATATTTTCTGTAAAGACAAGTATTCTACTCTAAGAAATCGCTGTGAATCTATTTATACATGATGAATATAATAGTCAGGATCTTCCCTACTATTCGAAATCCCAACTAATATTTTTAGTATAATTAGAAATGTGTTGCCATGTTGTCTATGCTATTTCCTATGTGCTTCACATTGCAGACTTATTCATGTGCTATAAGTGGTCTATATTTTGATTACGTAAATTAGTAACACAGGCCCAAACTAATCACTAAATGAGCACACAGTTATTATCTCTAAGAGGATTTTTGAGCATCTACCTACCTGGAAGTCGATTTAGCCTTTTTTCATATGTATTTTCCATATTATAGGTGTGATATGTACAGGCTCAACAATGAATATATCTGTAATAATGATCCATTGAATTTATGTCACTTTTAAGGTTATTACCATACTTTCAGGTCGACACTAAAGTTAAGTCAGCATTCACTCGTACATTTAACAAAGAAAATCACAAAACTCCTTATGCTGTGCAATCTGCTCCGAAAAAAGGAAAGAAAGGAACAGGTATTTAGTGATTTTGTATACAAATGCATCTCGTTTGGAATATTAAGGTCTGAAATTAAATGCCTTTTGTTTGTATGAAAAGTTACTGAAGATATGGGTTATGGACCAGAAGGAGAATCTCAAACTATAGATGAAGAAGAGGAGGAAGAAGATTTAGATGACATGGTGAAGGTGAGTTTATAATGTTGTGCGCAGGAGGACATCATGGAGATGTATGATATTTTCGTAAATCTAGCGTTTCGTTCCATGACTTCTGAACTCTTTTTTTTTCTGTATATCAATATTCTTTGAATTAGTTAGCATCTCAGAGACACCGGAGTAAAACTTGTCGCTACACCTGATGTAATATGGTTTTTATATTAACAATAACACGAAAATTATTGTTTTTCCATCTTCAGGCCAAACCAGCTCGCAAGAAGTCTACGGCTTCAACGAGTAAAGCAGGAAAATCGGCAACTGGCAAAAGAGGGAAGAAAAAATAGCACACTTGCCAGATTATGTTCCATTTTTGTTCAACACCACCTTTTTAATTATTTTGTATTTACTTATTTCACACTCTCTTTCAAATGCAATTGTCAGCATTGCAACATTTAGACTAACGCGAATACTGCTAGGTGTTGGTGTTTTGTACATTTGGTATTCTGTAGTTTCATCAACAGCTGTTGAAATATTTTTCTTCCATCTCTGAGTATTCATTCCAGGCAATAACAAAGTAAATAAATAAAGTTTATTTAAATATATACACAGTAAAATTTAGAAATAATTTGTAAAAGTCTCAAATTTATGGCTGCTGCTTCATTCACCTGCCTCTTAATCTTATTCATCTCATTTTTTTCATCTCCGTTACCTTTTAAAACTTAACCTTGGAAGTTAATAAAGTCGTATTCTCTTTTCATTGATAACGTGACTACAAGTGTGTGTGTTGCTGAATCAAATTTGGCTGAGCCTTTGTCTGGGTCAACAGGATGCGGCAGTGGTAGTATTAGTTTGCTGAAAAGAAAATAGACAAGAAAAAGTTGAGTCCCAAGTCTTCAGCTTTGAGAGAGTCCAAAAAAGGTGTAGGAGCATCTTACTATTTGTCTGATCTGCAATCTAAGACATGCTCTTTCACTTGAAGATCAACGTCTTTCATTTTTGTGTCAGGCAATTTGATTTTAATGACTAAGCTTTCACAACAAGCACTTGACGGGTTCTTTCCAGTCGAACCAAGAAACATGTCTTCTGATGATACTTTCTGTTTGTATGATATGTCAAACCTGTAAAAAAAATTGAGATGTTGGCTTACAACATTTGAGCAATTCTTTCAGTGGTTGTGATTCTGGTTAAATAGGTGTGGCTGAAATTTACCATAATATCTCCACTCAAATTCAGTATTAATGTAAAAATGCCTGACCAACTGATGTAGGTAGTTTAGCGAGACACGACATTTATTACATACTCTGGTTGTGGCCTTCCATCGTCATCATCTTGGTATAATGTTGAAGTTAGAACCTCTTCCTCATCCCATATTGCCTGACTATCCTTTTCTAAAAAAATTATAAATAAATGCTATATTTCTAAAACATGATTCTTTAATAAATTAGGTACTCAACTGTTCAGTGGTTCGGTGCTGCTGACTTTCTTTGTCGGACCAATGCTTGCAGGAGTGTAAGCAGATGGCCCACTTTCAGGCTGAAATTTGAGAAAAATATATACAAATTATCACAACAACAAACAAACTGTGTATGTTAAATATTCCATTGTCACTACATTATTCTGATGTCCATTTATAAACTGTTTGATTGACATAAATACTTCGAACAGAAATCGGGTAACAGATACCGTACCTATAGTACCGGTACCAATTAGCCTGAATACTGTATTGTACTGAACTACCAGAAATATCTTACGAAGCGGAAGATCTGGTATACCTACCATATCATCATCACTCGAGTCTTCCTTTGGATTCAACATATTTGACAGTGCTTGCAGATTTGAAATATTACTGACACTGAGATCCGCCATATTTATGTATTTAGACTACTGTTCAATCCTATAATTTAACTACACTATTGTTTTGAATAGTCAAATCTCTTTGACTATGATATTTTACAAATAAATCACCGATCACAAAGTTATCTATTTCAAAATAATCATAGAATCATCATGTCAAATATCGCTCCAACCAAACTCGCACAAGTTTGTTGTTTTTTACCAAAGAGCGTCGGTTCGTTACGGGTCATTAGTTTTAGGTAGTCAACCACCCCACCACTTCGTGGCAGTGTTGAGCACCGGAGCATATTCAAGAATGGGCAGACACTAAGACTAAGAGGACACTATTCAATCATCCGCGGGGTAGTCAGCTGCTTTCAACAATTGGGGATAATGGTAAAATGCTAGAAGCTTAATAAAACGCTGATGAGCGTGAAGTTGACCAATGTACTGTAAATATTCTTAACATTGTTTTCCTGTTTGAAAAAAATCGTGTTCAGATAGCAAAGTAAAGCGGTAAAGCCGTACCAGTTAGCGGTGCGGATTACATTTGGAAAGTCATGTCTGACATGCTATTTAATTACTAAACTGCGGCATACTTCACCTATTTCTATGCAAAGCACAAAAAGGATAGGTACCAAATGAATGTCCTACTCAGCAATATTGATCGCTGGTCGATTACGGCTTCCCTTACCATCAAGTCCGCGCATGTAAATCAAATATCTGGTTTAACTATTCCCATGTCTGACATAAATTGGTCATATATTTTAAGTATTGTTCTCTTTCTTTTGATACATCACACTAACAATATAATATAGCCCGGACAATAATTGGCAATGTATATATTGTTTGTTTTTGTGTACAAAATATGCGGCGATGTTATTGACCGCATCTATATCGGGTCAGTTCACTTATATGAAGTTGCTTACATATAAATTAGTCATCGCGAACTCTCGTAAACAAAATATTGTTTGCTATTTCAGAATAATAGTATATTACTCTGAGAATATATAGTTGAGCTTAAGTCTAGAATCGTGGTAATATACTGCCAATCTTGGTGGTTTAATCGTTTAAATATTTTATATTTTATTGAATGGTATTGCCGGAGTCATTCAGAAAAAGAGTTGGTCTTGTCTAGCGGTATTATTTATAGACAGTTTTATTCAGATAACCGCTTACTCACGGACTTGGAGACATACGATTGGAAAGAGCAATCGTCCAATAATTTATACTCAGGTAATTTTCGGACACGTAGTGGCCATAGCGATCGTTTCAATATTATGTTGTTGTTCTTTGACACTTTTTGGACACCCAGTGGAAAATCTAAAAAGTCGCTTTAGTCTTTGATTACTGGACCAATTGCTCTGAAATTTTCAGTGGTTACAGATAAAATTTTTCTCCAGATGGCTAATACTTTTATTTATTTCAAATATTTCTGTTAGTTCTGTGTGATTTGTTTTTGTTTGCTATGACGTCACCGAACGTTCTGCGGACATCGGACGCCATTTTGTGTCCGACTGTATCGCTTCGCTTGGTGTGAATATATTTGTAGACTGTGATCTAGCTACTGCGACCAGACGTGTCCATATATTTGAGCGTAGCTCTCTTGTCTTATTTAATCACTGTCAATTGATTCTGAAATTCCATAAAATTTAGGTATAGTATTTAAAAGGCGTGATGTGGCTTGCCGCTTCCATTTCAATCTCCGAAGTCTAATTAATGAGTGGCAATATAGCATAATTGGTTTTGTTTAATTAATATATTGTCGGTATATACCGTAGTTATATTCGAGCCGAAGTCGTATACTCGTATTGAGTTTTCTTCGAGCCACAGATCCGCACTTTGACTTCATGACACTTGTTTTACAACTTGGCGCCAGAAGTGAAGCATTAAAAAAAGAATTATTTTTGTGAGTTTTATTGTACCATTGCTTTGTTTAAAGATACCCAATAAATTAAACGAGAATTTTCTGTTATAAAATTAGCGAGTTTTCTCTATTATTTCTCGAGTGCACCATCCCAGGAATTGACTAATACTCAAACTATAGCCTACACTTGTCAATATGAACTTAATACAACATAGTCAGTGTTTGACAATGCAATATTTATAATTGTGTTTTCAAGTTCATAATTGAATAAAAACAAAAAATGAGAAACTAAACTCGTAATTTATTACATTTTGGAATACCAACGAACTGCTGTAAAGTTTCAAAACTGAAATGAACATTTAATCTCTTTGGGACATGGTCTGTACATGAATAATGCGTAAAATTGCATAGAATATATTGAAATCAAAATGCTGATAAATAAAATTTCCTAAAAATTCTCTTCTCTTTATTATAATGAAAACTGACTCGTTTAGACGCAGAAGAATGTTTGTTGCACATTTTATGCAGAATTTTAGAAAGGGAAGCAGCTCCACAGAAAAATACTCCTACTTCTCTTTCGGTGTGCATATCGGCAATTCGAGAAAATATGTCGTCCCAATTAGGTCTACCAAAATTTGTTTTTTGTTCCAAACCTGTAATGACATCACGTTGATCCTCTTCGTGAACAAAAATAGCTTTCGCTTGGCCGGCAGTCCAACCTCGAGTTAAATATATGTTGTATTCAATAAGGTCTCTGCAACCACTTTCAGCCAGCTGGTTTTCGAGATGCATTAGCATATCTCCAAACCACTCAAATGCATGTGTGTCAGGACAAACCCAAAAGAAATACACTTTCCTTAGTCGCATGGGACCGCTCTCGTTAACAGTTTTGTAAAACACTGATTTCAGTAGTGATGCAAATGGTGTCACGCCAATTCCAGCTCCAACGCATAAGGCAACATCATAATCGAAAACATCTTCGCTGGCTGTACCGAATGGACCATCCACCGCGATGCGTGGTATTTTCCAAGATGGTTGAACCTCAGCATATTCATCTGCACCTAAAACTTCACTGAGGCCTGAGGTCCAGTCTCCAACAATTCTAATATGAACGCTAAAATAATCTTCTTCGGGTGCAGATGTTGAAGTAAAGGGATGCCATTCCAGTCGTGAAAGCTTAGGACATTGAATAAATATGTACTGCCCAACCTCTGCATGAAAATCAGTCTTTCTCATTTGAATTTCGAGAACTTTTGACGGATGTTTGACCACTTTCAGTATTTTTACAGGCTGCAGGTACCTGACAAATCGTAATATTCTTTCACAAATGTATATAAATATAGGTGCCATTATCCAAACCCATGTAATAGGCATGCCACCTTCAAAAACTGGAGGTGTGGAGCATTTCCGATCATTTTCCCAGCCCGTACAGGGATCAATCTTACTGCAATACTCAGGATCGTGCTTATCTACGTTCGTCTGCCCTCTGACCTGCTTTCCTATACTGTGGAATATGAGAAACCCAAAGAAAACAATAAACAAATGATGTACGTACCAAAAAACTTCAAAATATGAACGACGTATAAATTCAGTGGATGAGGTCACCATAAAAAAGAGACTCGCAATCATAATAAGTCCAGTCCACCCGCCAGTCAGCAAAAATACTGATTTTATCGGATAGGTAGGTTGTCTTATTGGATCTAAATAGGTCTCTCCATCCCCATTTCCTATAGAAACCAACTTTACCAACAACTTGGTTGATTGTTTAGTGTCTGTCTCGTCTCGTCACTTGCATCGTCAAATTGTAATATTTCTGTTCACTATGTTATGTACATATTGTACATTCATTTAATTTTCTTGACTTTTGCGGTAAACTTCTAAGTGAGAAATAACTGATTTATTTGTGTTTTCGTGCTCACGATGTTAATTTGTGACTTCATTGCTTAAAAATAAATACGTTTGATACTTGATAGCTTCTATAAAATGGATGTAGCTTTTTATGCTGTTCTTGTTGTAAACTGCTTGTGGTTATTACATAAAATTTATTCTCAAATGTGAATCAGCGTTGTTGGTGTCGCTGCTTTCGAGGTCACTCCCGACTCCTGTCACACAATTAAAGTATTTTTTGTTGTTGGTTACATGTATGCCATATTTTTCGTAATCTACCTAATAAATTATGATTGACTGAGGAAGTCCGATTTTGGTCAGGCAAAACATTACAGGAATACATTTGTGTTAGTGTGCTGTAGGGCTCTCGAATTGTATAGTTCTTATGTATGCGTTGTAAACTTATGGTTATTGAATTTCCGGGTACCTCTTATATTCAATTTCGCACAAGGATTGTGGAACAAGCTGTAATGCGTTCATTATGTTCGTTTTCACACAAAACTGAAGAATTTATTTAGTTACCAGATGTGCGCTACGAAACTCATTTTCTGGGCGTTTTCATGGTTTCGTCTCACGGCCCATATCCGTGGTAAGGATCTACAAGTGTTTAATAATTTACTTATACATTTTTCAACAACGTCTTAGCATAACTTAACTAATAATAACTAAACAGGGCTATGGAAAGCCTGCCCAACTCAGCGCAAGGTCGGGCAGAAATAACTAATATTCATCCGCTCGCTAACAGCTGGTTTAATTCAATTGTTACGTCATACAGAAGTCATTGTTCAGTGCCGAAAATGTAGAGAATATAGGACAGATCGTAGCACATATTTCTTGTAGTAAAAGCGTCTTTTCCGTAAAACGTGCAACTTTTGGAAGTGGGAACAAGGCAATATTTGTTACTAAATTTTTAAGGAACATTTTAAAATCATTTTCAGGTAGTTACCTGATGTGCGCTACGAAACTCACTTTCTAGGCGTTTTTCAGGGCCTCGACTCGCGGCCTATTGGAGACATACGATTGGAAAGAGCAATCGTCCAATAATTTATACGCAAGCAAATTTTTGGACACGTAGTGGCCATAGCGATCGTTTCAATATTATGTTGTTGTTCTCTGACACATTTTGGACAGCCAGTGGAAAATCTAAAAAGTCGCTTTCCTCTTTGATTACTGGACCAATTGCTCTGAAATTTTCAGTGGTTACAGATAAAAATTTTCTCCAGATGGCTAATGCTTTTATTGATTTCAAATATTTCTGTTAGTTCTGTGAGATTTGTTTTTGTTTGCTATGACGTCACCGAACGTTCTGCGAACATCGGACGCCATTTTGTGTCCGACTGTACTGCTTCGCTTGGTGTGAATATATTTGTAGACTGTGATCTAACAGTACGGTAAACCGTACTGTAGGCTACTGCGAACAGACGTGTCCATATATTTGGGCGTAGCTCTCTTGTCTTATTTAATCACTGTCAATTGATTCTGAAATTCCATAAAATTTAGGTATAGTATTTAAAAGGCGTGATGTGGCTTGTCGCTTCCATTTCAATCTCCGAAATCCAATTAATGAGTGGCAATATAGCATAATTGGTTTTGTTTAAATAATATATTGTCGGTATATACCGTGGTTATATTCGAGCCGAAGTCGTATACTCGTATTGAGTTTTCTTCGAGCCACAGATCCGCACTTTGACTTCATGACACTTGTTTTACAGCTTGGCGCCAGAAGTGAAGCATTAAAAGAATAATTATTTTTGTGTTTTATTGTACCATTGCTTTGTTTAAAGATACCCAATAAATTAAACGAAAATTTTCTGTTATAAAAATAGCGAGTTTTCTCTATTATTTCTCGAGTGCACCATCCCAGGAATTGACTAATACTCAAACTGTAGCCTACACTTGTCAATATGAACTTAATACAACATAGTCAGTGTTTGACAATGCAATATTTATAATTGTGTTTTCAAGTTCATAATTGAATAAAAACAAAAAATGAGAAACTAAACTCGTAATTTTGGAATACCAACGAACTGCTGTAAAGTTTCAAAACTGAAATGAACATTTAATCTCTTTGGGACATGGTCTGTACATGAATAATGCGTAAAATTGCATAGAGCATATTAAAATCAAAATGCTGATAAATAAAATTTCTTAAAAATTCTCTTTATTATAATGAAAACTGACTCGTTTAGACGCAGAAGAATGTTTGTTGCACATTTTATGCAGAATTTTAGAAAGGGAAGCAGCTCCACAGAAAAATACTCCTACTTCTCTTTCGGTGTGCATATCGGCAATTCGAGAGAATATGTCGTCCCAATTAGGTCTACCGAAATTGGTTTTTTGTTCCAAACCTGTAATGACATCACGTTGATCCTCTTCGTGAACAAAAATAGCTTTTGCTTGGCCGGCAGTCCAACCTCGAGTTAAATATATGTTGTATTCAATAAGGTCTCTGCAACCACTTTCAGCCAGCTGGTTTTCGAGATGCATTAGCATATCTCCAAACCACTCAAATGCGTGTGTGTCAGGACAAACCCAAAAGAAATACACTTTTCTCAGTCGCATGGGACCGCTCTCGTTAACAGTTTTGTAAAACACTGATTTCAGTAGTGATGCAAATGGAGTCACGCCAATTCCAGCTCCAACGCATAAGGCAACATCATAATCGAAAACATCTTCGCTGGCTGTACCGAATGGACCATCCACCGCGATGCGTGGTATTTTCCAAGATGGTTGAATCTCAGCATATTCATCTGCACCTAAAACTTCACTGAGGCCTGAGGTCCAGTCTCCAACAATTCTAATATGAACGCTAAAATAATCTTCTTCGGGTGCAGATGTTAAAGTAAATGGATGCCATTCCAGTCGTGAAAGCTTAGGACATTGAATAAATATGTACTGCCCAACCTCTGCATGAAAATCAGTCTTCCTCATTTGAATTTCGAGAACTTTTGACGGATGTTTGACCACTTTCAGTATTTTTACAGGCTGCAGGTACCTGACAAATCGTAATATTCTTTCACAAATGTATATAAATATAGGTGCCATTATCCAAACCCATGTAATAGGCATGCCACCTTCAAAAACTGGAGGTGTGGAGCATTTTCGATCATTTTCCCATCCCGTATAGGGATCAATCTTACTGCAATACTCAGGATCGTGCTTATCAACGTTCGTCTGCCCTCTGACCTGCTTTCCTATACTGTGGAATATGAGAAACCCAAAGAAAACAATAAACAAATGATGTACGTACCAAAAAACTTCAAAATATGAACGACGTATAAATTCAGTGGATGAGGTCACCATAAAAAAGAGACTCGCAATCATAATAAGTCCAGTCCACCCGCCAGTCAGCAAAAATACTGATTTTATCGGATAGGTAGGTTGTCTTATTGGATCTAAATAGGTCTCTCCATCCCCATTTCCTATAGAAACCAACTTTACCAACAACTTGGTTGATTGTTTAGTGTCTGTCTCGTCACTTGCATCGTCAACTTTTGTGTTGTGTGACATTGAAAAACGATGGACGTTGTACGAATGCCCATAAAAATGAAAAAGAGATAGACCAACAATCATGTAAGCGCATAGTCTGTGAAATGTTACGTTCTTGTCCAAGATTCGCCTTGCTCGCCCCGGGCAACAAACCGCCCATCCTCGGACAAACGACAATAAATTTCTGCAAACTGGTAATAATATCAACATACAATTGAAGTTCATGCATGCAGCTGCACTTCTTGATATTGCGAGTGTGTTACCAAGAACAACTCTTGTATAAAAGTATGTTTTCTCCCTGTTGTACTTTTGCCAGGTAACTCCAAATAGTAATCCATTGATCAGAAGCCATACTAAAATAACGAAATATTTTGGAACGTCGTTGACAAGTAAACCTCTCATTTGTCTGCAAAATGAATAATAGAATATATTTAATCTAAAAACTTTTTATCAGAACATGTTGGATGCGCTTGGAATTGCCTAAGCCAAAACGCAACTACGAATCTATACCGCCACTACGATGAACAATATGAATATTGGACGAGAAGAAAGTAAAAGTAATATTATGCGTTACGCTTGACTTGTTGGAATATTATTACTAAAACACTTAGGTAAGTATCTTACTTTCGCATTGCCACTCGTATAGAATCGTATGTACACGGGCCTAAGAACAATTTCCGTCTGGCCTCAACGTATTGATCCCTATTGTAGTCACGCGCTTATAGTATCGCTTGTGCAACATTAATCTCATCTCACAAAAACTTCATAACAATGTAGCATAATAGCTTGGAAAGCGTCTAACTTCGTATGCTACGAATATATAATTCTTATTTTCAAGTAAACAGCCAACGGTTGGTTAGCCCACGGGCGAAGGACATGAAAATCAAATGGCTAACAAACTTCACTGATAAGAGTTAAATATAGCGCGGACGGAACCATACAGTATATCAGAGTTCAAATAATAGACAAGATAGTGCGCCATGAGTTCACAAACTGCTTATGCATATATCTTTCAAGGTCTAGCTAGTACAATATCAGTGCCATGGATTGTGGAACATAAGCTCAGAAACTGCTGATGCAAACGTCTTCAACGGCCTGGTATGGCGACAAAAAGTGCTTTTGAGACGCTATCTAAACTGTTATAAAAATGAACATCACAATGGAATGTTTATACCTGATTTTCTGTACAAACGTACATTCTGGATTTGTAATCGGAACACTATATAATTTTACCGCACAAATTTGGAACCAGCATAGACAGCCTCAAAAACTAACGCATTAACTGCCAAAGCTATGACGTTCCTTCCTTCCATTCTTGGTTTGACATAATGTCACGTTTCATTGCGTAATTTATTTTTTAAATGAATTGACCTCTGCATTAGTTCAATACAGCTGCGTTAAGCATATCCTAATCTAATGCTAAGTATGCTATATGAATTAGTGATGGCTGCCACTATGTATCATTACGACAGTCTTCACCGCGGGTACTAGATTGGCAAATTTTAGTTTGACAGTACGTCACTGTTTTGCGTTGAGTAATCATGTGACCTATTGTTGTCAATATCCTAATTTCCGCACATATGCGTTGCGTGGTAGTGGGTGCTTCAACAAATATGAAACACAGAAAAACTTCTCAAAGAGCACGCTTGCCTTGTCGATTTAAGACTCCACTCTGCCTATGTATTCTTAACCGCTAAACCCACCGGGAACAAAGTAATGACTATAATTTTAGTACGGCATTGACCAAAACAAACCGCGTAGGGATCAGTCCATTTTGCGAAATTTATTCAACCGACGTTGCCAGTTACCCTGATTGACGATCACAAACGAGAAGCCAAATTTACGCTGTAATGCATCGATCAAGTCTATATCTGTGGGCGTATTTTTAATTCAGACGACACTCACATATACGATCCATAAACTTGGTCGCAAATATGATTCAGATTAACAGGTAGTCAATAATAACATCTGACCTTGTTATACATTCAGGTTTTGTTCAACATCTAACGACGCGGAAAACCAACACTCAAGACATAACTTTAATTCAGTTGTTATTCACCTCAATCCAAATTCCGCCTTAGGCTTATTAACGGTAAAGTAACGACTGCATAGTCCTGATACAATTTTACTGTTATTATAAAATAGTTGAATTTGGATGGTTCAATAAGACCTGCAAAATACTGACATTTACTGCCGTACTACACGAATACACAGCCAGTATTGAGTTACTAACTCTTGACTTCATCGTATTGTCAATACTGTTTATAAGGCCGTCTTTAATCTAACATCTTGCCCAACGCTCTTCCTTCGTCACGGTGAGTGGCCATAATTCACACTGATTCCACCCATATATCTGCCAAAACATAGCGTCACCAGAACTAAAATCAAATATAGATAATGAAATAAATAAATTCTTAAGATATCAAACGTCAAAAAAAAAAAAATTACCTTATTTGTCGAAAGAAAGTGACGTAATTTTTGGCGATTGGCTCGGCTGACAGCATGGTTTCCGCAAATGAGTCTTAAGTTAGCACCTTATCATCGCTGGTGGCCGCTCAGGGACATTTGGAAGTTTTATTGGACACGAAATGGACATATGGATCTTTTTATTATATTATTATTTTGCCCTCGTTGTTCATCATGTTAGTATATTTTGTATTTCTTTTTTCAACTTATGATAATCCTTGGTTTAAAATGATTTTCAATTCATCAAGTTAAAACACGATTAAAGCTTCTTTTTTAGAACTTGTTTTTGGATCCTAGAGTCTAAAATTTGAAATATGATGTTACCGTGGTTTAGGTTTATTCGCGAATGCGAATCAGGATTGCTTTTGAAAATTTTTCATTTTCATTTTCATCAATTCATAAATCCATTCGCGAGTGATAAGTGCGTGTGGCCAAATATGTCCGTTCGTCTGAAGCAACAATTTTTAGTCCGGTCGAAGTTGAGCACTGAGGCAATCTCTCAAAAACAATCATCAATCGCGTATTTCAAACTTGCGTCACCCCTACATAGGCTTGCCATATTTCTGAAGCAAACAAAAAACGGGACGGCGCGGATCGGACAAGCCAGCCTTGGCTCGCATTCAGGGGCTTACTGATAGTTTAAACGTTTTCCATACCATTGTGGGTAGATTACGGGTGTCAAAATTAGCTGTCTTCTATATAGCTAATATCCTCTATATATCGGTCTTTGCTTCAAATAATTGACTCATTAGAAAACTGGTACTTTGATTTCGACATTTTGATGATTCGGCGACAGTACAGTTGGGGGTTAAATTAACGTTTATACTTCATTTCATGGCTATGACATAAAAAAAAATTCTCCCTATCAGAACTAGTAAAGTGAGGCGCAAATCAGTGGTAAATTGGATGCCTCTGTTAAAAAAATGTTTTGTAATAGTATCGAAATAGGAAAATTATTTATGACTGTCGTACTGCAAAACCGGGACATTTAGGTCTTACACCGGGACGGCGGAAAAACATGCTAAAAGCGGGACAGTCCCGGTAAAACCGGCATATCACAGTTTCACATGACTGAATGTAAGAGGTAAAACTATAATTGATGTATTTTCAATACCAATTGCACATACTACCTCATACTGGTGGTCATGCTTTACAATTGCATCGACGTGAAATGCGTGGCTTACGACACGTGACCTGCTTTTCCCACAGTTTTAATAGCTCTGCAAATTTGATGTTTAACAAACAAAGGTCACTAAACAAATAAACTCAATATAGGACATCTAGTTCTACTGGCCTTGTCTTCGTTTTGTCAATTGTTGCCACTGAGCAGATGATCGTCAGTTATTTGAAAGTTTGTACTTGAACGAAAACGATAGAATTATCCATATAGCGTCCTGTTTTCAGTTATGTTGTGTTAATTGCTGTTAGTTAAAAAAATAGTATCTAGTATAAAAAGGATGTTATCGAGTAGGTATTACAGCGCAGTCAAAATCCTAAACTGTAGTTGAGTTTGAGAACGAATTACCTGGTTATAGCAAACTGGCTACTCGTATTGATAACAACAAAGCATGAATATATCAAATTTTGACCTTGGAAACAATCATTAGGCTTAGTGATTAGAGAGTTGAAAAAGTAATTTTAACAACAGTACGCTTTCGACATAGGACGCAGGTTACACGATTATGGTTTCGCGATCATTGTCTCTGTTCCCTTCCGCTCATCAACATTTGTTCTTGAGAAGCGAAAATTTGTTTGCATTTACCAAATCTGCTAAATAAACTACACACGCATACCACTTTTATCTCAGCGATATAATTTCAAATTTGATCGATTCTAAGCGAACAAAATCAATCGTGACTTTTGTCAAAGTCACATAGAATATCTGAAATATTAGTTTTTCACTGTAACTTTAGAATTTACTAGTAAAATGCCAGATTCAGAATTTCGAGACAAAGATAAAATAGAAAATGGAATTTCCAGGATAACTGAGAATTGCGGCAAATACCAGAAACAACTTTTTCTCATTATGATGGTAACATCAGTGCTGATTCCCATTGCTTTTCTCTGTAATGCTCTCCTGACTGACAAAAATACAGAACACTTTTGCAATACATCGGAAGATATAAAGATTTCAGTGTCTCAGGTATCGTGAAATTATAATAATGGCTTTTAAATAGTTTATTTTCAAATAGTGAAACATATAACAACCTTTATAAATCCTTTTTGGTGGAATGATTTAACAACGACCTAGGTTTGACATGTCAATACCGATGAAAAATTTACCGATGAAATTATTTCGAACTCGATATAAATGTTCATTAATAGTTACGACTATAAAAAGATAAAATTATCCACGACAATGCTTATCGTTCAGCTAAACATATTCTAGATCTGTGAATACCCTTTATGATATATTGTATCTCCCGTTTGAAGTATTCCATTAGCAAAATTCTGAGTTGTCTCTGTAGAGATGCAGAAATAGAATATATATTATACCAGTATATTTGACGCCTTTTCTCGAAGATTCGTCTTATTTCAATCACAATTATGGTCCCTATCAACACTTCGATTTTTAGTTAGACGTATTATACAAGGCTAAAATCTTCTATTCCTCTATTTTCTAATCTTTACAGGTATGCAATAAATCATGGACGTTGACTCAAGATCTATTAACAATTCCATTAAACAACGATACAAAACAACTTGATCACTGTTATAAGTAAGTACTTCGGCCGCTTGTGCCTGATATGATTGCAAATTTGAAGTAAGGTAACCATCAACATCTAAGTTATTCAGTTACAACTCACAAGACGCACCCGTACTAAAAATAGAAGGAAATGTACGGATTCGTCCAAAGTTCCATTGAATATTGCTTGCAAACTTGTGGAGCATAAACCGCATGAATTTATCAATATTTTCAAAATCGACCCGCAAGGAAATATTGTGCGGCCCGCGGAGAAGTGCCAATTTTGAATATTGTGCCCGCGAAACGTTCAGGTAAAGTTTTTAGTTCAGGTAATCTAGTACGTGCGAGCAATTCCAACTTATTTGCGTCGAGAAGCCTATACCGGGGCTCCCGAAGTATGCGAACCAAGATGACGGACATCGGAATGTAATATGTGTACTAGGTTAGGGTTAGGCCATAATTTTAGGTATAAATACTAAGGGAGGCTCTTGGCTAGTCTTCGAACTGATAATAGGACTAAAATAAGGAAAATTGGAAAAAAATTATCGCCTAACCCTGACCTGTTACCCACGTTACGTTCCGATGTACGCCATCTTGGTTCGCATACTTCGGGAGCACCCCTATACCAGTACCTGGATGCCACTGTCATATTAGTAAAGCTAGCTAGTAAAACCCTGTTGCAAAATACACAATGTTATAAAAACGTGTTACTCACTGAATTCGTTTAAAGTCGGTGTGACAATACATTTGAATAGCAGTTTTCTTTAGAAATTTATTCGTTTCAACTTACCATTTCTGCAAGGACCACTAACAATGCCGTAAGATCAATTACAAAAAGAAACAATTTTTTGTGCCTGCAACTACTAGAAAGTCTATCTCAAACAAAGGTGCTGCCCGTGTCTTTACACCCAGCTACTTGTATCTGGCTCCCCTGTAATAAAGGTTGCCCGCCTCTGCTATAGGCTATGTTGCTATGTATCATATTCATATCGGTTGCTAATTGCTATATGTATATATATATATATGTAATATACTCTAGTAAAATAGTATATATATATTTATAGATACGTTAGGTTTTAATCGTAACACTTTCTTTTCTGCATCAAGATATGATTTGGGGCTTGTTCTGCAGCCTATTGATTGTTCGTTTTGGTTTCAAAACGACAACAGCAGCAATAGCAGTGTTGCTGAAAATACACAAACACATGAAAACCAAACATTTAATACAACCAAATGTACGAGGTATTGTAACATTTATTAAACATAATTTCGAAAATCTAGTATTGCTAGCTAATTTAGATTTTGAAACTCAATATCTCGCACGTAATTTCTCATTCAGTCACTTAAAATAAAGTTTCGTCTAATGGAGATTTTGATGATATCTCGGAATCATGCAAAGATGAGTTCTTTTGTACTATTAAAATGTGTAAGGACATTAAATATACCGTGTTGTTATGCTGTGTTAATTTTCTATTTGCGCCTAATATTTTCTATCATAGCTGGAGCTATCATAATGACATATTTCATTCGACTGTTGATTCGAGATTCAATCTGGTATGTGATAATGCATGGAAAGCGCAAATTGCTTCTTTGTCGTTGATGTTTGGTGTACTGGTCGGTTCAGTTATATTTGGGTTAATCAGCGACAGGTATGTGTAAATGTCACGTACCAATGATATTGAATCTTTGGATTATTTTTGGGATGTTGTTTTTTATTCGTGGCTACAATTATTTAAAATGTTTAGATGCAATCCCATTAAATAATTTTGCAATTAGTCTGAATTCTCTGTTTCGTGCACTGCTAAGCACTTACACGATACTAGCAACTTGATAGTTTCACGAATACCAAGCATCAAAGAACGAAGCTAAGAACACGAAGTAGACTTACAGAATCCTTACGCTTTTTTATCTTATTCGATAAAATTGATTGGGTTTTGATGATAGCGCAAAATCTGTGGCGAATCAAAGGGTCCAGACAAGACAAAAAGAAAAAATGGAAAAGTAACTAAAATTTCCTGCCGAACGCTATCGACCGCCTAGCGATGTAAATTCATTCAGGATAAATTCGATAGCCAGCTGTATTTGGCAAATTTTAGTACTTTACTATTACAGATATGGCCGGAAATCCTCATTTGCTATAGCACTTTATGTGCTTGCAGCCAGTGAATTCATCAGCACTTTCGTTCGGAATTTCGCAGTTTACTGCATAATGCAATTGTGTACAGGATCCGGATTTATTGGAGTTTGTACTGCCGGATTTATCATGGGTAAATAATTTTGCCATATTTGTGGATCTCAGGCCCTAAATTTGAATTATATCAGTAATATATTTTGTATTATAGGCATGGAGCTACTAAGTTCTCGTCATCGCGTTATTGCAGCTCAATTTTTTCAATGTACTTTTCCAGTGGGATTCATGCTATTTGCTCTAGTTGGATATTTGATTCCAAACTGGAGGACAGTTGGACAACTTTCTAGCGTCGTCATACTATTTATTGTTCTTATATTTTGGAGGTAAGGTGTAATGAATTGTTCGCGAAGTAGGTTCGATAATCGTTGCATCCACGTACATTTTCATCAGCCAGTTTTATATCCATTTTGGTATGTATTGAAAACAGTCTTTTTCAATTAAGTATTGCTTTTAATTTTAGAGTAGCACTTGAATCCCCCAGGTGGCTATATGCAAGAAATAGACTGGAAGATGCTAATAGAATAATCAACAAAATTGCAAAATTGAACGGTTACGAACAAAAAATGGTGAGGTGATTCAAATTATACAATTTCTTGTTGGAGAAGTTTTTCATGGTAAATTAATATTCAGGAACTTGTACCACCAATGGAAATTGGCGGGAATGAAGAATCCGAAGAAATGATCAATACGCCAGCTAATACAAACGATCCAGAAATACTGACGAAATTTTCTTTTCTTGTTCTTTTTACAAACCGCACGCTTCGGAAAATTACGATTATTCTTTGTTACAATTGGTATGTACCAAAATCAGATTTAGCCGTTTTAGGTAGAGGTAATGTTATAAAAATTAGTTCAATGCCAAACCATAAAGGCAACTAAAAATTGGCATGACTTAATTAATTAGCAATTGAATTTATTAAAATCAGTAAGATTAGCGTTTCAAATTTTTTTTCTAAATTAATCACTCCATAGCTACAAAAATGATCATGTTTATGATATCTTTTGTTCAGATATTGACAATTTGGGGCTCCCGAAGTATGCGAACCAAGATGGCGGACATCGGAATGTAATATGTATACTAGGTTAGGGATAGGCCATAATTTTAGGTATGAATACTACGAGATGCTCTTGGCTAGTCTTCGAACTGATAATAGGACTAAAATAAGGAAAATTGGAAAAAAATGATCGCCTAACCCTAACCTGTTACCCATGTTACGTTCCGATGTCCGCCGTCTTGGTTCGCATACTTCGGGAGCACCGACAATTTTATATAAAAAAGCTTAGTTATAGCATGTTGTATTGTAATCCAGTTTCTTATACTTTATTCCAACAATTTTCTCAACAGGTTTGCTGTTACATCCATATACTACGGCCTTTCCTTCAGCACAACGCAATTATCTGGAAATGTTTTTTTGAATATATTTTATACTGGACTTGTTGACATTCCAGCGAATTGTTGTGCAGGATTACTGATGAAATACTGGGGAAGACGACCAGTTGTCTGTGTTTTTAATTTTCTTTCTTCTACTGCCCTTCTGTGCATGATGTTCGTTCCACAAGGTAGAGGAGTAACTGACCGATTGGAATTTTCACCCTTTAACACAGTCCTGGTGAATTAATACATTTATCTTTCAGATATGTCATGGCTCATTTTAATATTGTTTTTGACTGGGAAATTTGGAACAACTGGTGCATTTGGCGGAGTATATTTATACACATCAGAACTATATCCAACTCCAATAAGGTACTAACAGTATTACATACTATATAGACAACTTACGCAGTATAAAGTTGTTTATGGATTTTCATTACAATTTCTGATAGGTTTCATTTTAATTCTTCCTATATTGTTTCTGTGGTATGGTAGGTTTTGTATGAAGGAATGAATCTGAAATGGTAAGCAAGTAGAATATCCACACGTTATTCTTGCCGGCACTATACGTTTGCCATAGAAATCTGAGCATGTCATATTAATCAAAAACATTTATAGAATCCAGTTTTCTGTGATATAAAAACATTTAAAATTTCAGAGGAAATGGGCTAGGATGCTGTAGTGGATTTTCTAGAATTGGTGGAATGTCTGCAATCCTCATCTTAATGCTTGGATCGATCTGGAAAACATTGCCATATATTGTGTTTGGAGTCATAAGCTTCCTGGCAGGTAGAAGCACCATTTTTTAAATATTAACTCTGCTTCCTCTTACATCACTTCTCTTATTATCATCTTACGTGAATTGATCTCGGGTATGAGATATTCTCGCTCATTTTCTCCGTTTCTTTGCTTTTTGGACACGTAGTGGACATAGCGATCGTTTCAATATTATGTTGTTGTTGTTCTTATTGTTGTTCTTGATGTCCTTGTTCTTTGACACGTTTGAAGAAATCGCTTTTCTCTTCGAATACTGGACCAATTGCTTTGAAATTTTCAGTGGTTGAAGATAAAATTTTTCTCCAGAAGGCTATTACTTTTTTTTCTCGCTATGACGTCATCAAAATTATTTCCACTAGATGGCGCTACGTGTCCATATATTTGAGCATAGCTCTCTTGTTTCTATTTGTTGTCCAACTCTTTTCCCTTCTGTCTCTCGTTTTCTTTTGTTATTTTCTCTTGTTTATTACACTCTACCACCGTTTAATATCATTCATTAGTTCTTAGCTTCGCGTTACCTTAAGATATTTTCTAATTCCTTATTTTCTAGTTCCTTTTTTCAAGGTTTCCTTGTCCTCATTCTTCCGGAGACAAAAAACAACGGGTTTCCAGAAACAATAGAAGAGTGTAAGAAGATGGACAATAATAGAACGATTAGTTTAAAATCCCAATTTTGTCCCTTCGGCAAGAGATAAACGTGCCTTAAAACTCCAACCAAAAAATCTGCGAGAATGCTAATTTTGTTACCGAGTGTATAAGCGATGTATGTGAACTTAGAAAAGTTTTGGTGTGTCGGATTTAAGATAAGGTGTTTTTCGTGCAATTGTATTCGGTATTTCCGGCTTTCGTCCAATATACTCCCGAAAGGATATGAATTTTGTGAATTCAAATCCAGGTTAATTTGATATGTCGACAAGATATACAAGTTTACTTGTCAGTCGGCAATCACTGTCCGGGAGATCGAACTACTAGACGTTTGGCTCTCTTCGAAAATAGAACACGTACTGTAACAGAGCACGGACTAGCTCTGATTTTTCACAGTTGCAAGCATAGAAAATAACATGACTACAAAAACTATTCAGCTGTGAACATCATACCAGATTTCTTTAACGAACCTCATAAAAGTGCTTCGCGGCCCCCACTATGGGAACAGTGTTTCTTAACCGCCGGTTCGCGTCAACCTTGCCGCCGGTCTGCCAAATATATTCAAATAGTAATATATTATAAGCAAATTAACGTCATAACGCGGAAGTTGATAGCACATAGCACGGTGCCTGGTTGAGAATTTTGAAGTTCGTACGTTCCGTAATTTGACAGTAAGACTATAATTTAGCGAGGTCTGATAGTAAAATAGAGACAAACAAACAGCAATGTAGTATTCTGTTCTTACAAAAGAAACCCAGCGGTGAAAACTAAGTTAGCGGTGTTGACAGGACAGAAGAAAAGATTGCTACTTCAACTTCACCACAGGCCCCAAAACGACTTTGCAGCAATGTTGATATGAATCGCGCAGAGACAAGCAAAAAGTGAATGGGTGACTTCATTGGGCAGTATGATGAGAAGTATTCGCTAGGTTTCACTATTGCTCCCAGCAGCGGAAAAGTACCGCTCCCCATGTGCCTTGTCTGCGCCAAAACTTATTCAAACGACGCATTGAAACCAGCAAAGCTAACGCCACATTTTCACTCGCAGCATAGCAACCTCGTGGGAAAGACTTGTTCGTATTTCATTGTACTTTTGTTGTAATTGCATTCTTTTGATTATGTTTTGTGCACATGACATTTTTGGTTAATTTTGACGGAATTTGATTTGAAATTTTACCGGTCCTATTTGAGAAGGGCATTTTATTATCTGCTGTTTGGAACAATTCGATTGTGCAAATTCACTCAATTCAGAAACTACCAGGAATATATGACACAGGGCTGGGCAGCTGGTTAGAAAATTACAATGGCTCTGGCACTAGCTCGTCATTTTTATGTCAGAGCTATGCTCCATCTCCGATGTAGTCATTTTTTGGTATGACCACCACATCCGCCAAAATTTTAAAGTGATAGGATTTATTTAACAGGGTTGTCCAAAACGAATCGAATATTCGAATGTATTCGAATATCAAAGTATTCGAATACCTCTTCGGCTGATTTTCGAATAATTCCGAATAGTAGCCACTTTTCGCCGTAAACGTGGTGTTTCCTTTTAACGGGAATCTTCAAACGACTTCTTACGCTGTCTCACGTATTGTAATGACGATGAAATAGAATCGGCACTTTGATTGTTTATATTCTGTGCGACCGTACGTCGCATAGTGTTACGACACATTTGCACGTTTGCGTGGGTGGTCGTGGCTTTTAATTTACAAATTCATTTCCATTACGTCGAAAAATTGAGAAAGTATGTTTATTTTATTTCTATGTGGCCTGCTTATTATTCGCATGAGTCTTCTCAAGCATGATTTGTGTAACCTTATATTTGGGTCTCAGGGTCTGCCAATCATGATATTTAATCGCAGGCTGGTTATCGTTACTTTAAAGAGAAACACGGCCACCGAGATAAAGTGATTTGTGACCCTTTCGTTTTGCCGATTCAACAGAACACGACAGGGATAGGAAAACACAGCCGTGAAATAACCCGTGGACGTACAGTGTAGTACTCATCACATTCCAAAATTATTTCGACATTCGGGTTAATAGGTTGTCTAAAATGATTGCCGCTTTACAACTTAAATTTACCGCTCATTTGTTAAAAATAGTTAATTCTGTGAGTATGATTCTACCAAACTAACATGATCTGGTTCTAAACATATAAAATTATTAGCGCATATCAGCATAACTGAACAACAAGGACACAATTTTTCTACCCGTCTTATTGGAGGCCTATATGGAAAAAAACCTTTTTTGAGTGCTAAAAATAGACATCGTCCTATTTGCCATGTGGACTTATTAGCGGGGAAATACGGTATTCATAGCCGTCATTGTTACGATATCCAATAAATTGTCACAAGTTGGAAAAACAAGTCGATTTATTAGAAAATAATTTCTGGCAAATAATTCTGATAACAATAGTTGAAAGTATCGATCCTTTACCAGGATGATTTTTTGTTGCGCAAAATAATCCAATCCATGACTGGTACCAGCATTTAAAATGTCATGCCGTATTAATTTAATTCTGTTCAACGTAACTCAACGTACTCGACAATCTGTGGACATAAGATGTGTGGTAAACTGACCGATATTATTAGATATTGATTCCTATTTTTATATTGATAAAATAATGAAAGTATTAATACCAAATACAACGGGTATTTGTGAACATGAAATAAGTGGTAAACTGCCCAATTATAATTAATTTCGGATTCGTATTTACAAAATAATAAAACTATTATAATTCTAAAATGCAACGGCGATCTGTGGCCTTAAAATGTGTGGTAAACTGCCCGATTTACCAACATTTGAGTTATGATAATAGAATTAAATTAACACAGTAAGGCATTTTAGGTAGTGGTATTGGTCATGGATTTGGATATTTTGCGCAGCACAAAATCGTCCTAGTAAAAAGTCCATACTTTTAAATACAAACCAATGGCAACCATTATCCAAATTAGTTCCCAAGAGCGGGATAAAGTATAAATTCTTTTTCCGACTTGTGACAATTTTTCGTGAGTACGAAAATAAGAATCAAAAACTAATTATATTCGGCACAATATCACGACAATCTGTGGACATAAATTGTGTGGCAAACTCGCGATTAATATTAATTTTTGATTCCTATTTTCGTATTTACAAAATACAACGGCGATGTGTGGTAAACTACCCGATTATAAATAGTTTTTGATTCCTATTTTCATATTTATGAAATAATAAAAGTATTATTACTCAAACATACAACGGCGATCTGCGGACTTAAAATGTGTGGTAAAGTTCCCGAATATAATTAATTTTTGATTCGTATTTTTGTACTCACGAATAAATTGTCACAAGTCTGAAAAATACCTCATACTTTATCCCGCTTTTTGACAAATAATTTGGATAATGGTTGGTATTTAAAAGTATGGGCGTTTTACTAGGATGATTTTGTGTTGCGCAAATATTCAAATCCATCATCGATACCACTATTGTCGTATTAATTTAATTCTGTTAACATGACTCATGGTATATAAAATATATACTGCAATGATCTGCAAATAAGAAATGCCTGGAAATTTGGCTAGGTTGTAACTTTAGATAGCAGTTATTCCATTGCTTATTGTATGGAAATTCCTACATACATTTAGATAAGCTTCAATTAGTGGATTTTATTTTCGAAGTATTCGAAATTTCATATTCGAAAAAAATAATTTCGAATGTATTCGAAATAATGAACTATTCGATATTGGCCATCCCTCATAGGAACCTATCTTCCCCTATAGAAGCAACAGTTAATTGCGATTTTGAAGATCTACAGGGTGAATTGAATGTTGTTCGTAGCTCTTTGTAGAGGACGTATTTAAGATGGCTCGATGTAATGGTATAACATATGTTCGATGTGACTTATTGTGCTCCACTCAAATCTGGTACTCATGTAGTATGTGAACCAAGATGCAGACATCAGAACGTAGTATGTGTACCGGGGCAGCCATAATCAGGTATAAATACTACGGGAGTCACTTGGCTATCCCCCGAACTCCAAATAGAACTAAAATTGGAATAAAATGTTCTAACCCTAACCAGGTACAAATACTACGTTCTTGTATCTGCCATCTTGGTTCACATACTACGTGAGCGCTTCGAATCTTTTATACGCATCGCTAACAAAAAGATATGATATCTAAATTTATATGTTGGGAGAGGATAGTGATAAGATGACATAACCATTTGAGGATACACGGTCTTGAGTAGGGTATTGGGAACAGTCAACAGATATTGTTTTAGATGGCCAACAGAGATTCATCAACCAAACTCAATACTCATCAAAATACAATGAAGCACAGTAAAAAAAATATATATATATTTTGAATTCAGATAATTCAACATTTTCGCAATACCACACAAGTTCAAAAACAGCATGCTGAATCGCTCTACCAAGTAAAAAAAACAAAAATACTTATTTGCAAGTCTATGCCAACTGGGGGATTTTAGTGTAACAGCACATTTGCAGAAGACGAAACATAAATGTTTCAACTTAGTTTCTAATAGAAATGAGATGTAATGACCCTGTCTGACTAGCAGCATGGAAAAGTTGAATAGTAAAATAGGACGGAAAACATTCTTACAAAGTGAGTAATAAACCTAAAACTTGGCACAATTCCAAAAGAAGCAGCAAGACAAGCAAAAAAAAGTATCTAACATAATAATTTATGATCTTAAACGAGTACAGATTATAACAAAATTCTTGAAGTGAAAAAAAAAAGTTTTAGCATAGAAGAGACTTTCCCTTATCAAAAGTTATCGAAAATACAGACTCCTACCGATACAGGGTGCAAAACTTAAAACACAAGATAATAAGTTCACCATAGTCGAAATCTACGGTATTTCTGGTTGGGTTCATTTAACATATCATGATGGGGTATAGAGGAAGAGTTGCATTGACGAGCTGGGAGATTTAATGTATATTTATGGAATGCTCAAGCCCTTTATCTAGCTCCCATTTATATGAAGATATCACTACGAAATCAGAACCCGATATACATGGAGAATTTAAATAACAGGCACAAACTAGATAGCGATCGGAGACTGCCGACTTATCGATCCTCCGCATGTTCAACATTTTACTCGACATCAACCTCGCTTACGTGAGATATAGCGTAACATACGAAAGTGTCTAACAGACAAATAGCCTACCTATCAACATATTTACCAATCGAGATCGATGAGTAATGAAGTATTTGATCTATATTAGGGGTGGCCGACACGTCGATTGAATACTTAGCAAGCCATGAATTGTTAAAGTACTCATTCATTTTTATGTGTGAATCTATCAGTCGATCACATCGTATTGCGAATATTTTAGTCGATCTCAGTTGAAAATATGTTGGCCACCCATGATCTATAGCAATAAATCTCCAATTCAACTTTAAATTTCTCCAATCCAATCCAATTCAAATTTGAAGCCACATCACCCTTCCGCCGAGCTGCAATTTTTTACCATATATACTATTATGTATGATAAAAAAAACACCTAAAACATTTTTTTGCAATATTGTGATCATGAGAATTTTGTTCTAAAAATACGAGCTAATCGTTGGGTCCTCTCATCGGAATAGTCTTTTGGCATTGGCGGAACTTTTTTCAATTTGCGTGGGGACGCAGCACCTTTCTCAATTGTATTTTGTTGACTTTCTTGATCAACATCTTGTGAGCATTCCTTTTTCTTCAGAAGATCATGCTACAAAATTATAATATTATATAGTATACAGATTGTATTCTTTGTTATACATTGAATCATAGGCAATATGTGGGTTATACAAACAAATATTTACATACAAGCATTAGAATGAACCTTAAACAGGTTCTCAGTACCCACACGAACATCTGGGATTAGTAAAAAGAAAAACCACTATGACCATAGATATAAGAATGAGACTTTACGAAAAAAAGTAATCGATAAAGGTAGACTCAGAATCCTACCTTATGCTTTAGCGTTGCCTCTTGTAAAGCTCGCATTGAAGCCTCAAGATCTCGCGTGGGTGGAAAAAAGCTTGGAAACAGTTGTTTTTGGCCCGCTGACTTTTCTTGGGAACATACATTGGGAGGCACATTTTCATCGTTTTCGCATTCAATCGGTTTAGAATCAGAATTATTTTCATTGACAATCACTTGATTCTGAAAATAAGCTTTTTCATTTTCATTTAGGTCAGAGTAATTAGGACTTGGCTTTTTATCAGGTTTTTCTTTGTCATCATCTAATTTTTCTTCATTTATGAAATGATCTTCTGTTTCGTTAGGAATAGAAGCATTCTCTGATTGAAATGGAACGAAATTCTCATCGCGTTGTTCATCTTCTTGATCTGAACCTGATTGATCTCTGTCACTGCTACTTTCTGAGTCATGTTCTGAAGACGACTTTGGAACTATATTTTCAATTTGAGTAACATGCTCAACTGGAGTAGATTCTTTCTCAGAGTCACTCAGTGAAACCATAGTTTGAATTTGAGTTTGACTACCATCAGAAAGAGTAAATGTATCATGTTGAGTAGCATCCTCAAGTTGAGGAGAAATTTCAGTAGAATTCTTTTTATTAGGTTCATGCTTTCCATTTTTTGATCGAGGTTTTATAGAGTGATCTTGATCGTCATCATCTGAACTGAAACCGCTGATGCGTAAAGTTGACCCTGACAGCCATAAACTTGTTTCATCTAACACACTACGGCCTTCAGAACGTGCTGGAGTTAAAGCCGACGGCTCTGGTTGGAAAAAATGAGTTCCTTGAGAGGCTAACGCTTTATGGGGAGGCTTTTTGGAAGATGATTCGAATCGTGGAGAAGAAATTTCACGATTTTCTTTCTGTTCTAATGACTTGGGTTGAAAATCGCTGCACATGCTTTCATTTAAACTTCTCGGCTGAACAAACTCAACATCTGGATTTGCTTCATTGTCACTCAGAGCTCGCTCATCAAATTGATGCGTTTTTTGAGGTTCGTAAAGAGATAAATGAACAGTTTTTCTCTGTGTTTCGTCCAAATCATCACGCTGATTTTCTTTATTAATATCAGATGTTGAACGGCTTGAAATTGTTGACTTTGAACTCTCAGATGAAATTTCCGATTTTGATTTGCTTTGACGAACAATTTCCAAATCAGGTAATGCATCAAAACTTTCTGTTCTATTCGGATGTAACGTAAGAATTGTTTCTCCTCGTGGATTAGGCATATCTGTTGAAGACATACATAATGGGAATTCAGCATTAGGTGGAGAGAAATTGCCTATTCCAGAAGTTACAGGAATACTCTGATCGTTAAACAATTGATTTACCATAGTTGGATTCGAATTTATATTGTCGCTTTGAACTTTAGGTTGCGTTTCTTCATGTTTGTCCACAAAAGGTGAAGCGTTTTGTGTAAAACCAGCCGCTCTTCTGTTTTCGAACCTCGTTTTTATTTCTTCCAATTCTTTGATCTGTTTTTCTAAAGTATTGACAAGACAAGCTTGCTGCCTATCTGAACTTGTATATCTAAACATAGACGCTGAGGGACCTTGATGAAAACTTAAATTTTGAGTAAAATCCTGAGAAAACTTTGTTGAAAGTTTGTCACGTTTTTTCAGAAATTTGTTTTCCTCAGAATCTGTCATCTTACAAGTTGTTCCAACTGTTTGTGCAGAACTTTGTAAACCAGGAAAATACATACTCCCAGAAGGTGTTTGCACTGGTACGTCTATTGGTGCTTGGTGTAAAAAATTAACCCCTTTTGTACTCAAAGTAGACAAAGTTGTGGACGTAGGAAAATGACTTTTTTGACTTGATATATTGGATCTTGCTGTATCTGGTTGGGTCAATGCAAAAGACGTAGACGGGGTGACAGCTACTTTTAATTGTCCCTGACACTGTCCATGTATATCCAGAACATTGTACCACCCATTGACATCTCTGAATCCAGCTCTGAGAACGGACAAGTCGACGGTTGCAAACCCAAGCATTCTATCGGTAACCAATAACTCTGTTGTTATTTCTGCTGCATCAGCAGTTTTCGGATCACCAGATTCTTCGTTTTCCGTTATCAAATACATTCGATCTCGATGCCATACTTTTAAAAGCAAAGCTCCATCAGATCCTGTTAAAAGTTGTTTTGATAAAACAACTTCCCTGCTCTCATTCCAACAGGGTGATGATGCACCCAAAGAAACTTTCGTTGCCATGGTAATCATTTTTAAACCTTCAGAAGTATTTGAACTGTACGATTCATCAACAACATCATATGAAACAAAACAATTCGGTTCTCTCATTGAATCAGTCTCAAGATCGCCAACTTGTGGCAAATGCATTGCTCTTTCAATTGTGACGTTAGCAGAAAACACGGTATCATTATTTTGCCTCTCTGGAACGGGTGGAACAATATTCTCTACATCAGACAACTGTTCACAATCATCCTCTGAAATGCTTTGCCTTTTAATGAGGTCTGGAATAGGGTCAACAACGTCCCCAGGCCTGGTACTGATATAAACTCTCATTTGTCCAGATCCAAGATCATCTATGCCAGCTTTAAATAAATCGAAAGATCCACTAATATGTTGCTCACGCTGTAAATCCGCTATAGTACACAAATCTATAAAACACGAACCCAAAAATTTATCCGAATCTAGCGGTCTTGATTTCTTCGCCCCTTTCGTATGGGTCAACCAAATTTGTAGCTCCAATTTTTCTTCACGTAAATACCAGTTCAAAGGGCGTGACCTTTTACAGACAAATGATTTTTTGTGAGCGATCCGCGCTGAAGTCAAATTCTCAAACCTTGCACCAATAGAATGTGGTTGTTTCGAGCTTAACGGACTCAATGATGATGTAACCGAATCGTGATCAAAAAATTTATATCTGAGGTAGACGTTCGCATTTCTATCGATACTCGTTCGACCGTGAAGTAATATTTCGTTTTGGGGAATCCATGCATTTGTTACCGTAACGGCAAATGTGACGCAATCAGTTCCAGTAACATCATCATTTACGTTATCATTCAAAAGTTTTGTTTCAAAATGAGGTAGAATCCATTTATTTGCTTTTGCTGCTTTTACTATCAGGTCAAGATCATTTTGACAACTGAAGTTGATTGAAATTTCCAATCCACCAACTGTTACAGACTTGTCGCCATGGCTACGATGTCGCTCGGCAGGTTTAAGAGCAAACCAAGAATGCAAACCTGAAAAATTTGGGAGTTATTGTTAAACAGGCTTGCTTTCCTATCCTTCTTTGGGGTTGTAATTTCTTTCTTATAACGAAGATAAATTAATGCCCATCATTAGTAAGTTTAAAATAATCATATCAAGTTCAAATTTTTCCAACCAGAAGAAAGCAATTGTATGCAAATTATTAAAAAAAACACACAGTTTCACAGGTAAAGGGAAAACGCGGGAACCGAAGTCAATGGTGAGAAAAATCTCTGTTACTTATTAAGCAAAGTGTTACCTTCAGGTATTCACTAACCAAAATTCCACACCAGAATAGTACTTGTTCAGTTAGTCTTAAAAACCATTTTACATATTCGAGTCCAATTCATATTTTAAACTAACAACTTTTATTTTTGAGTATACCTTACCTGTTGTCTTATGCAATAAACTTCTCATTGGTACAGCTAGACTACAAAGTAATGTATCAACACATTTCCCTTCTTCAGGATCTTCTGGCCTGTGGAAAATGAGAAAAAAATATACCTAATCAAATATTTATATAATATTTTAAAATCAAGCATGTCAAGTCAAAATGGCTATCTACACTCTACAGCTCTGGTTCTAGAAGCTCTTGGTATTCCAAGCTCTTAGTTTTCTTTTTTCAGTGTGTGTGCGTGACCTTGCTATGAGGAAATTCTCTTAAATGAAAATATTTCTACTACAACTTACCTGTGCCAAACTGAGAATTCAATTTCTCCTGATATCATCAACTCAGCCAGAGATATAGGTGTTATATCTTGATGAAATGACACAAGAGGACAAGCAATTTCTAAATGGTGTTGATATTCAGGCACAAAGCTTTGCGTAACAATCCGAGACCTCCTCGTTTCCTTCAAAGAGATTTTACAATTCGTTATAATATACCGTTATTGTTTTTTAATTAAAATCATAATTTAAAATATTAATTAGTATGTGAAAATACCTCATCAGGAAGAAACGATGGTTTGATTTCGACATATGTATTCACACCGATGTCTGCACAATTCTTCAAATCACCATCATTGCTATGACGACTAGCTAAGAATGCTGCTGCTTTGAGACCACATGCTCTCAGCAACCCCACCTGGAGGATAACTGGTTTTGTATATTTGGCAGGAGACTGCATGGATTCCAGTGTTGTACCTGTGAAATCATCAAAACTTAATACCATAAACTCAAAAAAAATAGCCTGGTAATTTTGACAAACAAAAAACAAATATTTTGAAAAAAAAATGATAAGAAAGTATTACACACCTGAAGCTTTATACTTTATGTGGACTTCCAATCTTCCTGCTGATTGATCATTTGATTGATGTTCTGGATCCACAAACTCCAACGGAATATGAAAAGTCTGCTCAGAGACTCTTTTGGTTGTCATAGAAACAAGAGCACTGACTTTTGCAATTGGAAGAGTACCCTGAAAAAGATAGAAAGTCATATGATACACTTATGAAAAAAATTTAGAATATAAAAAAGAAGTGCTCTCTCTCCGGCTGGTACCATATTTTGAAGCAATATTCACCAAAGGGTACTCCGGTAGTGTGTACCAGGCTAAGGTCAGGCCATAATTTTATTACGATTTTCCCTATTTTAGTTCTATTACGAGTCGGGGACTGTCGATGTTAGCCAAGTGAATATACCCTTTGCCCATAGGCTTCCATCCCTTTACACAACTTGATGTAAAGTAGGCAAACAAAATTAGTTACCTTCATATTGGTACACACACTTCTGGAGTGCCCACCATGTCATTAAAAAGTTTAAAGGAATAGCTAAATTTGAATAAATTAGTACTCCGAGTACATTCTGAAATAATCTTTTCGAATATAAAATATTGAATAAATATTCTGAAATGAGTCTGTTCCACAAGAAAAATTCAATTGACAAAAGACAAAGACGAACATTGTTTTAATTAGTATTCTCTATTTCATTTTGTCAGAAGTTACTAAGTTTCTTTCTTTCATAAGATAATAAATACCTAAAAACGATACTTTAAAATGAAAATATTTTATTCCTAAAATCAAGGAATTACTATACCAAATATAACCAATTTCAAAGGTAGTCAAATACACAATTCGCTTTGGATATCCCTGAATAAGCTAATGTTAAAGATCTAGACAAAATGATCTGACACTTTTCAATTATATTTTTCTTATATTCCAACACTCATTATCATGACCAACCCCAACTAGCAATAGAACAAGCAAAAACTAGTGCAGAGAAAATTGTACCAAAAGTGCCAGTTCATTTTGAGCACTGTGCATCTTGTAGTTAACCTGCTATCCTGTGGCTAATAATTGAAACATGTTCACTAAAATTCCTAAAGCTTTCTCAGTTTTTTGGGTTATCAAGTTTCGAGACAAAAGACAGCTTGTTCAAAGGAATATTTTCCTTTGTGGAGGGTAGCATTTTCTTAATTTCAATATTCGACTTGGTTGAGGAGTAAATAAATAAAAAATTTTTAAAAAAAATGGAAACTTTTGAACGATCGGGATGTTTTTTTCGCTGCTGCTATGGATACGAAATATCAATTCGGACTTTAGGCAAAACGCACATTACCAGGGTGACAGCATAACTCGTGTGAGAAATTTCAATCAAATCAGCCCAGTCAATTAGACTCTACGGCTAAACAGACAGATAGAACGACTGAGAATATGGGTTACCCAGAGCGGAAATCCAAAAAACGAGTAATTTGGCATAAATATGACAATTCCTATCTTGTTGACTCACTTTTGCTAGTAGCTGATCTCTCACATTAGGATGATAATATCTTGACCACAGTTCAAATGGGATACCACCACTCAGTGCATCGCTATAGCAACATGACAGTAAAATTCGCTGGAGAGGAACAGAAGGTGGTGGATGGAATGTATGTCGCCTCGAATCATTAAATGATGGATCAGGAATGCAAAGAGTTGCATCAGTACGATAGTTATGCATAGATGCCAGATCTGAAAATGAAATCGGAAAAGCTTGGTCGAAACGTTATTGAGCAAGGTATTCAAAAACAATATAAAAAATGGTAGGCTGAACTAGCAGTACTCCCGTAGTGTGTGTACCAGGTTGGGGCGAGGCCATAGGCCCATACTTTTATTCCAATTTTCCTTATTTTAGTTCTATTACGAGTTCGGCGACTGTCTGTGTTAGCCAAGTGCATATACCCCCTGCCCATAGGCTTCTGTCCCTTTACACAACTTGATGTGAAGTAGGCTTGCCGCAATATTGGTACACACACTTCCGAAATTGAGCCTGGCTTTTCAAAACAATATGAAAATGGTAAGCTGAAATAGCTTGTTTTTATGGATGTTGATAAAAAGATTTGAATACATTTTATCCATATCGGTATCAAAAGTATATTGTGTTTATATTTATAATTTTAATCACAGAATGAATATTACGACGGTACTATTTTAATAAAGGAAACGAGATTTCAATTGAAAATTTATTGCCATATATCATGATTTTTTCATAAATTCAATAAATATTATTCAAAATGAAATTAATTTCAAGACAAGTCCAAGATAACAACTACATAAATATGGTCAATTCTAAACTCCACAAACTAAAGTATTAAAAATACACAAAGATCAAATATTTACTTGTATGGTCCAGCTATCACCTATGGCTAACATTTAGCTTAGATATAGAAATAAAACAAAAGGGCATAAATTCAAAAAGTCAGGTAGACAATGTGCATATAACTTATCAATTTTGCATATTGATGTCAGTTATGCTTACTTGGTTGTTCATTGCTATCATCATCCGCCTGATCATCTGAAGATTCTTGTGAACTTTTCTGAGTTGGGAATTGATATTGTATGAAACAGTCTGTTTCTCCCCACACCTGATAAGATAGATAAGTTTAGTTAGGTTCGTGTTTATATTGCGAAGAGGGAAGATGATAATATGTCATAATCATATGGCGAGCCACGGCATCTCACTAGTTCATGTCAGGTATGAGAATAGTTAACCAGTTATTTGTGTCGGATCAATTTGATAGTGGAGGAAGTCGTAACTTCCAGAGGTTCCGTGAACCACCCAACAACGGCAGGCGGTCCTGCAATTTCCTCGCACATAGCTTTCCTACATGAGATTAGAACCTGCAAACTCTCGCAGGTTAATGAGAGGCGCAATCCTAACGCTTAGCACAATGCGCCAAATAAGTGTGTTTCTGACATTACATAAATTTATCTGTCTGTATTCATGACAGTCCCAGTGTCATCAAAAATTAATTGTTAACAATTTGAATATTAATTCAATGCTTTTCAACCTTTCCACTCTTAGTTGCACACTTGCAGTCTTGATTGGAGTAAGTTTAATAAAAGATAAAAAACTCTTAATTATTTCATATAAGCCTTGCTTCTCACCTGATTGTCAGCTGGTTTGAATCCATTTATTCTTACTACATTCACTTCAAATGTGTGTTGAACAGGACCAGCCATCTTGTGGCTTGACTTTGAATCATTTGTATCCTCAAGATGGTGCACTTTGACTCTCTTGTCTTGTAAATCATTTTTTATTTTTCGCAATGATGAAACCTAAATCATAATGCAAAGCACTTTGATAAAGATCATAGTTTAACCAAGAGATGTGCAACCTGCGGCCATATGCGGCTCGCAGAGTGCCCATTTTGAATGATGTGCAGCCCGCGAAACTAGTTTTCAATTTAGTTTAATCTGGTACTTGCAAAGCCTATACCTGAGCTTATGCGGAAGCGGAGTGAACAACATAAGATCAATAACCAAAATTTTTGTGCCCAAAACTACTAGAAAGCATATGATAAATGGAAGTGCGGCCCGCAGTTACACTTAGGTATTCGTATCTGCTCCTCCTGTAGTAAAGGTCCCACAAACCTGGTTCAACCAGTGGAGAAATATATAAAACAATATAGAACTAGCCAAACCCCATGTATATAAAGCAGAACAAGTGTAACGCTGGCAACTTTTCCTCTATTTTTTTATAAATCAAGCATTTGAAATGCAATACTGTATTTTCAAATGCTGTGAAGTAGAAAGCATTCACTGTATTTAATCAAGGAGTCATAACATAAATCCAGGTTTTTCATAACTGGGAAAATTTTTCATCAAACTTTTGGACTTGCAAGCAATAGTTTACAGTACAAAAATTGTTTTTTAAAGTTTAGCCCAAGATAATAAAAACAAGCAATTGAAAGTAAGCCCGTCTCTGGACTCCAAACTCAGAGCAGTCTACAGAAATTATTGACTTGGATTCAGCTCTGAACTATAGTTTGAACAAAATCGACCCTAGCCTACAGTTTCAAGAAAATCAAATTTGGATAGCAAAAACTGAAACACATACAAGTTTTTTTAAATTTTTGGTTGAGAATGCTTTGTTAACTTGATGCTTTTTGAGCTTGTCATAAATTTCGCCTAGAGTATGTAATACTCCCCTACTCTATATTCCTACGGTCATCCACAAAATTTTAAATAGTCAATTTCAAAATTAGTAAATTCGATAATCAGAATTTGTGAAAACTCCTTTTTCCGATATCAGTTTTGGTGAACTAGGTTGGATAGAAATACACAATGTATATTATATTATGTATACCTGCAGCTGAGTTCCTAACGCCAGAGTTACTTGCAAATGTCCACGTTCTTGTCCAGTGAAAAGATCTATGATAGGTACAGGTTCATCAACAGAGATCAGTGGATGTTGTGACTTGAGAACAACTCTGTAAATAATTTTTAGGTAAGTTTGAATTGAGATGAGATTTTTATATTTATATCAGGGGAGAAGAAAGATGACAAGATGGTTTAATTACAAGGCGAACCATGATATCGGACCCGGTTTCCAGCCCATGTCGGGTATGGAAATGTTAGCCAGTTATTCGTTTCAGGTGCATGGCCTTGATGATGGAGGAAGTCAAAAATAACCAGTAGTTATTAGAACCACTCTCGGCTGGTGAGAAGCCTAGCAATTCTCTCAGGCACTACACAGAGTAATCAAAAATGTGAAGCAAGCATGATCCTAATACTTATCATGATGTGCCGACCAATGTACAGAGGGAAGGAATATAATACTTCTAATGATTTTATAGAAAGGAGAATGACACTTTAGCAAATGTGCTGTATCAGTATTCATATTAAAATGGAACCTACCTTGTAATTTCTTCATCTTTTAGGCTTTGGTAAAAATGATGAGTCGACAATTTCACAAGTCCAAGTAGTTTATCAGAATGAGGTTTTGTTGATGTTATTTTTGTCCAAACTTCAACAATAACAAAATTGTTTTGCATTCTTGTGAGGAGGGCATTGTCGAGCTTCAGTGGTGAAATCTAAAATATTAATATTCAGTATTGTATAGAAGCCACTAGACAGTTTTTTGTTTAGGATGCATGGATTTGAAGGTGGAAGGACCCATAGCAGCAAATGAACCACAGTGGTTATGTGAACCACACTACGACGGGCAGTAGACCAGTATTCTCCTCGCATATAATTATACGGCATACCCCACAGGATTCGAACCTGGATTCCCTGCTGAAAAAAGCAGTTTTTCAAGAAGTTGGATTAAACTACTGTAGTATCCACAAAATTTACTTAATTTGCAAAAAAAAAACAGGATTAATTAGTGACAGCAATGACACCCAAAACCAACTGAATCAGAATAACACCAGAAGCTGAAAATGTAGCCTGAGTGCGATGAAGATTGGTCTTTGACTTAATGAATATAGAAAAAATTACCTGCACAAAATTAAATTTGGGATTTGTTTGTCCCCAAACCACAGGTGTCTTCTCACTTTCACCAGAAGTCAAAGATCGACACACGAGGGAGACATTGGGTGGATAAGAGCTGGTACCATCAGTTGGTGAAATTACAGTTGTCCCTGAGAAATGAAAATCACTCAATATATCACAATTGCAGAAGTGACTTCACAACTTACATAATCATAATAAACATGTCACTTGTTTAGCAGTGAAATTCAACATTGTGCAACGATTAAATCGCACTAAGCAATAAGCATAATACATGTGTGCAGTCACAACAACTGATTGAACTGCATAACACGAAGGAAACATCACTTCTGCTGCTACGCTTAAAATGACGTAATTTGAATCAGGTGTTATTGCGAATTTGAAGCGGAACACAATTTGACGATTCCAGGCACTATTTGAAGTAGTTATTAATTAAGTAACAGATTAATTTAAATATTTTGAAGTACATTGTAAAATCCAGGCAGAAGATTAAAAAAAAAAAAAATAGCACCTGGTATATTTGTCCCTTCTTGTACCATGAGCATCATATATAACAAGGAGGTTGAAGGTGAAATTGCAATAGATGATTCTTGAACCTCAGCTGTGGTTGCATCTTGTTCATGTAGATTCTGCAGTGAAAATAAAAGTGATTTATCCATATGATTCTAGTAAAATACTTCATAAACCAATATTGTAGATTCTAGTTTCACGACAAAATGGCTTTTTATTCCATTATGAATAATTGATCGGGCCGCAATGGCCTAGCACAGTGGTTCCCAACCAAAGACCTGTGGCCCGCCAAGGGGGCCACAGAGCAGTTGGAGGAGCCACCATGCCAGGCACAAAACTGATTTCCTCTCATTGAAAAACTCCCTTTTCTTCATAGTTTCATTCCTTGATAAGTTCATTGCACAGGGTGTTTTAACTTATAATGGGATTTGAAATCTACCAATCAAAGTAACACTATAAATACCACTGGAATGATAAACAAGGGGGCCATCATTGCTAAAAGCCTTGTAACTGTCACACTTTAACTGTGTTGGCATTGCAGATTACATATTTCGCATTTAAATTCCATATCCCCTATCAGTTTAGGTTCGCAGATTGGTCCAGCACCTTTAGAGAATGTATATGCATGAAAAACTTGCTTAACTTCGCCAAAGTATTGTAAATGTACAATCTGCTCGATTACAGCTTTCTTCACCATACCAGTCCAACTCGTTATTTCAATGATCAAGGATTAGAGGTAAGGGTGATTAAACCACATTAATGACCTTCTTCTCCCATAAGTAGGAAAATATAAACCCTCCATAGAATATTTCAAATGTGAGTGTCATTGTTAGTATTCCGTATTTTGGTTGGAAGACAGAAAAGTAAAATCAGAAAAATATCAATCTGGCATCCGGTATCAAAATACTGTAACCCTATATCACACAAGGGTGCATCATTTCTAACCTGCTTTATGACAGTATCTGGAATAGATAATTCATTTACATTGTCAGGCACGATATTGCTTTCTTGTTTATTCTGAACAATCTCTGGCTTTCTCCAATCTCCAACCAATTCGATAGAAACCTGAAAAGGTGAAACGTTTGAACCAAAAAAGCAAGTTACTATAAAAATAACAGTAAAATATGGTAAGTGACATAATGATAGTATTTAGCCCGAGGATGGCCCAAACTGAATAGTAAACTATTTTTAATATTAACTTAATATAATTTAAGATATTTTCCAATATAGGTAATTAAATGAAAGCTTATTCAGTCATACTATAAAACTTCCCCTCGAGGATTTCAAGACAAAGGGCGATTGTTGCGAATGTGCTCCTTGAAAGTTACAGTCAAAATATATGATTTTGTCATTTTCTAAAACCGTTTTTTTCAAGTTTTGCATTTTTGGTTCAAAGCCATTAAATTGATCAAAATGATATTTTTTATATTTTTTTTCTTATATCAAGAAATCAGATATGATAAATTTGAATCAATTTCAATATTTGATTTGCTCCGGAGGTCATTTATACATACATTAAGGAAGGCAATAGTTCATTAGCTTCAAGATAGATTTGGCCTCAATAATAACTTACTTTCAAGGTTCCGCATGATTTTAAATTGTCTTTCACATTTAATTCATAAGTAAAGTCTACTTCAGTTGATGTTATGAGATTCTTGAGCGGGAGAGATGCAGAACCAACCGGTGAAGCCTTTAAACATGAACATTTATGAATATCAATAGGTAGACAGATGCTTTGTAAATATCAAATGAAAAATTATAATATAAAAATTCAACATATTGTGTGGTAGATTATACAACAACAAAAATTTTTATAATTTCCAATTTTATAGTGAGAAAAATTAAAAAATTATTTTTCTTTGTTATTATTGTGCTTGCAGTTCTCATACATTCAAAATTACAATTGTTATTACTTAAAAGTCAGGCAGAATTTTTCAGACACCCTGTATTGATAAGATCATAGGTGACTTTTGAGAGTTTGATATCGGAGTCACAGCCAGATTTGTATTTTTTAAACTTCCAAAAAAAAAAAAGATTTGTCAAAATTACGAAATATTCTCCATACGTGTAATGAATAGATCAAGAATGAGTTAGATCTAAGACAAATTGACTAACTGTGGAATTTGAAAATTCTAGATACCATAACTACAACAGCTTATTTCAGATATAGATCTCCTGTTATAATGAAATCATTACTACACATCACACTATACTATACAAGCAGTAAAAACATAAGAGCACTCAAAATATAATGAATCAATTACAAAATTTTTTCTTTAAAAATATCAGTGTATTCTAACATAGAAAAACGTTAGACACAATTCATAATTCCTATAGTTTAACATGACATTTTCCGTACCTTTTTGTCTGAAGGTTTTCGACAGAAGACAAAGAATTCCAAATTTTCTTTCATCCATTGCTGCAAATATTTTTCATTAAAATGGAGTTGGAAGTCACAACATTCATCAAAGACAATAATCGTGCCATCTGAAAATGAAAGACAGTTGAAACATTATTTAAAGCACTCAGTATAAGCAACAATAGACAAATACTTAGTTATTGAATTCTTTTCTATGAAATCTTTGTAACAAAACACACATATGATATAACAGTGAGTGAGGAAATTATTTTCGAAATAGGCAATAGGGGGAAAGAATTAGGTTAGTTTCCTATTTCAGACTTGCCAACAAATCCATTTTATAAGTAACAATACCTGCATCAACAAGCTTCCTTGATGCAACTCTAGTGACATCGTGTGAAGTTGTCATTGACGACGGATGATCACGTTGAAGATTTGATGCCTCAGGAAATCGAAATTCCACAAAATAAGTTCTGTAAAGAAAAATGGGTAACACTTACTATATATAACACTCAATAATACTGGTTAGTGCAATAAATTCAGTAAAAAGGGACTGTATTATCCAGCATAAACAATAAAATAACATGAAACAGACAAACTCTATAAACCATGATTTCCCTTTATTCTTTTACATTAAACTGATACTATAGGTAAAGAAGTTTAGGTCAATTTGGATTTACCAACAACACACAATTTTTCAGTATAATTCTATATAGTCTCAGCAGCTTTTGCCCTAGGTAAGTGCATGCGATCTTGCTTTGAGAAAATTGAGAAAAAAAGAATAATACAAAGATGGGTGATTCAGAAAATTTGATTCTCAAGTAGGTTACAAAATATAAAAATACAATTTATATCTTCATTGCACAACAAATCCTACTTTGGCCTACCTACTGTGGAAATTAAGATAATGGAATGTATGTGCTTCAAAATCTAATTAAACAGACCATTTTTAGGGGTATAAATACAAAGTTCATTACCCATTTCTTCGTTTCCCTTTAGGTGATGGAACAGGAGGTTTTGATCCTTTTCCACGACCTTTTTTGAGTTTCGATTTGTTCGAAGCAAGAACATCAAGTTGATCAAGAGATAAAGTTTCAATGATGATTCGAACTTGATAAACTTTTGATAAATCTTGCAGTCTATTGACTGTAACTCCTCTGATATGATTCGCAAGATCTTCAAATTCTCGATTTGATTTTTTAGGTGATTTATCAATATCAAAGCGAATCTAAATACATTAAATCAATCAATAGAATTTGCATTTTTTAAAATGCAGATATGCTTTGTCAATATTGGTTGAATAAAGCGGATAGATAGATTTTGGTATGTTTTATTAGAGTTAGAGCTAGAGTTGCAATTCAGAATTTAATAAGACTGATGATGATAATCGAAGTTTAACTGTTCTACAGCGTTGATAACAGTTGAAGAAAGCTTGCATGTCTCATAGTTTTTATTATCAAAATATGATTAAGAGTTCAGTCAAAACTTCCATCAAAAAGAAGTAGAAAGCTAGAGTCCATATTTTCAACTCAGGAGTTGAAATCAATATTGTTTCAACTCAGAGTCGTGTGTCAAATGTCGGAGTTGAAATCAATATTGTTTCAACTCAGAGTCGTGTGTCAAATGTCAATCATAATTTTTTTCCTAATTTCACAGCCATGTTTTTAAGGTTTCAACGGAGGGGCAAGTAAGTTTGGTAATGTTACTTTCAAAATACTATGGTAGAAATGGCCAAAGCTATTTTGTGAGATTTTGTTACTTATTAACCTATCAAATAGTCATAACAGTACTTTCGAAATATTTTTAAAAAGTTGGCGACAAGCCTAATTTTTCCAAAAAATATTTGCATATAGCTTTCATTGCATATTTTTTTTACCCTACTTTCATTATAGCAATGAAAATGTATGATTAGATAGAGTATCCATTTTGCACAAGAATGAAAACAGAGGGTTCAGTGATTATGCAAGAAATTTCAGTCTTGTACCAAAGAAACAGCTAGGTACCGCTAAGTCATTTACTATGAGAAGGTCTATTTCTAACCTGCTTTGGTTGACTTTGCAATTGTTCAGTTTCATTTATTTCATGTTGTTTTTCTTGTTCTATTTCTCTCATCCTATCAGTTAGTTGTTTTGTACTGCTAGATGGATAATTAACCTGAAAAATATTGATGATTACATTTTTGAAAGAACTTGGTATATTCTGAAAATTTCGATTTTGTTATGCACACTTCAATAAAAGAAAAAATAATTATAAATTTCGATTTCCTATAAAGAAAATTTCCGAACATGAGAATCACATAAGTTTTGGATACAAGACAACATCGTCAAAACCACAAAGCAAAATCGCAATAACTGAAAAAAAATCATGAACTGATAATGTTACCTACCCCATTGTTATTATAAAACATTTGTTGAAGTAATGAATCGTCATAGAGAGGATTATCTTCTAACTCAGAAATCATACTGCTCAGCGGTGACCCTGTGTGGGAGTCAAATCCAGAAAACATGGTGGATTGAACTCCATTGAACTCTTGAGAGCCGAACACAAGATTCACAAATCTCATGTCGAGATCTTGTCTGCAAAAATACAATTGAGTTGAATTGTATTCTAAGTATACTGTACCCAATAAAGGAATTGCTTCATGAAAGTTTTTTCATAGCAAGATTGAAAAGCTTCAACCTTCAAGTACATGTAAAACGATCACTGATATAGCGTGGGATACGTTGACATGTAGCCACAATATTCTACTACTTTTGCTTGTAAATTTTATAAAAAATTCTAATCTAACCTTAAGTGTATTAACCGTACCATTTGGTGTATGTATATCACTCATAGCAGATTAAAAAAACTTTTTGACATGCCTAGGCATTATCCCTTTTTAGAGCATTGTTTAGAAAAAAATAAATTCAGTCATACAATATAGGTTATTTTTGTTTCATTCAGTTTCAAATCAAGTTTGAATATTTTAATGGTCGACGGTCGGTGCATCATGCTAATAGTTAAAAACACACTTGCCATTGTATCTCTGATTACCCTGTTTGAGCTCACAGGTTTGAATCTTGTGAGGAATGATTATGTGCGACATGATTGCTAGACGTCTTATTGCTATAGGGTAGTTTATTTCAGTCGGTTGCGGCTTCTTCCACCACCAAGTTCATGCCTCCCCTAAATCAATTAACTGGTTAACAAATCCACACCCGACATGGACTGTAACCAAAGAATAGGGCATGGTTTGCCATATAATCAAGCCGTCTTATCCACTTTCTTCCCACTGGAATAAATATGAAAATTCTATCCAAATATTACCGTTGCTCTTTAACAGGAGTCATTTTCATCGGTTTTAGATTTTGAGAGACTGGAAAAGCTGGTTCAGTTGCTTTTTGTGTTGTAGGTTCAAAATTAGGATATTCTGAAGTCTGGAAATAAGGATGATATAAAGAAGTAAATAACTGACATCTTTATAACTCATCAGAGCCAAGCCTTGAAGTCTGCACTTGGGGTTCAACCATAATAGTGTTGCAGCAAGGATTGCCAAAACCGAATAATCTACTATTTTAAATGCATTCTGAAATTTTGTTTTTGAATATTAAATATATCGACACCTCAAAACCAAACAGTGCTAAGTCCACTTTTCCAAAAAATGACATTTTTCAATTGCTGATTTTCCTGGACTTAGCTCTACATTTTGGTCTATTTGCCTTATCTCTAGGTGCTCTAGATCTCAAGACAGCTATGGACATAACCCTGCTTTTTTTAGGGCATTTGAGAACTAAACAGAGCTGTGTCTACTATAGTGGACTTAGCTCTGGATAACTGCATTGTAAGTTGGGGCTAAGTCCGTTTTTTGGACATAGCTCCTCTCAAAAAATATAATACAAAGCGCTAAGTCCGTTTTTTGGACATAGCTCCTCTCAAAAAATATAATACAAAGCGCTAAGTCCATACCAGCCTCTATAATAACATAATAAAGGGGCCCTAAGTCCAATAAAATTGTTTTTGGTCCAGAAAATTGAGAGCCAAAAAGGGTTAAGTCCAAAAAAAAACCCCCCAAAAAAAATTGGGGCGGAGCACAAATTTTTTTATACCATCTAAATATGGCCTTTATTGTAACTTTGGTGGACCATAAAAACTAGACATCCTCGATGTAAGGTATTAGAGAAATAAAAAAAAGAAACAAAAAAAAAATGTTTTTTGCGTTTTTCTCAAAACTAGAAAAATGGACTTAGCCCAATTTGGATTTCATGCGTCGATATAGTCTGAATTGGGCCATGTTAAATAAAACATAGAAAACCCAATATAAATTCAAGGAGTTTTAATTTGGAAATGCAGGAAAGTTGAGATAAACAATAATTTAATTGGTTTTGAAAATGTAACAATGTATATATATATATGGGATGGTCGAAATAGAACATTTTACTATTTTGAATACATTCTAAGAAAATATTTTCGAATATGAAATATCGAATAGAATTCTAAATCGGACGCACATTCATATGGAAAATTACACAAGTCACAAGATCTTCATGTGGATCATATATAAAACGATACAAATATAAAAGTAATTTTTTTCTCTGTGTTGTTTATTATCAGTTGAGATATCGTACATTTTGTATATCAAGACAGCTCAGCTTGTCTGACGGCTCAAAATTCCTAATTTTAAATAAAAATGTACTAAATTATTCCTAAATTCAAAATTTACAATATCGATATAACGAGTTCCGAATGTATTCAAATAGTTGATACATTTTGGACATCCTTGTTATATATAAAATGAGGTTCCATTACATTTGAACCCACGAACATTTGAACCCATGACAATTGCACCTGTATGCTATTGCACCTATGGAATTTTTTTTGTTTCACGGATAGTTAAACCCATACTAACCCTAACCCATGGGTTTTAGCACCCGCATATAGATTGAACCCGTGGATATACACATGGGTTCAAATGTACGTGGGTTCAAATGTACGGTCAACATAAAATGAGCATGGGCAAGTCCATAATTCATAGATAGTTACATCATTATTCATTACCATATTTCGCTTCATGTGTTCTGCTGGTTTGATCATTGTTGGAGCTTCAGTGAAATTTTCCAATGAATTAAACCTTGGTTTGTTGACTGAGTCAGGATCAAGTTGACTTTGTAACATGTCTTCTCTTAATCTATTTCCTCTTTGTAACAGAGCTTAAAATAAACAAAACTTTGTTTAGAAAATATAGTTCTGATATAATATATATATTATGTGCGAGAATGACAAATTATACTAAAATATTGTGTAAATTAGGAGGTGTAATCATTAGTGACAAAAACTGTCTTATTCATAGCACATACCACTTATGGCATCCTGTGTTTGTGGTGTCACATCAACTTTCTGTTGATTTTCATTCCTGTTTTGGTCCACATGTACTGATTTCATGCTTGATTTCTTTTGTGGAATATTTTCTGAAAAATTAAAGAAATAGAAATTTGTATTGGTAAAATTTCCAAGCAATTACCAATACTCGAAGTCAACCCGCAATCTATACGAGCATACTATAAAGCCTATGGAATATTAAATTAAAACATATCTTAGTTTATTTGTTTGCTTGTACACGTAGCGCTTTCAGATCCAATTAAATTGCCCACAGGGGGTAAATAAAGTCCTGCTACAAACACAATTTTGTGATGAAGTAACTTCTCGATCGACATATATTAACCAGATTTGTTTTATTTAAATCATAGTTTATTTAGGTTCTTCAACTTCACCTGCATTAGTCAAAACCATATACATTGATAAATCAATATGCAAATTAGAACAAAATTTGCTTTTTAAACATCCTGTGGTTTAGGCAGAGGGAGAAAATCGAAAAATGAAATTCGATTCTGGAAAAATTTACCATAAAAACAAAGGCAGATGACATGGAACAATAAAATTTAACCGGGTTTCGTTAAACCAGATATTGTTCATAGCTGTCATGGTCAAACTACTGTAAAAATTGGTAATGAAATACAACTTTTTATGTCACACTTACATGGCCGGCCAGTCTAGGTGGACAAAATTTTTGGCCTTATCCAGAAACCTTGCCCTCCCCTGGTCCATAGTGATCTCGAATCAGATTTATAGCTCATTATTAAGCTACGGCTCAATATTTTAAATTATTATAAATTTATTTTACTCTCATCTTTGAACATCAATGAATTAAATTAAATATTCTTATCCAGTTACCTGTTCCATAAAAATCATGTCCATTCTGTTTTAACAAATCATCAATGCCTCTTGGTGTGGAAGAATCTATTGTTGAACCTTTGATAAATAAATTCAAAATCTTATTCTTGTTAGCATTGCAGTTCAATTTATTAAATGCTTTATAATATTTCTATCATATATTGTAACTAACATTTTCCATTGTTATTCCTTCTTGCCAATCTATGTCATTTTGTTATAATTATGATGAAATTTGAAAAATTGGGAACATCTCTGGTTATTTTGGTTATTTGCCTGCGTGACTTTTGAGGATTCTATTCATATTTATTGATGAAAAAATTCAAACCTTTTTTAATAGAAAGCGACTTTTTAGAAGCAACAGAAGAAGCGTTTGATTCAGTAGATTGACTTCGTCGCCGACTTTTTTTTCTTGAAGTTGATCTTTTTCTTTGTTTTCCAGTTTTACGACTTCTGAAATATACAATGGAATATTATTTTGTTTCTTAAAATGTTTTGAATATCGTTTTAAAAAATATACAGCTATGTTTTAAGCATCATTCACTCACCCTGTGCTACTGCTTCGTGACCTTGCTGATCCACGATTTGACCTTGAACCAACGCTTGATCCTCTTGATCTACTCCTGCGACCAATTTCACTCGGGGGGCGTGACCTTGAGTGAAAAAAGTCATTCATATGAATTTTACATGAAAAAACTAGAGAAGTATTTTAACTAACTTTAAAGGCGTCACAAATTGCAATTTTGTCTCACTGTTTTTGCCCCCAATGGTCATGGCTTTCCAAATATTTACATGTTTAGGGTATAACCTTAGTTTTGATGGGTGAAGCGCTCTTTTGGGCACCTATGCTGTTTAAAAGGCGTTTAAAAGAAATGTAAGTCCATTAACATATTAAAATCGGAAAGGGTGATTTTGCAGTTTTTTTTTTACTTCTGAGGCACCAGGGATGGCCATAACGGAATACCTGTAATTAACTATTCTAAATACACTTTAAAATACAATTTTAAAATATGGGATATCGAACATATTCGAGATTGGTTATATGAAGAATAATTAAGATAAACAATGTTTCAATTCATTGTGATATGGAATATGATCAATTTCGAACCGATTCAAAATTATGATTTGTTTTGTACATCGCTATGGTACGTTACCTTGAAGACATTGAAGTATCCGTTCCTGTTTCTGTTACGGGTTCATAAATATCTTCCAATGGTTTAAATCGAATATGTATATGCAATTCTCCAATTTTACGAGAAGACGGAGATATTATGGGGAAATAGTCATGGATTGGATTGGAAGAAGACAATGAAGCAACTTTAGGAATCTGCGAAAAAAAAAACAATAAAAAAGAACACTTTTTTTAGAAATAGAAATGACAAACAATCTGAGGGTCTTGTGTAGTTTCATACCTCAAGTACTTCTATTAGGCATAGCGTAACAACTTATGCATATATCAATCCTACCGCCCACCTGACTGCATCATCCAAAAACTCCGCCACTACGCCATCACAGTGACATAATAATGCCTTCCAAACTACACAAAATATCATCCAAGACGCTCAGATGATCACCCAAAACTAAGCGAACCATTTTTCTCGTCGCAACGATCCCGATATAAGAGAGATCGTCGCGGTTAGTATACTTTGACAAGCTCTACGATATGATTGTGATGTCCTAGTGACGTAATTTTTGGATGGCGAAGTTAGGTGGGGGTTAGGTTTGACATGTGCAAAACTCGGTATGCTATGCCCACTTGAGGTACAAAACTACACAAGACCCCAATCTGACAGTTGCCGACAACACAATACCTGAATTCTTCCTAAAGGAACGCTCTTCGGGCTTGTTAAAACTTCCAGTACAATGCTTCCCATATCCACAAAATAAGCACACATCTGCTTAGCTCCTGATCTCACACCAAATCGACATCTGCATTTAACAGGTCTGGGATTCTTGGAAGAAGCCGGCCTAGAAAATAAATAATACATAACATTATTATTATTATTACATATGGAAAATAAAAGCTGATGGATATTTTTAGCAAACAAGCAGATAAATGATCTTTTTTATTTTAATACTAAGGTGGCAACTGCCTCTGATGACCCCTAAAGGTCTTATCGTTGCCTCCCAGTCATGTACCGAAAACATCTGTTGTTTTCTTTGATATTTGTTCATGTGTGCATATATTGTTTTCTTGGTTTGACAAAACAAAATAAACTCTCTCTCTAACACAGAAGAATGTTTAAGTCGTAAACATGACTTGTTCAGAAATGGCATCCATGTGTCGAGCAACACTGCTCTTGATAAGTTGGTATTTTAATAAGATCAGAGTGAAAACACACAGCACGGATAGTGAACAGTTTTATAGCCACTTGAGTCAGAGTCGAAATCGTATTTCAAATTCTTCGTAGTGGAGAGATGAAGTGATTCAGAATATCAATTGCGATAATATAACTCTAAAACTAAAAAGTATTATCATCAGCCAAGTAAAATCAGGCTTACATTTGGGGGAGCTGACTCTGATTAACACATAATCCAAATACTAAAATAATAAAGAGCAATCAAAATAGTCTTACTTGAACAGAGTTCCATCGGATGTTTCTCCCCACCAACGTAGGCGAACATAGGCAGGTGATGCGGGTGGTACTTGAGCAGTAGCTGTTGATGACCAAACAATCTTTCCTATATCAACAACCAAAAAACATCGCAAATCACCTTGAACTAAAGGTGGCAGATCTGTCGATGGGAGAACTTCTTCAAAGCGAACTGAAAAAAAATTCAGATATATTGATCTGTGAACAATGTTACTCTTCATTATCAGTTAGTTGACTACTATCTTATGAAAAACCCTATATCAGGGTTTCCCAAAATTTTGGGGCCGCGGACCCCTATTTGTGAATCTTAGTTTTGACGGACACCCATTCTGTGCCACAACCAACAAGGAAAGATGATGTTTCATTTACAACACAAACGACATTATTGAGATGAATGAGGTTGTTTTTTACTGCACAATTTGTCAACTCTCAGAGCAATTTGTGACAACCAAACTCTTGGGTCCGATTCTACGACAATTCTCGACCTCTTATTTTATCATCATATTGGAAAAAGTTGAAAATGCTGTCTCACACATGTGGGTCGTTGCAAAAGGCAATAAAATTTTAATTGCCTTTTCTAACAGCAATAGATATCCGTCCGCAATGCTCAACCAAGAAAAAAGAATGACTTTTTAATTGAAATCAATTATCGAGATCGATCAGACTCTTTTTATATTGTTGCGAACCGCTGTGCAGTCATCACAGTCCCCAGTTTGGGAAACACTGCCCTATATTGAAGTTAATTGGGATATTAGGATTACAGAAAGCTGTTGATGTTGACACTAGGATATTGGTATGATATTGTGACCAATGCATGCATGCCAAAACTGCCATGAAGATGTTATTGCATGACATGGATTTATGGCAGCAAAACGATTATTGCATTACTGCATTACATATAACCTATTAATCTGTGATAGCACGCAGAAAAAAGGAAGTTATGCTATTTTCCATGCTCATGTATTTCATTATAATATAGATAAGATTCCAGAAAATCTTGTTTGCCCAGATCTAGACCGAAATTTCTGTTTTTTAATAAGAGAGAAATTCGACTTCAATTTTTGATCAATGGTAAAGTATTTTTTTTCAATAATATTGTGGTCACTATTGTGGTCATTCGCTCAAGATGCGTCAATTTCTCCCATGAGTATGATGTTCTGTAGTTCAAAGCAGCAGATAAATTATCAAAGACCGCATACGCAAATTCGCAGTTCTAAGGGATGACGTAAAATTTTAATATTCGGCAATAGCAAATTTCAAGTAGACTAGAAAAACAGTACAGCAGTAGCCTAATTCAGTAATTTCTGAATGTAAGAATTTCTTTTACTGCTGTACTGTATTATCCGATTCCTAAAATCTGAAAATATCGATCTTTTTTCCATTCCGATTTTCTGAGCCTTCCAACAAACAGACAAATAGACAGCCCGAAATGACATCTGCGCCGCCGATAACGAACTTGCTAAAGCCGGCAATCTCTCTCCTATCAGTACGGCACACTATACAAATCGGGTGACATTGTCCTGTTTCAGAGAAACCCATTTTACAGATGATCAGACACCCCTCCTTTGGGAGACGTCTGGACATTGTTGTCCCTCAATATCGGTAATAATACAGTATAATGGAGTTGCGCAAAATACTACAAAAAAGCGCAATCTAGTAACATCATCATTGAATTCCTAGGGAAAAAATAATCCGATTTACCGAAGGAAAAAAAATTTTACCATAGCATTCGAGAGTTTTTAGCAAAAAACGCCAATTTTGGTCATGTGACGGCCACGATTAATTTAGATTATTATTGAGACAAGCATGGCGCGATATGTAGCATCTGACGTGGTTCCAGACACCCCTCGTTTGTGAGACACATAGAGTGTTTGTTTTATTGAGCCAAATGGAGGGAAATTCTTGGAATTTGGATAGTGTGCTGTACTGCCTATAGTGATCGTTGTGACGAGTAAACGAGAGAAATTGCTTGCGATTTCGGGTGATCGTCTGTGCGTTTTGGACGAGCATCCGCATACTTCGGTGGGCCTTATTACGCCACAGTGACGTTGAAATGACGTAATTTTTCGGTGACGTAGTCAGGTGGTGGTTAGGATTGACATAGGCAAAAATTTTTGAGCCAGGTCAACTAGAAGTAAATGTGGTACTAAACTATACCAGACCCCAACATGCAACAAACAGTTGAACCTTTTATTTACCTTTTCGTCTTCCTCTAGGTCGTCTTTCTCTTAATTCCGACATTTCATATTATTACCAAATTTACTACAAGCATTATATCTTTGGCTTTACCGAAAGTCAGTGATATTTATGCTACAAGATATCTCGATGAGTAAACAAACTTTGCAATACAGTATATGAAAATCCACTCGAACCGCCACTTATTTGAAATAACAGAATTTCCGTGCAATGAGGAATTGCGCTCTCAAGCGGAAACTATTATAAACAATTAGGGGGAAAAAATCTTCCTGACCCCCGACCTGGGAAAAATATTCCCACACTTTATCATTGCAAATTTACAAATTGACATTGCAAATTCCTAATTTTACCTCAAAATATTCATTTATCTGCTAAGGGAAAGCAATTTTGGTCTTGTCTATCGTAGCTCGTGATGCTGCACTTGATTTGCTGCACTTGAATAACTATTGAGTTATCTAATTTTGCCTAAATTTTGGAAAAATACCTAGGAGAAAAAAAAGAATTGTTTTAGTTTTATGGAAACACAGAGTGGATGGATCGTTTGCCTAATTGCCGCTATCGTTGTCATAGTCCTACATCGGTGCTCCTGAAGTATGCGCACCAAGATGTCGCATAACCCTAACCTGGTACACAACCTGAGTTCAGGTTGTGCGCCATCTTGGTGCGCATACTTCGGGAGGTCCCCTACATCTACATTTTGCCTTGAAATAATATTGCAATTTATGACTTTTAGAAACGACTCAAATAGGTAAAATAATTTACTGGGATAACCATTGTCTCCCTTGGTTACGATTTTGATACACATTTTCAACCTTACCATCCAGGATTTCAGATATATGTTTTGTTTCAGTCGTTACCAAATTGGATTTCTTTCTCGAATTATTATTCCACAGAAAGTAATGTAAATAGTGTACGTATTCATCGGTATGATGAATGTCACGATATTATGTTTGTTCTCAATAATTATTGTAGGCTGCTTGATATCTTTTCAACGAAACGCTAAGGATTGAAATGATTGATTTGATTTCTGTACACCTATATCGTTCGAAATCTACAATAAATATCAATAGAGAACTCAGGATTCAAAATCGGTACAAGTTTAGGGGCGGTGCACATTAACGATGGTCATTTATGTTTCTTCCACCATCCAAGTTCCATACATCATCTGGAACGATTGATTATTTAGCCCATACTGTATCCAACTTAAACTGTTTTTACCTGATGAATAATTGCGTTACACCAACATTGCTTTGTATCTAGATTTTCAAAAATAATCACGAACAAACGTTAATTCTTTCTTATAAAACCTGATATCAGTAACCATATATTGTTTTTATTAAAAACTCTATATCAATATAGCAGGGAAAAATGATAACTAGGCACACTTTGAAAGAAACACGGCAGGCATTGATACCATTTTGTCATACGAAAAAACAAAAGCAAGGATTGTAAAAAGAAGCTATGCCTGTTTTCCAGTGAGATTATATATATTGTCTTATTTACTTTTAAGAATATTATTCCATTAAAATGAATTGTCTGTGATGAATCTCAGAATATTTCATACTACTCTAAAAGCCTACAACTAAAAACTTTATTGATTCTAATAAGTTTCTCAAACTATAATTGGGAAACATGTTTAATTTACGAAAGTAATCAAAAATTAAATCACAGTATTTTCAATCGCATAAAATGTTTCTCTTGCTGTTTTTTTTGCTTTTCTTATACAGCAACAACAACATGTTTTTATAAATCCATTTATATTGTAAGATTCGTCTATAGCTTGTTCGAGTAATCGAATATGCAGTTCTTGATTCTTTGCCTTTTCCCTTTCTTCAGTAGATTGTTCAGGTTGCAAAGTCGAGACAATTGTTTCGGAGGTAGAAGATTGTTCTACGTCCATTGTTGGACGAGGATTTCTTAATTTATAATTACTCATAAAATACAATAAATTTAAAAAGTGATAATAATACGATAATATTAAAGCTTTTGTATATACATTTTCTTCCATATTCATTGAGATGAGTCATATTAATTTTTGCTATAATCCAACTGATAACCTGTATCGAAAATTTTTAATTTGTCCTAGAAACCATGTACCATGCTGGAATAAATCGATTAGATTTTATATAGTGTTGATCTGCAATGCATCTCTAAAGCACTCATTATAAAATATTCCAATCTGCTTCTTTACTTTATTTCGTACTTAATCCACGGCACCTATAATTAATCAAAACACCATAGCACTATTGGTGACATTTTGTAAAGATTTAGCTTCATTTGCAATAATAAATGTGATCATTATTATTATTGTTTACTAACAATAATGCTTTAAATCAAATTTTTTAATTAAATTTTATCATGTAAACCTCTCATCAGTTTATTCAGAGTATCCTAACGTGAATCGTACGAAAAATGATGTTCTAAATAAAACAGGCGTTTTCAATCAATATTAAACTGGAATTTTGTCATTTTCGATTCGAATTTAGATGCACACTATATCTGTTCTACATCACTCATTCAAAAACTCTATTTATTTCAGTCATATCTGCCACAATCCACAGTTAAAAACGACTTATCCGACCACTAAATAAGATTTTGTGAGCCTGCCAATACTGAAATCATTAAGTTAGTTCTATTGTTATTTTGAACTGATGTGATGATGTCAGGCGGTACAAGACAAGTTTTGGAAATTTGATACTGTCTTAAGCCGATTTGCGAAATCCAATCACAATGATTGTTAAAAATAACTAGATAAGAATGTCCAGAACTCTACCAGCGGAATAGCTTTATTTGTTCTTATATATTGTTTGCTCTTCATAAATACTCTTACATAAATGAATACATCAAAAATTTATTTTACGATGTAGCTTGAATAATCTCACAAGCATTTTTAAAACACATTTTTACAAATGGATGAAACCTGGGGCGAATCAGGGCAGTTTACATGGAAAAAAAATTTGATTCTCAATATTTCTATTTTTGACATTATTCAATGTAACCCATTTCTATCTATCAAACAAAGTATGCTTGTATTTAAAAAAATATATAAATATATTCGTCGGGAAAAATTGTTTCAGTATTCACCTGATTACATTTCATGCTGCCACATGCTAACAATTGTAGAACTTTTTATTGCACCACGAGCGTATCCTGCGTGGAGCATGCAGTTGTGATATTTAGTTATAAAGTATTTTGCATCTTGGTGTTGTAGAAATTAGAAGAACCAATTGTGGATGTTCATCAAAAAGTGCTATCCCCCATTTCAATTCATTTGAGTTTGCAACTTAAATGTTGTCAAAGTACTTTAAAAAAGAGAAGCCGTTTCAGAGCCACGCTTGTGCAACTTTAGAAAAATGAGACTAGAACTGAATAATAAAGCTTGTTTTAAATGCATAACTGAACTGAACGCAAAGAGAATTTTAAATCAAAAGTTTCTTGCGTTTCCGTTAGCTTCAGATGCATATTAATTAGCGTACCTTCCAAATTACCATGAAAAAAATCAGAAATCTAAATTAATTCTGACTCATTTGAGTGAAACTCTAAAAAACCACCATGAAAATCTTGTTTAACATTCTGCAAACATGTTGGCGTGATTTTCTAAACCAAGATATTCCAATGTCTCACTCCCGTTACAGTACTTTTAATTGGCTTCTTACTTGCCATATCTCACTTTTGGTTGTTTGTGCAACCATTGCAGTTTTCAAATGATCATAATATGATAATAATATACCGCAAATTACATGTCAGGACCCTGGATGATGCAACCTTAAATTTGTTTATATGACTCATAAGATAAGGTTAAAAGAAAATCACATAGGCATTCACATCAGTTTAGTTCATGGACAGCATAATTTTTGACTTTCATGGTTGATTTTTGGCCTTCCTTCGGTATTAGAGAATGAAAAATTAGATCACGAGATAGTCCTGGGTCTCGAAAAAGGTTGCGCAATCTTGCATATTGGTTTAAAAGTTCATGATATACTTTATCATGGTTAACTGAATATTCAGTTAACTTTACAGGTTTACAGACTTTATACAGGTTTGTTAAAACCGAACCGTAAATATGGATTTTTTCGCTGAATTTTTGCTGTGGTTTCGTTATTGTTATTCAAGAAGATGACATAGTTCTGAGTGAAAACCCTTCACATCATTTATTTCAATCACATTTCAAAACAAACTTCAGATTACATTACAATATATTTTACATTTATCAAGTGTGTCGTTAACTGTATTAGGGCACAATATAGGCTTCATTACTATTTCTCTTATTATTCGCAGTTGCTTTTTCCTCTTTATAAAATTTCTCTCTGATTAATTATTTATGTGTTTATTATCATTTCTGCAGAAATGAATTGGGGTTGGGCTGTATGTTAGAAATCTTGACACACTGTGACATGAACAATGGCTCATCATTCCATCCGTGTCCAATTTTGATCAAATTGTTGAAAATAGCAAGCAAAGATTCAGCAGTGGGATAAGGATGTCGCGCGTTCGCCCATATGTACTTCTCGCCTGTTAAAAATAGTTAGAAAGTTTATTTTTTTGTACTTCCTACACCAAGGATTTATGTATGCATTGCTATCAATTACACAGGGCCACAATCCGTCAAACCTGCTACATCTCTGAAAGTGGTAAACGAAGATCTGAGCAGACTAAAGGAAAATTTCACTCTGAACGTACGTGTTAAATAAAATGTAGTGGAACGTATTGACGTTACATTTGAGAGTTTCATTACTTCGATATACCTATATCAATTTAGAAAATAAAATAATGTGACGACCCTTGTTTTATCTGTTAAATGATGTCATGTGATATTATTTCCATATTTAGTATTTTGCCACTGAAGACACTGGGGGCGCTGTAACACTGTCGATCGGTTCTTCTGGGTGTGCCTGCTAGCGTGTGATGTGGGTTGGCAGGGTGTAATTGTCTGAGTGTTGTTGTTTTCGGTTGGGTGTTTGGTTTTGAGTGTCTGAGGGAGTGCCTCTTGTTTCCGGTGGGTTATCGGGGATGTTTGTTTGTGGTTTTGTGACTGTTGGATTGTGATTTTTGGGTGTTTTTGTGCTGGATAGTGAGCTGATGTTGGGACCCTGTTGCTGTTTGCGCGCAGTGCCATTGCAGTTCATTGTTGTATTTTCAGTTTTATCGTGGAATTAGCTATCCTCAGTGCTGTTCAAATGTTGTGCACATATAGAATTGTTTATCATGTTTTAAAATACCTGTCATAGGTCGATTTTCAGCATGTTTTGCAAATTGTAAGTAGCTAGTTTAGTGTTTTTATGGTGTATATGGGGATTCTTACATTTCACTGTCTGGTATTGTTGTTTTTGTTGTGTGCTTTCCGTTTCTTTGAAGTATTTGGTTGTATTAACCGTTTCATTGGAGGATGATTAATAGGTAGAACAAAATTGCATAAATTGAAATGAATATTGAAAGGAAACTTGACGTCAGACCACATTGGAAGATATTCCGAACTTGGATAATTATTTCATAGACTGCCGGCACGCTACAATAATATTTCTGTCAGGAGTTACAGTTAATCATTTATCAACTTTCTTGAATTGTCAACGAGTTACATCTCAATAATTTAGATGATTAGAAAATAAAACACTATCAAATGTACTGTATAATAATGAATTGTAGTTTACCGTGCCGTCCACATGACATGATGATGAAGTAGGTTTTGTAATCTGTAGAAAAAGCGAATCCTGCTTTTTGTATCGATTTCAATTCTGCAGAAATATAAATGAACATAGAAGTTGTAAGTTATTTTTAAAATCAATACTAAAAGCAATATACGGAAGCAAACATTGTACAAGCATATCGTAGATTCAGAAATGTTATTTCATTTCAAACAGCTCAGCAAATTTGGACGTTGCAATCTAAAAGTTTGGGCAAACAATTGTTTCTTTAGTTTATTCAAAGATATTTTGCTTAACCTTTATTGTTAAGAAATCTGTTAGCTTCAGTAACAATACTTTAGCATGTATTTTTGAACCTAAGCTTTAAAATATAATAATATGTTTTATATAAATTGTATTTTGAGTTTACCCGTGATGAGCTTTTTTCCAATTTTGTGATTTGCGGAATTTTGCTTGAATGAGGCTAACCATTTTTTCACTGCGTATAAAATAAGAATAATATAAAATGCAAGCTTTTCGTCGAAAAAACATGTTGAATTGACTACATATAACCATTTTGAACAAGAAGTAATTTGATCTTTTTAATTGCGTATTTTGAATATGAATGGACGTCAAGACTATAAATAATTCAACAACAACATTTTTCAGAGCGAATGCAAGACTTGATCATTTATTTTTCAAATTTCCAATACATTGTTATTTTATAATTTTTGCTAACTATGCTATAATTTCACTAATGAACTGCACATATATATATATATCTGTCATGGATGTAGTATTGTGACACTATTGACGATGACCTGTCCAACCAAACTTTTCCCATGATGTCACTATACTTTCATTTATAGATTGTTTGTTAGAAAAAAATGTAGATAATTCAGTATAACAGCACAAAAAATATAGGAACTTACTTGTCGGAGGTTTCCAAAATCCTGTGCCTGATTTTGTAATTCTAATGAACATTGGAAGAACGCTGTATGTGTGAGTTTTCCTGCATAAAGTGAATGAACTTTGTATATATTATTTGACAATCAGTCAAATGATCGTCCACCTACATAATCACTCACCAATCTTCGTTTCTGAGATTTATTTTGACGCCATCTTTAGTTGGTACCACATGACTCCAGGTGTCACAGCTTAATAGCTTTTCCAAAGGACTTTTTTTGTTCAAAGCTTCGTACCAATTTCCACGAATCTGTGAAACTCAACCTCAATTATTTAATACAATACAAAAAAGCTACTGACAGCATTAGCGCAGTGAAAACTCAGAAAAAAATTGATCAGTAGTATAAATTGTATTCATGTCATCGAGACGAATTAGTCCAGGAAACCGAAAATTCTCTTTCTAGCTTTATATGTGTTATAGGCATTGATATCTGGCATGCTGTTTTTTTTTTTTCAGCGCCGCTATATCAAAATGAAATACGAGCATTTAAGAAAAAAATTACTTGCTCAGAAATTGATCGACCAATTCCATGTCGCACTACGAATGAGAAAATAAGTTTTTGTTTGGTTCGACTGATGCAGATAGACACCTGTGCATTGATTGGTATGATGTGACTTATTTCCGTGAGCAATATGTTCATATCTAACTTCCCAACGTTTTCTATTAAACAAATATTTAAAAAAAAAACTATAGAATATTAAAAAGTATGAAAACGAACTTTGCTCCAGTTAATCTTCTGAGACTTTGGTAAAACACATTTCTTTGTTGTGTGATGAGATGTTACTTTCAAGTTCATGCCATCCAGGAATAGGAAACAAAGTATAAAAACCAAAATCTTCATTTTGTTGAAGTAAATCAACTAAACAAATACAAAAGCAACTTACATTACAGCTACTTTGTGTGAAGTGAATTCTACAGTACAGTGCGACCGTATGTTCAACATTTTCCGGAAGTTTTCATGTATAATCGTGTCTTGACAAATAGCCTTCGTGATCAAACTAAGACTTCGTTAATATCGTATATATTACATATACCTTTTGCATTTTTTTTCTTTATTCAAGCTGGACAGCTTAATATCCTAGATAAGATGTATGGGTAATACAGAGTCGATCGGTAAGTCGAAGACATGTCTGGCCAAATTTGATCTTGTTCATTATTGAATGATTACCAAACAAATGACGACCATGAACCACCACTCGACTCGAAGGGGGGGCTTTTACGATTGTATACGCTTATATGTAAATTATCAACTCAAAGTAAATGAAAAGTCATTGTTCCAAGCATCTTTGTATGTTTCCTTTTGTGGCCCATACCTCAATTTGTGTTTGTATATAATCGTTCGTATAATTTCCATGGTACAGCGCGACTTTATGTTCAACATTTTGCGGAATTTTTCATACATAATCAAGTCTTGCCAAACATCCCAAGAAATTAAATAAACATTTTGTTGAGAATCGCAAACTAACTAAATGAGTGTCAAAGCAAATTGAAAGACTACGAGAATAATCTCCATGGTATATTACAACCGTATGTTTAACATTGACAAACATCTTGACAGTCTTGACAAACATCCTCAGTTTTAAGAAATGTAATTATCGTACGTTTCCGTCGGTACGACTTACATATATAAATATTTTGTAATCAACCCGTAATAAGTTTTTAAAAAGTTTCTGTTGATGGCTGGAAATTACAATATTATGTATGTTTTTATTTTATTCGCCGTCTGGTTGAGGTTTAAGGTGCTTGATATCCTTTCAAAGGAACTTCGAATGAAGTTTGCTTACTTGTAACTCATAAAATACAATAAATTTAAAAGGTTTGAAAAATAAGATAATAATAACTAGCTTTTGTGTTATAATTCCTTCTATATTCTTTGAGATGAGGCAGATTCATTTTTGCTATATTCCAACTAATAAGTTGTATCGAAATTTTTTAATTTGGGTTCTCTCGAAGTATGTGAACCAAGATGGCGGATACCGGAACGTAGTATCCATTTGAAGAATCAGTTACAGATTTATCTCCCTTGGTGCTGTCCTTCAATTCAATTGAGTTCGCAAGTTGAATGCCTCCCAAGTACTTTAAAAACCAAAAGCCATTCCGGAGCCAGCTAGAGCAAAATTAAAAAAATGAGTCTGGGACTGAATAATAAAACTTGTACAAGGGCAGTGGTCGGCAACCACCGGGCCGCGGCCCATCGCCGGTCCGCGGGAAGGTTACTGCCGGTCCGCAGAGAGGTGACACAAAAACGGACAAGGCCGTGATAAAACCTCAACAATCTAACCACAAACCACACGACTAAAAAACAGCACCCAACAGTAAACCAGACAAACACAACATCAGGGGTCCAAAAAAATGCGGCCCGCGAGCCAATTTGTTGCGGCCCTCGAACGACCCGACATTTAATAAATAAAACAAAAATTAATCCCAAATTTATCATTGTCTCTACACGAATTTATGTGGTGACAAGTGCTGCTGTACGGCGCTTCTTATGTAACAAGTAGCGTCAGTTGTATGTCGTTCGCGGAGCGACACGGGTCGAGCATTCCAAAGTAGAGATGTACCGATACCCCTTTTTCCGCCGATACCGATACCGATCCGATACCAGTTTAAAACGCCGATACCGATACCGATACGCCGATACTAAAAAATGCCGATATTACCGATATCCCGATACCGATACCATGTAATTATTACCTTAATTAAGTGTGCTGTGTAGGGCAGACGGGTTAAAACAATGGTTAAAAGAAACGGGTTAAAAGAATATCGAATATCGCCCACACATTCTAGCGCCACCGTCCTACGTTCAAGTTAAAAGCATTTTACAAATATTTTATTTTGTGGTTATTCGTAATCGTCGCCGCAATAAAACAAAGCCACCATGAAAGAATAACAATCAGCATCGACAAGTAGAAGGCCTACCTTCAACCTTCGAGGATGTTTTTTTACTTTACTATTTTATAATATTTCACAATTGCTATCATATATTTTGAGACAATCTAGTCTTGGCTGTCATGTCAAAACATCTATAAAGAAATTGTGTTTAAACAAAATTAAAATTAATACCTGGTAGACTGATAATTGTGTCGAAATTTAGTTTATCGCTGTCGACGGACTAAATGTCAGTCGCACTTGACGACAAACAGCCGGAATTTATAGCCGTGACAAAAGTGCATGTGCCGTTAATAATGACTCCAATTCCACTGTATCATTTAAAACTGGGCACGTAGTTGCTTTTTGTTGATATATTTCTTCATAATTACAATGTAATATTAAAAATGTCAATATAAAAATTCGACAGCGAAAATAGTCAAATTGATTGAGCTAGTTTGGCTGATAAATAGCTACAAACAGCCGAAACAGGTGAATCCTATTTCCTCGCGGAGGTCCGGACATGTATGGCCCATAGCTCACGATCTCCCCAGACAAAAAATAAATTGAAAAGTAGTATTCCAACTTATTTTTTAAAACATTCTGGACCATATCAAAAAGGTAAATATATCGGAAATATCGGCCTTATTCTAACCGATACCGATACATGGCCGATACCGAAAAAATGGCCGATATTGCCGATACCGATACCCGATACCGATACATCGGTACATCTCTATTCCAAAGTGCTTGAACGGAAAAATAATTTTTTTTCTTGTGCATTTCAAAACCGGTTTGCTCGACACGCCCAGTCAACATCGCAGTTGTTAAGTGTTTCAATGTTAAACTCGTTGTCGTTACGGAACGAGTCGTCGAAAATTCGACCCCGAGACCCAGGATTGCGCCACAGCTCATCTGTGCGACAGTGCAAAACGTGAAATGTGCACGGAAGAACATATGGCCTTGAGCAGCTTTATCTAAAATGCATTACACTTAGATTAAATTTCGTACTCGATTGTCAGATCATCAGTTGGACGACGAGTTGTCATAAAAACATCATCTTTCACATTGATAATAAGTACATAAAAACAATGTATTGCTGGATAATAAAAAAACGCCACATATACATCTCATTGGAACAGGCTTTCAACACAGCAATAGAAGGGTAGCAATGCGAATGCGCCATAATTTGAAGTTTAATTTTGGTAGCGATTGTAGTAAGGCGGAAATATTGCGGCCCGCGCGCTACCAGAAATGTTTATATTTGGCCCGCAAGTACATGAATTTTGCCGATCACTGCATAACACTATTGAGCAACATGTCTGATTTCATAAATAATTGCCACGTCAGTATGTCGCAATAATGCTGGGTCAATTGTTTTCTCTACGCCCGTATAAGAATGTCTCTCATCAGTCCGACTAAGATCTCCCAAACAAAACGATACAGGAATTGTTACCTTTCCCGAAATCTTAATGTGGGGCCTGGTTTTCAATATTGATAACTACAAAAACGAAATAGGCTGGAAGTAAGAAACACGTTACGTGTGTCAATGTCGACCATATCTCGAATATGGGGACAGTTAATGTCCATCAAAGAAATACAGACATCACATTAAATAGCATCACCGTCGTTTTTAGTATATTGTCAACATAAATTTCCTAATCCGTATAATTTATTGCATATGCTTAGTTCGTTTGTATAAAGGTGGTCCACCAAAAGTTTGGTCAAGCTTTACCGGTCCGTCACTTGAAAAAGGTTGCCGACCACTGTACAAGGGCATAACGGAACTGAACTAAGAAATGGTTTTAAATCAAAACTTCCTTGCGGTTCCATTAGCTCCAAATGCATTTCACTAGGCGTACCTTCTGAATTATCATAAAATGGTTCAGTAGTCACAATTAATTCTGGCTCATATAAGTGGAACTCTAAAAAACCACCCTGGAATTCTTGTAGAACATTCTCAAATTTGTTGGCATGTTTTTCAGAACCAAGTTAATTCAATGTCTCACTACCGTCTCAGTCTTCTTTAATTAGCTACTGACATGCCATATATTGAGGCAGATTTCACTTTAGTTGTTTGTGCAGCAAGTTCAGTTTTCAAATGATCATATTGACTTACCGTAAAGTATATGCTAGAGTCTAGACCCAATGGCCCATGAATGATGAAAATTTAAATTTGTTCATACGACGCATAATATAAGTTTAAAAAAAAATCACATATTCATTAACATCAGTTTTTGTCTTTCATGATTGATTTTTTCTTTTCCTTCGGTATTAATGAATGAAAAATTAGATCACGAAATAGTCCTTCACTTCATAAAAAGGTTGCGCGATCTTTCATGTTGGTTTAACAGTTCATGATTGACTTTACAGCATACAGG